TGAGCTCTGCATCAAGCAGAACTGGGCCACAATGCCGGCTCTAACTGAACCACTTGAAGCAAGGAGTAGACAGGTAGACCTCTCTGACAGTCATCTCCCAAATGGAGGAAATTACCTTTTCTTTTTAAAATATATTTTATTGATTTTTTACAGAGAGGAAGAGAGAGGGATAGTTAGAAACATCGATGAGAGAGAAACATAGATCAGCTGCCTCCTGCACACACACTACTGGGGATGTGCCCTTGACCGGAATCGAACCCGGGACCTTTCAGTCCGCAGGCTGATGCTCTATCCACTGAGCCACACCGGTTTTGGCGGAAATTCCCTTTTCTTTACTTTGCTTGTTAATGACGTGTCTACCCGGTACTCCACGAAGCAGACAGGACGTCTTCCCCTGCTTTGATCGCAAACACCCAGCACAGTGCCTGGCACTTAGGATACCCTCAACAAATAGCTGGGAAGGAAAAGGGAAAATGCCTTCCCAACAGGATCATTAAGAGCATGAGAAGAGATGACATATGCAAAGCAAGTGGGTCCCAGGTGCTCTGTAAATCTGGAGTGAGGGTAGCAGCCAAGTGGAGACAGGGTGAAAAAGCAGCTGAGGAGAATGGAGACTGAGTTTACAGGAAATTGTAGGAGGACGGGAAGAAGGGGCTCAGGTAGGCGCTATGAGCTGAATGCTTGTGTCCCACCGAACTTCATGGTAAGACCAAATTGCCGCTGGATGGGTTTGGAGGTGGGCCGGTGAGAGAGGAATGGAGCCAGTGTCTCTCTGAGAGACGACCTCGGGGAGCTCTCTTGCCTCTGCTTCCACGGAAGACACGGCGGTAGACAGCTGTCTGTGAACCAGGGAGTGAGGCTCACCCGACAGTGAATGTGTCAGCACCTTAACCTTGGACTTCCCAGCCTATGGAACTGAGAGAAAGCGTGTCTTGTTTAAGCCACCTATTTTTTTTTTATAGTAGCCTGACTGGACTAAGACAGTAGGCAATCATGAATTTATAGTAGACCCAATTTATCGTGTATGATTTTTTTTCTAGAAGTATTTGGCTGCTGGGATGCAAATATGGAAAAACTGGATTATTGGGTTCATAATGGGTTGGGAAAATATATACATTTCTTGATTAGGGTAGCCCCTGCACTTATAAAGAAAAACTCTTACTCAAAAAGGACATACACAGGTAATGTAGCTATAATACAGTTTATTTCAACTAAACTAAAACAAAATAACTCATTTCTTTGGGAGGGGGAATTCCATGTATGCAGGGCTGTCCTGATTGACCATAATGTATTTTAGCAAAAAAATATTAGGTGCACCACCTCATAAAGCTCTCAGTACACAGTAGATACCAAATAACTTTGCTAAACGACCAGACATTTGGAAATATCAAAACATGGTCATAAAGCAAAGTCAAATGCATGAGTAATGAATTTAGAAAAAGAATGAGTTGTTATATTTTTATCTGTATAAAAAATATCATTCTCCAGCCTTTCATTTGCACCTATATTTTCTTGAACAGAAATGACCTAATTCGAAGGCTTAAATTCTTTCTTTGTACAGCCTCAGGAATGTCTGATTCCCCTTCATACGCACAGCTATCTAAGAAGGAGCAGAGCACTTCAAACAAAGACATACAAATCTCACTTCTGTACCATGTAAGCAGCCTCTGCTGATTCGGCTACCAATTCACTCAACTTAGTTCAAAAACGTAAGAACTGATGAGAGGACTCCATGGGCTGTCAAGTCAGCCCTTCTTTATCACTGAAAACCAGTTAGTGACAGTGGGCCCTCAGCTTAATCTGCACAAATGCAATTTGGAAATTCTATGACAATGATGTTAGCACAATTAAATGTGAAATGCAAGATTCTGATAATTAAATAATTTATTTTTTTAAATAGGCAAGCTGCTGTCTTTCTCAATAACCACTTTTTTAATGAACAAATGAAAAACAAAATGGCAAAAGAAGCAGAAAACTTGAATTTCCAAAATGAAACTGTAAAAATTTCATATATAAAGACATGACTGGGGTAAGCTTTATTGTAATAACAATTGTTCATTATTGTATAACTGGACAGTAAAACAGCCCTGTCTGAAAGCACTGGACCAAACTGTCTCCCCAAATCCTTCTAAGACATGATTCTACATACTAAAATGAAACATTTAAAATAAATGCAATATATCATAGGACTACCAGTTTTTATATTCCTAAAAAAAATTAACTTTAACTGCTATAGCAATGATTTAAATACACGTGCTGTTAAAAAATTGTAAACATCCTCTTTCTTTCTTTACCTGCAAGATAATACTAAAAAGAAATTCCATAATTTCTTGATTCCTTCAAAACTAAGATCCAAAATACTAAACATAATAAATAAATATGCAACCTGGAGGCCTGGGAAAGGGTATAGAATACCAAAAATAATACACCAGTGTATTAAAAATCCAGTATTTCAGTATTAAAGTTTCTTCATTTCAATAGTTAGGTTTATTGCTACTATAAATAAGCTTCATATTAAGGCACCTGTCATTACCTATGAGAAAAATTTAGATTCAAAACAAAGGATATATGGACTGTAAATATGGACTATTTTTCTTCCATTCCATCATTACAGATATTACCAATTTTAAATGTAAAGCTTTTGTATGGTAGTAAATATATTTGAACATATTACCGGAATATAGTTAAGATGTTTATGATACTTTGATACTTTAATTAATGTATATGATACCTTAATACTTTGATACCTTAATGTAATACTTTAATGGGGAAATGGGCAAAATCAAATCAAGAAGGTCGACAAATGACTAAATACAAGAAATATGACCTTTAAAAAATTACATTGTAGGGACAGTGACTATGAACAGATCTTGGACAAGTCATTTAACTTCTCTGAGCCTCGCTCTTTCCATTGGTAAAATTTCAGAACACTGTTGCGAGACCAAAAGACGTGATGTTAAAAGCACCTGGCAAACTATGAAGCACTGAACAAACAAATGGTATTATCATAGCCTCATATCTCAAGTTTCTGATATCATGCTAACAAATAAGGTAATAGTCATTTCTTTTTGCATCCACTGGAGCATGTCCTATTTTAGCCAATTAGATAGTTGTGGCATTATTGGAGCAAAAACTTATACAAAGAGGAAATCTCTAAATCTGAGCTTCCAGAATCTTATGACCTGGTATTATGCTGTGAGCGGGGCACCCCACTGCTTGCTGGGGCTCAGGCGACTGTGACGAGGGGCAGACTGCTCAGAGAGCTTGGCTTCTGGTCTTTCCTCCCTCTCCTGCACCATCTGCTATCGTTTTAAGAGTATTAAATACAGATGAGCCCAATCACAATATATTACTCAGCTTGGCATAAATCTGAAATGGCTCATAACCCCAGCAGGTTCTCTCTGACTTAGCCACAAGACCTTCTTCTCTGTATAAAATTATCCCGGGCCAGCTTTTTCCAAAATATGTCCTAAGGAATGTTAGTCGGGTTAGATATTAACAAATGAAAAACATATCTGTGTTTAGTACGTTTGGAATATGCAGAGGGAAATAAGTTTACATATTACAGAATTTCTCAGTCTTTGATGTACTAAGTGTATACTGTAAAGAGGAATAGACTGTACAGCATTTCCCAAACTCTGACCACAGAACCCCACAAAATATCTAGAGGGCTAATAACTCTTCAAACACTCTCTGGGAAATGCTAGTCTAGCTAATTCGCCTGGTTTTAAACATTCCAGGGTTACATCTGACAATAGTTACCCCTTTATAATTTCTAAAGGAGCAGAATCATTTTGCTCATAAGGCCAACTATTATAATAACCTCCTGGATTCCACTCCATAAGTATCCTGCCCAAAGCAACTAAGAACTAAATTTCTTTTACTCCATATATGAAGGAATTCAAAGAAGTTACTCTCAAATTAATGAGAATTATTATCTTTAGGAACTCTTTATATCCTTCCTCAAACATTCAAAATGCTAAGATTTAACTCTGGATCTTAGGATCTAGAATTGTAGTTACTTTGAGATGGGAGCATTTTATCACAATATCATTGCAATTAACACTATTAATAATAATATGTACTAGTAGTAATAGCAGTAGTGGTGGCAGTGGTGGTGGTAGCACTGACTAAGCACTTATTTTGTGCCTAAATCCTCACATTCACTCTCCGAATTTAGGACCTACTATTACACTCATTTTTTTTTTTTTTTTTTTTTTTTTTTTTTTTTTTTATTAAAATATATTTTATTGATTTTGTACAGAGAGGAAGGGAGAGAGATACAGAGTTAGAAACATCGATGAGAGAGAGTCATCGATCAGCTGCCTCTTGCACACCCCCTACTGGGGATATGCCCGCAACCAAGGTACATGCCCTTGACCGGAATCGAACCCGGGTCCCTTCAGTCCCCAAGCCGACGCTCTATCCATTGAGCCAAACCGGTCCCGGCAATTATTACACTCATTTTATTTATTTTTATTTTTAATTTATTTTATAGAGAGGAAGGGAGAGAAAGAGAAACATCGATCAGTTGCCTCCTGCATATACCCTGACCAAGAATCAAACCCGCCACCTTTTGATTAATGGGATGATGCTCCAACCAACTGAGACACACAGGCCAGGGCTGTTATAATCATTTTAAAGGTAAGTACACTGAGGTTGAGAGCAATTAACTGACCTGCCAAGTGTAAGGACAGAATCTCAAATTTATATCTGAGACCTCACCTCAAGCTCTTAATCACTACATAATGCCATCTTATATTTTGGTAACAAAACAAAAGCATTTAGGTCACACTCTGGTTGTTAAACTGCAAAGTTAGAGGGTATTCATACAGATCCAAATGGACTGATATTTGGTTTTGAATTTCCTTTTAAGAAAACTCCTAGGAATTCCTTAAAGGAGATACTTTAAAAAAAAATTTTTTTTGTTTTTATATTTTTTAAAGCAGAGAAAAATAGACTGCTGTTTACCAATGATAAGTTTAGATAAGGGAAGGATTTCAAAAATCTGCATCCAAGGTGAATACATTATCTGTGTTTTCCGCCATCACTGCAAAACGCTGATACTCTGAAACACGCTTCTCAAAGAAATTTGTTTTCCCTTCTAAAGAAATGTTTTCCATAAAATCAAAAGGATTTTCTGCCTGAAAAATCTGAAAAGAAAAAAGAAATGTTGTTAGAAATTCTGAAGAAACCAAATTATATCCCACAAGAAGAGCAACAGATAACATAGCTCAATTCTCTAACACCTATGACATCATAGATATTATAGACATTTTCCACAGGTATTACCATAAGGTAGTAACCTAAACATATCCTGTTACCCCGAAAATAAGACATAGTCTTATATTAATTTTTTCTCCCAAAGTTGGCTAGGTCTTATTTTCAGATGTCTTATCTTTCCAGGCGTTAGGTCTTATTTTCAGAGGATGTCTTATTTTCGGGGAAACATGGTAGTAGAAAAATATTAAATTCCCAACAATGTAGTGTAAACCTAAATATTTCTTAGTTCCATAAGAGAATAATTACATCAGTTAAGGAACTGATGAGGTAAGACAGAATAAATTCTATCCACAGTGACCCTTCAAAAAAAATGGAACATATGTTGACAAGAAGCTTTTTTATTGCTTCTCAATTCAAGAAGCAGACTTGAAGATATAGTTTGATGGAAACTGTGAAACATTTTAATAAGTCATGAGGGGCAATAAAAGAGGACTTTTTAATTTAGGAGTATTCTTTCTATGCTGTCTTCAGTCTTCGCTGTGTGCCTGGATCCGCAAATTAACTGCCATCTTGGTTGAGTTAATTTACATACTCGCCCTGATTGGCTGGAGGCCTAGTTTGTGGGTATAGTGAAGGTACGAACAATTTGCATGTTTCTCTTTTATTGGATAGGATCTGCCCTAAGGTGTGTGAAATGGTATCTTAATGTAGTCTTGATTTGCATTTACCTGATAATGATTTTGAGCATCTTTTCATGTGCTTATTAGCCTTTTGTAAATTTTCTTTAGAGAAATGTCTTCTTGTCTACTAAGATTCTTTGCCCATTTTTAATTGGGTTATTTGAATATATTCTTATCTGTAGTGTTCATAGTTAAAAAGTTAAAAGTCTGACTGCTGGAGAGTGGGCCTAAGCCAGCAGTTGGACATCCTTAGCGCTGCCGCATGGAGGGAGCACACTTGACCTGCAGTGAGCATCTGCCCCCTGGTGGTTAGTATGTGTCATAGCAACCTGTTGTTCCACCATTTGTTTGATTTGTATATTAGCCTTTTATTACATAGGATAGTTTCTCTTACAAAAACCTTGCCCTCACCTGACTCTTTATAGTATTTTTGTAGTTACCAGAATATAAATGCATAGCCAAAAAAGGTAATTACCCAGAATCAAGAATTTCATAAGGCTTCTCATTAAGTACAATTTAAACTTACATTTCCATGCTAAGAAATCAAAATCTATAATTTTTAATTACCGTGATGCAAAACACAGTAAAGTACATGGAATAAAACATGACCACTTGGTGTGTCTTTACACTATTTTAAGTGCTTTAAACAATCCTTTATGGTACTATTATTATCATCCCCGTTTTATGGATAGGAAACTAAGATAAAAGTTAAGCAACTTGCCTAAGTCACATAGCTAGAAAGTAGTGGAACCAGGATTCATACCCAGGTAGTCTGGCTGCAACCTCCATCTGCTAAATCATGTGAAAAATCACACCTCTTTACAAAACTCAGATACATTTTATCTGATAAACAAAATGACAGAAATAACTTCAAGACAACTGAGTTCAAAGAGTAAGTTATGATAGTTAATGTCATCATAATAACTATTTCCTATTTAGAAGTATCAACCCAGCCCAGCCAGCATGGCTCAGTGGTAGAGAATTGATCTATGAACCATGTGGCCAGGTTGTGTGCTCAATCCCAGTGTGGGATGTGCAGGAGGCAGCCGATCAATGATTCTCACTCATCGGTGATGTTTCTCTCTCTGAAATCAATAAAAATATATATTTTAAAAAGTATTAACCCCCAAATTACAACAAAGACACATGGAGATTTATATGAGGATAAAACACATAAGCGCACATGAAATACAATTATCTAAAAATAATCTGATTTTAAATAAATACATGCAATTATAAGAAAATACAATTTATTGAGCTTAATAGTTCTAAGATTTGTCAGCCTCCTACTTTTGTTATGAATTTTATTTTATGTTTCAAAGGATTTTGCAAAGCCAATTTGTTCATGCAAAACAATGCAATGGACATTTTAAAAGCAAACTAGTATGTTACAAATGCTTTCAGTTGAAATGTAATATTTTAGTCACCTCATTTGACAATAATATTTTAGCTTAGTAGTCATACATTTTTAGAATCTTACTTTTGAGAATCCAAGTTCCACAAGTAATCTGTCAGCTACAAACTCAATATACTGTTTCATCAAAACACAATTCATTCCAATGAGGCCAACTGGCAAGGCTTCTGTTAAGAATTCCTGAGAGAAAATAGAATATAGTACAAAGACAGAACATGAAATAATTATGTATCTTCCAAATAAAAGGACAGTTTTAGTCTTATTAATCTTCTAAGTCACTAATCTTGTCCAAGGAAAGTACACTAGGTTAAATTCTTTTAGCATGGCAAAAATCTGTTTTAAAATGTTTGGGATATTTACTGTTCACATTATTTCACATTCTCAAATAGCCAAAATAAATGGAAACTTATTACCAAATTACCGCGTTTCCCCGAAAATAAGAAGACATCCTCCGAAAATAAGACCTACTTACAGGTTTCCTTCTGAGTGAAATATAAGGCATTCCGCCGAAAATAAGGCCCCCCCCTAAGGCTAAACATGAGAGATTTGGTCCACTGATTCTGAAAGAAATGGAGTCACAAGAAATTCACCAGGGAATTCAGGAACTGGATTGCTATGATGATGTTCCAGAAGATGATGACATGATTGTCAATGAATAAATGAGTAAATTCTTGATCCTGTAGGATTCACAGTTTGTCTGGTTTGTGTTGACAACTACCGTACTCCCGTACCATATACAACTAATACATTTCCTTTATTTTCATTTAACAATAAATGTGTACCGTATTCTTCTTCATGGAAAAATAAGACATTCCTTGAAAATAAGACCTAGCGCATCTTTGGGAGCAAAAATTAATATAAGACACTCTTATTTTCGGGGAAACAGGGTACTAGTACTTTTAAATTTTATACTGATGGATTTTAGAGAGAGAGGAAGGGAGAGAGAGATAGAAACATCGATTTATTGTTCCACTTATTTATGCATTCACTGGTTAATTCTTGTATGTGCCCTGACCGGGGATTGAACCCACAATGTTGGCATACTGAGAGGATGCTCTAACCAACTGAACTACCCAGCCAGGGTAAATTTGATATTTGGAGATACTTTGTTCTAAAATATGTAGAAAAATATTCACAAAAGATGATCATTGTGGAGAACATCATTATGGAAGGACATTACAAAAGAAAGAAAACTCAATTAACAAAGAAATGAGACTAGAAGAGGGTTGGAAGATAAAATGTACATCAATTACATTAATAGACAATGGCAAAATGTTAATAGAGGAAAAATAAAAACATTAACCATCTAAATTTAGTTCTCAAAATGATTACAGATACCAGAATGTATTTTATTTTTATCTTTTCCCCTCCCAATATAAGAAGTTTAGCTGTTTAACTATTCAGTATTTAAAAACATTTTTTTTAAATGTGTTTTACATTTAAACTAGTTCTTTCAAATAATAAAACACATCCTACGTGGAGCATCCAGATCTTTCTAGTCACAGATTGTTACATGCTATAAATTGAGTTTTACTATTCACTAATTTATTCGTTCTATAAGCATCTGGTGCATCTGGTGCATGCTTCTAGCTAGATACCCTGCTAGATTTTTGGGAATACAAAACAAACAAGAAACCATCACCTCCCTCTAACAGTTAACAATCTAAAAATATAAAGCTAGAATAATTAAAATAGTTTGTTATGGCACAAAATTTGACAGGTCAATGAGACAGGAAAAACAGTCCTTAAATGGACTTTATATACATAAAGTAATGTATAAAGCCAAATTATAGACTGACATAGTAGTTGTAATACATTATCTATTGGCACTGTCAGATTGACCATATAAAATTGATTTTTATTTTTAGCTGCAGAATGGCAGTTTCATATGAGTCAACCTAATAATAGAATAATACAAACTTCAGAGAGAGATGTGCTAATCAATCATATATAAGCTTCCCTGCTTACCTGCTCAATTTCAACAGCATTAACAATGATCTCCTTGACCCTTTTTTCTGAAGGCTTATTTACTAAGTATCGAAACATCAGGCAGGCAAAGTCACAGTGAAGCCCCTAAAACAGAAGAAAAAAATGTCAAAAAAAAAAAAGTTTAATCAGCTATTTTCACACAGTGATGTGTCAGGTATCAATATTATATAGAATAGGTTCTAGGAATGCAAGAAGAGAGAAGGATTAAGAAAAAATAAAAAATGTTCAGTGCCAGCAAATCTTAGCTCATCAACATGAAAGAAGAATTAATTAACAATAACAAAAACCTACAATCAAAAGCATTTTGGAAAGGAAAACAAAACAAGAAGAACTATATAAAAGTTCATTTATGTTTAATGTCTAAAAAATTAAGAAATGATTGAGCCAAACCGGTTTGGCTCAGCGGTAGAGCATTGGTCTGCGGACTGAAAGGTCCCAGGTTTGATTCCGGTCAAGGGCATGTACCTTGGTTGAGGGAACATCCCCAGTAGGGGGTGTGCAAGAGGCAGCTGATCGATGACTCTCTCTCATCGATGTTTCTAGCTCTCTATCTCTCTCCCTTCCTTTCTGTAAAAAATCAATAAAATATATTATTAAAAAAAGAAAGAAATGATTGAAGAAAGTATTTAAGGAACAGATGAAACACTCAGATTTTGAAGTCATTTATATTAAATAAGAATGGCTCAAGTCAAAAAAGAGTTTAGTGCAATGAAAATGGAAAGTGAAGGATTAAGCATACCATTTGAAGATGAAATGACATTGCAAGTAACTCAACCAAAGAAGAAAAAGTTGTGAAATACCTTGAGAACAGAATGGTTATGCAAATATAAGAAATGGTATAGAATGTTAAATAGTTGAAGAACAGAGCAAGGAGATTAACCTACAATAATTTAACCCACAATGAACACAGAACAGATGTTCTAAAACTGAAGACAACAGAAGAAATTTTCAAAAAGTCGAAACAGAAAAAGAGAAAGAAGCCAGAGATATAGAAAGATGATGGCATTCCAAATAAAATTAACACAGCACACTAAGGCAGAGTCGATTAACATTTCTAAACCACAAGGAAAACAACAATTTTGTAAGCCACCAAAGGGTGATGAAGAGGAAGACACAGATACTTTAAAGGATTACAAATCAGAATATGTTAGGTTTTTCTAAATAAATCAACAAGTACCTGAAAACTATCTACAATAATAAAAGCATAATATGCTAATTAGACCAGAAGTCCTTTATGGATGGAAGCTGGGGCTGAGAGGGAAGCCCGGGTCCTAGGGGCCAGAGGGAAGCCGGTGCTGGCAGCTGGGGGAAGAAGGCCTGTTCTTGCACAAATTTCTTGCATCGGGCCTCTAGTTTTATATAAAGAGCTAGGTGGCGTCATGACCAAACAGGCAACCGGTCACCATGAAGTGCATGGAGCACCTCTGGATCCCTCCTCTCCCCCAGCCCCTGAGCTGCTCACCAGGAGGGGGCTGGTGGTGAGGCGGGACTGGGGACTGTTGAGCGATGGTGGTGGGCTGCCTCTTGGGGTGGCTGTGAGCTTGGCAGAGCAGTCACTCAGGCGGCAGCAAATTTCGCGGAGCAGTGTGGGGTGGGGGAGTTTCGAGGAGCGTCCGGCGGTGGCGGCGAGCCTCGCAGAGCTGTCGAGGGGCGGGGAGAGCCTCACAGAGCAGTGGAGGGGCTGGGGGCATTGGGGAGCGTTCTGGGGTGGGGAGCTTCACGTAGCATCTCAGGGCAGCAGAAACCATGTGACGGAGGCCAGCCCAGGCCTAGGGACCCTAACTGTGCATGATTTCATGTGCGCTGGGTCTCTAGTAATATAATAAAAGGCCAGTATGCAAAACAACCAAATGACAGCGCGACTGGTTGCTATGACATGTACTGACCACCAGGGGGCAGGTGTTCAATGCAGGAGCTGCCCCCTAGTGCTCAGTGCACTCCCTTGGGGGGTGGAGGACGTCACTCAGCCAGAAGCCCTGACCCGGACTCACAGCTGGTGACAGCAACAGGGATGGCAGGAGCCTCTCCCGCCTCCGAGGCGGCACTAAGGAGTAGCAAGCGCCCGGCTTCTGGCTGGTGAGCGCAGCGGTGGCGGGAGTTTCTCCTGCCTCCACTGCAGGCGGGGTAAGGAGCGAGGGGTCCTAGGCTGCAGGAGCCCCAGACTGTCTGACTGCCAGCGTAGGCCCCATCTCCAGGCAGACATCCCCGAGGGATCCCGGACTGTGCCTCTAGTCAAGTATAAACACAAATACTAATGGAGGAATACGTCGTTTCTTACTTCATCTCTGCTGATGAGCTCATTGGAAAAGGTGAGTCCGGGCATCAGGCCTCTTTTCTTTAGCCAGAATATAGCGGCAAATGATCCTGAGAAGAAAATTCCTTCTACAGCAGCAAAGGCCACCACCCTTTCCCCTGGAGACAAAAACTAGTTTCACTGTACGAAATATTACATGTGGCAGACATTTTTAAGCGACATACACACTTTACATATTTTTATACCAATGTCACCACTTTTCTGCCCAGCAACAAAATCAACAAGTCAGTGCAATAGCCACGAGTCCTTAGGAGGAAATCCGACACCTCCACCTACTCCCATGTTTCCCCGAAAATAAGACCTAACGCATGGCAAGATAAGACATCCCCTAAAAATAAGACCTAGCGCAACTTTGGGAGGAAAAAAAATTAATATAAGACACTGTCTTATTTTCAGGGAAACAGGGTAGAGCAGAAAAGTACAGAAAGGTATATCTACTTCAAATCCTATGTCAAACACTGAAGTCTCCTGTAGGTCTTGGTATGTAGACAGAGGAGAACCTTTTACACTAAAAAAGAAGGGGTGATTTATCTGTGTACCACGCATGCCTGGGAGTGCAGTAAGTGTGTGTGCAGGTGTGTGTCTCAAGAATGGAGAGCAGAAGATGGCTTTTATAACAAATGTCTCCCTCTTTGTGGCTGGGAGAAGGGAGGTCACTGAGGTTTATAGTTTTAGAAACCTAAGCTATCTAACAGATTAGCTACAAACATTTCAAAAATCATTGCCCTGCATCTGCAGTTAGAGAAAAACAGATAAATTCAGCTGAAAAGTATAACTGTGTCTATCAGATAAAATGCCCCATCACAGAGGAAAAGTACTGGCTTCTGCTAAATATAGAAGGCCCAATTTCAAAGGTCCCTCACTGTTAGGAAAGGACTTTGCAGAAGCCAATCTCCTCACCTGTCTCTAGTGGCAGCATATCTGCAATATTATCCCTTGGGGATGATTATAGGTCTAACCCAAAAGAAGGTCATTCTCACCCTAGCCTGTTTGGCTCAGTGGATAGAGCATCTGAAGGGTCCCAGGTTTGATTCCAAATAAGGGCACATGCCTGGGTTGCAGGCTCAATCCCCAGTAGCGGGCATGCAGGAGGCAGACAATTAATGGTTCTCTGTCATCATTGATGTTTCTCTCTCTCCCTCTCCCTTCCTCTCTGAAATCAATAAAAATATATATTTTTTAAATGGAAAAAACAAAAAGATCATTCTCAAGCCCCTTATGCCACACTGCATACTTGAAATATGTATATATATCTGTCTAGGGAGAAAAGTTTGTTCTATAAGACCGTAAACAAAGGCAACTGAGAACTTTAATTAATTAAAGACCACAGATGACATCATAGTTGGTATCCCAGTACTTGTTGGGAGACCAAATACACAACAGCAGGCTCTTAATAAATGTGTCCCGATCTATATCAATAAAAACTAAATAAGTACTAGATGATAAAAGACATTGTAAAATTGCTAAAACTTGATGCAAAAACTGGATAAATATGTATAACGTCCCAAACAAATGTCATTATAATATTTAATTCCAAAAAGAAAGAAGACTAAGTTTAAATATTACTGGCTGTCTCTAAATAGTGCTCTGGTTTGTCCTTGTTCTTTTCCCTGATTATCATAAACAAACCAAATCAGATAGATCAATTATATCAAATATGTATCTATGATTAGCCCAAAATACCAGAAAAACCTTTATAGTATTTTATTTTATAGTATTTCCTTCATCAATACAATTTAAAAATTCACTTTGAAAAAATAGCAAAAGAAATATAAATTAAATAGACACTTGAGAACATACTGTGTAGAAGGAATTACCGAAAGAAGACTCTTTACTGTGATATATATGAAATGAACTAAAATTAAATCTTAAAATATATAATAATCATCATCACTATGCTTCGCTTACTCTTTGGAAAACAAAAATGGAACTTTAGCTATGTTTTTAATATGAAGATTTATCATAGTTTAAATACAGATTACTCTATTTTCATTTTACTATTAATAAGATAATGAGGAGTTAAAATTGATACACTTTCATTACATAAAGATTATGTCATATGGACATTTATCTATAAAGGAATGAGACTATAATTTAATACAAAGGTTGTGAATAAGAATAAAATTATTTTAACTATGATGTGCATTCATGTGAATGTTAAAGAATGAAAATCATAACAGATATGGTTATAGAAAATTATTCTTTTTGGAGATTAAAATATTATAAGGGATACTTTTACAAATTTTCATGACTAGATGTGGACTAAAATGAGATTTCCAAAACATTTCTTCTAAAAGTTATAATGAATGTGAAGGCTATTTGTTTTAGAGATGAAAAATGCGATATATATTAAAGATGAGGCTGACCTCTATGATGCAATGCACTAAGCTTGTATAACTACAAGCTTTAAGATTAAATTTCTTTATATATATTGAGGTTGAATCTATGTGTCTAATGTTTTAAAGTTCTTTAAATTTTTTTTTAATTAAGCACTATATCTCAATTTTTCAAAAACTAAGCAGATACATAATTAAGAATTTTCAGCTTTATTGAAGTTGAATCTCCTTCTAACATATTAACTTTCAAACAAGCTAATGCTTTTTTAAACGAGTATTCTTATGTTCTCTTTAGCTAAATGTAAAGGATTAGAAGAGTCTGGATGTAAGGAAAGACAGTTGCTCTACTGCATCCTACTAGATCACCTAAAATACTAGCAAAGCCCTACGCCAGCTTCAGCACACTAAAGGCACTAACGGTGCAGGTGGCACAACTAGTTCACAAAACTGCACTTCCCCAGCCGGTTAACAGGAAGCACAGGTGTTTGGCGAAGCGAGGCGATGTTTTCGTGTCTTTTAGCTCCTCTCCCAAAGGGAGCCACCCCTGTGGTTCTTCACTTTTTCCTCTCCCACCACCCATTCCACTCTCCTCCACCATTTTAGACCACATTATTTCTCTCACTCAGAACCCTCAATGGAGTTTGCCTTGAGACTAAGCAACAGGGAGAATTTAAATGGAGCCTCTGGTGCTGCACCCTCCTCTAATTTTCTGTATTTCTAGGCTGCTTTCTTTGGCAGTGTCATAAAATACATGCTTTTTTGTCATCTGTTCTTTTTTTTTTTTTTTTTTTTTTTTTTTTGCCTGTTCTCAATTTCCCTTCAGTAATTACCCATCCTAATATTTTATTTTATTTTTTAAATATATTTTTATTGATTTCAGAAAGGAATGGAGAGGGAGGGAGAGAGAGATAGAAACATCAATGATGAGAGAGAATCATTGATCAGCTGCCTCCTACATCCCCCCTTCTAGGGATCAAGCCCATAACCCGGGCATATGCCCTTCACCGGAATCAAACCTGGGACCCTTGAGTCCGCAGGCCAACACTCCATCCACTGAGCCAAACTGGTTAGGACTTTCCAGTGATTTTTATGCACATTTAGAATCACTGCTTTTCTCATTCTTAAAATGAACTGAAGGCAACACAAACATATGTTTCCTCCCTAAGACACTATAAGCTTGTCATAACTTACACTACATCACTGTTTCTCAAGGTGTGCTCCAGGGACCACTGGAAATTCATAGACCAAGGAGGACTGTGGCGTCAAAACTATTTTCTTAATAATTCTAAGGCACTATTTTATATTTTTTACTACCATTCTCTCATGAGTAGATAGTGTTTTGCAGATGCTACATGGCATTCCCATAATAATCTGAAAAGCCTAGTAAAATACTTTCCCTTTTCTAACTTCATATCTGAATGAGGATGGATTTTCTTTGTATGTTTCAACTAAAACAACATCATGCAAATATAGAAGCAGATATAATTCAGCTGTTTTCTATTTAGTCAGGCATTAAAAAGATTTGCAAAAATTAAGAAGTATGCCATTCTCACTAATTCTTTTCTGGAAAATATAGTTTTTTCATAAATATGTTAAAATCTAACAGGTTACTCTCATTTAAAAATGCATTAATAAATATGTTTAAAGATTATTAGTTTTAATTTCTAATGTGAAAATATCAATAACCCACACAAATAAAAGCACTCTGGAGTCCTCAAAAAATTTTAAGTGTACAAATGAGCCCTGAAATAAAAAATCTTGAGATCTGTTTACCCACATTTTAATTAAAACCAGAAAGTAAAGACTACAAATTATAAAATAGATAAGAATAAGACACTTAGAGCTATTCAAATGAATTATCTGAATATTTTAATTAATTTTAAAGAGATTTACTGAGCAACTATTACATATAAGATACAGTGTTAATCACTTCCTTAAAAAGTTATTGAATTTCAATTCATCCAGAAGAGTGAAAAATAAGCCTGTTCCTACAAACGGTGCCTTGCCCTAGTTGAATTTTCAGGAACTATATATTTGTTTCCTGAAGAATGTAAGACTTTGACTCACTTAAATTTAAAAATAAACATTTTGACAGCAGATATAAACTGTGGACTGCTTTAAAATTGAGATTTTAGCCTTTCAACTTTCAATTTATTAAACAGAATAGATACAGTTTTCGACTTTTTTTTTAAAATAACTTTATTGATTTGAGAGAGAGAAAGGGAAAGAGCGAGAAACATTGATCTTGCCCCACCTGGGGATGAACCCACAACCTGGGTATATGCCCTGACTGGTGGGAATCAAACCCACCACCTTTTGGACAATGCTCTGACCAACTGAGCAGGGCAGTTTTAGATTATTTTAATACTGGTTTCTAATTAATTATTAGAAAGAATTATTCTAATAAAGGTGCACATTGAGACTTTGAGACAGTTACACCAGGTAAAATAGTATTATAACGCTCAAAGCGAGTTGGATATACATAAATTAAAACTACATACCAAATGTAGATTTTCTATCTGCTATCCAACGCAATGCCCAATCTGCTTTTTTCTTAACATATGGCATTGTTTCAATTGCATTAAATAAAAATTCCCTGTAAAAACAAAATAATTAATGGAAAAGTTATTAACATGTTTTTCTTTTTTATATATATATTTTATTGATTTTTTACAGAGAGAAAGAGAGAGTGATAGAGAGTTAGAAACATCAATGAGGGAGAAACATCGACCAGCTGCCTCCTGCACACCCCCAACTGGGGATGTGCCCACAACCAAGGTACATGCCTTTGACTGGAATCAAACCTGGGATCTTTCAGTCCACAGGCTGATGCTCTATCCACTGAGCCAAAGTGGTTTCAGCTTAACGTGTTTTTATTAATCAAAATAAATGTTCATTGGCTAATGAGATATAATTGCAACTCTATGGTCTACTACCAGATTTGCAATTTTTCTGTATTTCTGCATATCCATAAAATATAGAAATTAAAGTAAAATTCAAATTAGTGGGTTGGATATGGTTTTATATAAGACCAATTAATTATGATATTCAATTAATAACAGAATGTGCTCACAGATTAACAGGTTTTATACAAGTTTTTTTTTTTAAGTGAACACATTATTGAGCAATAGAAAACATTATACTTTTAAATATCCATATTTGAATATTTCCCTGACATTTTGTTTCAGAGTAAATTCTGCTCTTAACATAACTAAGCAATATGATAAAATTTTGTGAATAAAACCCCAGTGATACCTTTTCTTGGGCTCCCTGATGTAAGTGTCTATTAGCAAACTGTACATCTCCGAATGAACATTCTCCATGAGAATCTGAAAGCCATAGAAACAGCGAGCTTCTGGAACCTGCACCTCCTGACTAAACCGCTCCACCTATGAAAACAAGGGAAACAAATATATCCAATTCTGGGCTCTCATTAAACACTGCAAATCAGAATCTGGACATCAGAATTATCCCTTAACAATTGCCTGTCATGCCACGAACAGGTCAGAAAGTGTTTACGGATTATTTTAAGCAGTACTATAATATTTATCAACCCTCCACAATAAATTAGCTGCATAATGAATTCTTAAACAATTAAATGAATTGATCTGTGAGGTAGAGAAATTGACTATAATGACAAATAAACTGTAGAACATCTACCAAAAAATAATCACTTCACTTTGTATAACTGACCTTGTCTTTTTTTTTTTTTCCTCCAACAGCAGATAGTAGATCTACTGAAGCCCCTTCCAGTTAATGATAAAAGTTCATATATCTTTATTCTCTTTAGCAAGAAGACATGCCTCCTGGCCAACCATAATACAAGTTTAAAATCGGGGAGCCAGAACCCAGAGCTTATTACAGAGCTCCAGAAGGGTTAAGGTGCAGGTTCTTTATTAGGGTCCACATCTAAGAATAAAAATCAAACTCATGCTTACGCATTTTAAATTGGTACAAGAGGCTTGATATAATGATTTGCTGGTCAAATAATAGAAACGTATTCTTTCCTCTGACACTTTGGCAGAAAAACAAATTCAAGAAATAAGCTTCATCAAGTTCACTTCCTAAACAGAAATGTTTAGGTTCAGTCTAATTATCTTACTGCCATTATCCTCATTGAACTGCTAACTGGGAACAAAAGTAAAATAAAACAGAAATCTTACCAAATTTTCATTCACAATTCCATCACTGGCTGCAAAAAAGGCTAGGATGTGGGAGATAAAATGCTTCTCATCTGGTTTAAGCTTGTGCCAGTGAGGGAGATCTTTTGATAAGTCAACCTAAAATAAAAAGATTTTCAACATTTTTATTTAAAGTCAAATTCTCAAAATATTTGGAAAACTAACTTCCACCTCAAAGTTAAGGAGGTTCATCTCATTAGCAGGAAAGTCTTTAAGAAGGAAAAAAAAAAGTTAACATCACTGCTACAGACTGAATGTTTGTGTTCACCATCACCCCCAAATATCTATGCTGAAATGTCCAAAGTGACGGTTTTCGGAGGTGGGTGATTAGGCATAGTGATGCCCTCATGGGTGGGATTAGCGTAAGGTGACCAGACGGCCCGATTTCTAACAATCTGTCGACAGTCCTACAGCGTTTAAAAAAAGTCCCGAATCGGGACTGGGGATAGATTGTTAGAAATCGGGACTGTCCCGCCAAAAGCGGGATGTCTGGTCACCTTACATTAGTGCCCTTATGAAAGAGCAGTAATGTGTTTTTTGTTTTTTTTAGGGTCCCTAAACCTTTCCCTTCCTTTTTATGGCTATAGCTGCCATTTTACTTATTCTGCTGACCATAAGTAAAAACAAGTTTGATCACAGCAAACTAAAAGTCTTTTTAAAAATAGAAAATGTCCTAAAATATATTGGAAGTAAAAATCTGGAAAACTAAAATGCCGTTTTTGTGGTAGAAATCATGTGTATAGACATTAGTCTAAACACCAACATTGGCAAACACTGTATTAAATCTCAGTGATTTCAAACATTATCTTATACAAGTGACCTTCTTCAATGTATCTTACAATGTCAATTTTTTCCCGATGTCCTGTAACATGTGAACACTGCAACACAGAACATGCTCGCTGACGAAAGGCGAAGCCACTCACCTCTTCCGCTGTCCAGAAGGATGCCTGCGCCTGTTTATACATTTTCCAAATATCCGGGTACTGGATTGGAAAGATGACAAACCGGCGCGAACTCTTCCTCAGGAGCGGTTCTTCATCTGACTTCGCTTCATGTTCGTTGGGATCTGAAGATAACCTCTTTGAAAATTAAAGTACAAACACCCGTTTTGTGTAGACATCGCCTCCTTATTCATATCTAAACACACATCTGAGGGGGTTGGGGAAACAGCATAGGTTTGGGAGCCAGGCTGGTTGGGTTGAATCCTTGCTGTCACCTCGCAGCTGGTGAACAGTGTTTGGTTGGTTGTGTAATCTCGGCAAGTTGCTTCATGTCTTTGAGCCTCAGTTTCCTCATCAGTAAAAGAATACCTCTCTCACAGGTGATCATCGAATTAATTTTGATGATTAAAAGTGCTTTAAACAGAACCTGGCACATATAAGCCTTGAACAAAATTATTGTCATTAATGCTAAGTTTGAGGAATAGCACAAAACTGGACCCATAAATGACACAGAGGGAACATTTCTAAGTTTGTGAACAAAAAGTTCCCTTTTGTTCCTCTCTCAAAGATAGGATGGTCGTTAGAGATAGAAATAAACTACTGTTACAAGCTTTTTATCTTTTTTTTAGTTTAATGTTTTCTTTCCTAATTTTAACTGAAATATAATCTTACCTAAAAACTCTGTACCAACATGTAGAACAGTCTGAAGCTGCCCATATATCAATTTGTTATTGCTATTTACATGTTAAACTCACTGCATATAGTCTGATTGTGGGCTGTCTCAAAGCTCTGTGGAATACAGTGAGAAACACATGCCTACATATATACCATCTTGGAAACAAGATGGCATTCTCACAAGGTAGAGCACTATATATTTTTTTAAATAGACAGCAAGATTATCAGAAGAGTTTTGTGTCTATGAGAATGATTATATATAAAGTATATACAAATAGGCTAAAATGTAGATAAACTGAGATTATTGGGATACATTTCAATTCTAGACTTCTAACTCAAACTGCTTCTCTTCCGTGCCAGGCCAGTACATTATGTTCCTGTTCACTGCCTCCACTAGTCCTCATAGCTCTCCAGATCAAGTGTGCTTAGGCTTTGAGGCTAAGAGGCAAGACCAGATGACAGAGAGGCCCACAGTCAACACCTGAGACCACACAAACTCAGGAGGGCTTACACATGTCACATATGTGACACTGCAGCATAGGCTGCCTTACTTGGTAACTACTTATTCTGAAAGTATAAGCCTCTCCAGATAGAGCACAAAAGTCCCAGAGTGTAGGAACTAGTTTTTCTCTCTTGGGATGCTCCTGGTTTAGTACTATGTCCAGCATAAAAGGTCAATAAGCATTAGCTAATAAAGTGAATGAAGGGGCTGCTAATTCCTCTTTCTCCTGGGCTCAGGTTACTGAATATTGTTAGAATGTTTTTAATTTAACAAAAGGCCACAATACATCAGTGAAATAATATAATGACCACTCAAATCAAGCCTTCTCTGAGTACCCCCATTTTTCTCCCCACCCTCCATCACCCCAAATGCCTGGATTAAGTCCAACATAGCACATCACTCACTTCAATTTAATTCCCTATTATGTGTCTATAGTCTCCTCTAGACTACGCTTCTTGAGAATAAAAACCAACTTTACGTTAGTGGAATCCCCAGAGCCTAGGATAGTACCTGGCACTTAGTTGATATTCATTCCAGAAACATTAGAGAAAATTTTAAAAATGGAAGTGGTCTCGTTTTTTTTAATGTGTGTGTATGTGTGCTGCCACTGAGGGCGTACAATCTCCAAAGAACCATAAGATTCTGACACGCTGCAGTTATAGGCTCCAGAACAGGAGGCAGACATAAGAGCAGGTCCTCTGCTCTTTATAATATTCAATTGTATTCATTTAAAATATGCGCATTCATGTTTTCAGGCAAGTTATTTAATCTGAGCATCATCATCTGTAAATCAAAGATAATACTTGCCATACTCTGCACACTTTCAAGTGCTGTACACTTTTAAAATTATTACTTTGTTATTATTGAACATAATAATTTCTTTTAAAGGCTCTCTCTATTTAAAAAAAATAAAAAGAACTATTATAGTGGTTAATTATTTGATCAATCAATATCTTCCATGACTGCCCTCAGGGAACTTTCATTCATGACATAAAGAACTCTTAGAAAAGTTTCTAATTTAAAGCCCAATTGAAAAGGCAGAAGTCTGCAGTCAACAGATATTTCAAACTCATGTAGGCCCAGTTGTTCTTCCTTTAGTTCTTCTAGATTGTGCTTATATCATAGTTTCTAGCATTTTGATATGATTCTGCATTTCTCTTTTTCTTTCTTAAATATGTTTTGTCACTGAGTTACAGAGCTAGAATCCTTCATCTTCACTATATTTGCTATGTGGGCCTTATGGAAGTTGAGAAGGATATCATAAGCAGAAACCCTCTCACACCAAGCATCGTAGAGTTTTTAAATGCTGACAGACAATTAATCAATGACAGGCTCTATGAAAACTGCTCAAGACTTGTACCTTTAAATGAGAATGAAAATCATGTTTGTACATTTATTCTTCCTATTCCATCCTGGTAATGGGTGGATTGTTAAGAAACTGGATTAGAAGAGCAGTATGAAAGATTTTGCAATGTGAATAAATGAAGTTTAACCAACATAAACCTTGGAACTGAGAGCTAGATATGACATGGAAATATTGCTTATTGTCATGATGCTTAGAAAAATCCACAAACATGTAATGCAATGTCAGGAGTGTCACGAATACATTCCAAAGCTCTAGACTCTCCATGACCTGGACTAGGAAGCCATATGTTAGAAGAGAAAGCAATGTAAAGGGGATGGACAGGAGGCCTAAGAGCATGTAACATTTTTTAAACACTGGAAGAATCTTCGTAAATTTGGACCTTGGGGGGGGGGGGGGGGGAGGGAGGTAATGGAAGGAGATGAAATCAGAAAGAATGCAGAGAATACTTCCCAAGTGTATTTTCCAAATGTGCTCTGAAGAACTGTGATTTCTCTAGTGTCACAAACATTAGATTAGAACTTCAGTTTTAAATGTGTTTTCAACCTTTTAAAAATAGTAATAAACATAACAAATTGTTTTCTACTGTACCGCAAGGAAACTACCAAGGCATGAACTTGTGTTTCCAGGTTGTCGTTTTCCTTTTGTGTGTTTGGGGGAGGGGATAACCTCAGATGAAAGTTTCTCTAGCTAGCGCTGCTTAACTGAAGAATACCACGAGACTCAAAGAAAGGCAGTTAAAAAAAAAAAAAACACAGAGAGAGAGAACAGCAAAAACTAAAAAATATCCTGTAATCATTTGTATCTATTTTTCAGGAGTAAACCAAAATAAATTGTAACCCTTCTCCTACCCCCAAAAAGGAAAAAGAAATATTAATAGTACCAATAATACAGTAGAAACACTCCTATTCAAAGTAATCCAAGCTGGTCATTAAAAATTGGCTAAAATAAGAAATCAGAAGACAATGCCTTAGCTTATAACATGTAACTTACACTTACTTACTAATCTTTTATAAAGCCAAAGCTTTTTGTTATTGTTGTTAAATTGGCTCACTGACTGACATCCCAAATTTTTCTGGCATAAACACATTATGATGCATCACCTATGATTTTTAGTTTTAACTTAAGATAGAGCAATCTGAGGGCAGAACCCTTACCTCTTTTATAAATATCACCAATTTTTTTTAAATCTAAGTCTACAGATTTTGTTTTTAACAACTTATCTTTATTGAGTTTCCCAAGCTTTCAAGTTTTCATAAACAATTTTCTTTTCATGCTCATATAGTATTAGTTTACAAAATAGTTAAATTACAATAGTTACAAGTATAGTTGGTATAAAGAGGACTAGAAATAAAGACAAATGAGGATGGTTAAGGTAAAACTCAGAATTATGTGAATGCATCAGGGAGCAGCCCACGCACGGGTTGATAAATGCACAGAACTGGCTAGCAGTAAATTTATTAAGGGAACGTCTGGTAAATATGCAAAGAAACTGTTTGCTAGGTTTGGTATAAATCTGCAACTATCATCTACACCCCAAAGCAAAGCAGCAGGTTCATCAAAACAGCCTCAATATTCCATTAATTGATGTATAATATTACATATGTTTACTTTTAGAAAATTACATTCATAAGATATACAAAAGTGGATTTAATCAGTGTTGAGCTTACAATTTTGTTTGGAAAATAGGCCCAGGTGTTAAAGCCATGGGAGGGCCTTAAATGCAAATATACATGAATTTTGCAACAGCTATTTCCCTATAGCCATTTTGATGCAACTGTTTTGACGCTTTTTTACCCGTGTCATCATTTTGATGAAATGAAACAAAACAAATTTAAAAAATAGTTCGCTTTCAGCTTTTAAAATCTGTACTCCGTTTCTAGGATTTATCTCAGGTCAAGGTGGATATGTCTATTTTGCATATTAAATGAATATTAAGATGTTCACTTGAAAAAAATTTGGAGCAAGTCTAAGTGATCTGCTTTGATATATAACCCTGGCATCTGGCCTTTATTATGCAGCCTATTGGGAGCTGGTGAAAGTTTTTAATCAGGTGAGAAACATTATCAGATCTGTGTTTAAGATCACATTTGTAAAAATGTGGTTAGATTAGAAGGGAAATTGGAGGTGGAGAGAAGAATTTAAAAATCATTGCACTCCCCATCTCTTGCCCCAAATAGGATATCAGCAGTAGAAACACAGAAGAAAACTGATTTAAGACACATACAAAGAGCTCAGCACCTGAAGGATAGCGGAATAAATCTGCCAAAAACTCTTGCTTCTCTAATTAGATGTTTAACAAAAGTTAATTTGAGGGAATTCTCCCCACCAACACAAGCCACAACAAGAATAAAAAGCTGCAAACATAAAAGTCTTTAAAAAAAAAAATCAATTCAGTCAATAAAAAAAGATAAAGGGTTCAGTTTCAAGATATCCGGTGGAGAGCTGAAATTACAACACTGGGGTAGGCAGAGGCACTATCTCCACTCCTTTCCCAATAAGATCAAGATGCCACTGGTAGTCACCACGGGAAGGGTTGTGATTTTCCAGGGGAATCGTACAGAGCAGCGGCATGACTGAGGACCAAGCCTACAGCAAGGGGAGATGAGCAAACAGGAGCCAGCTGGGATAAAACCCACTGAAGTGAATGCAAAGCAAAGGCAGACGAGATCTGATCTGGCTAGAGGGGCAACAGCTGAGACATTGAGGCATTTGGTAAAGGGTCCACTCTGGCTCTCAGTCTAAGGAGGTTAGGAATTTTGTGGGCCCCAAAATTTTCAAACACCTGGGGAGCTGGGAGGCTCATACTCTCATTCTCCCCACTTGCTCCCAACCTCCGGCTGCTGGCATCCTTGGTGCGGCACAATTTGAAAAGCACGTCTATGGACAGACGTGGAAAATTCCTGAGTCGCAATGCACATGAACATGGCATTAGGAAGATTAATCAGATATCCATGAATTCAGAAAGAAAAACACCCTAGATTTTGGTAGTAGCTAGAAGAACACCCTAGATTTTGTCACGCTCAGAGGTGGAAAGGACAACCTGAATGAAGATATGGCAGTTAGCACGAAAACGCTGCATGAAGGGGACTTTGGCAGTATGAGGAGTCGAGCCTATTTTGGGTGGGAACTGAGACCCTTCGGGGAGTTTTTACTTGGAGGGAGTGACACGGAGGCCCAGGTTTAATGACGGGTTAAATTGGCAGTGGTACACAGGGCGGGATAGCAGGTAACATGGGAGGTGGACAACTAAGTGTGAAGTGGTGAGAATCTGAAATAAAGTTTCACAGAGGCTTTTCTAGGCAATATTCCACCTTTTCTTCCATCCCAAGAGCTTTTGGTTCATTGCCAACATTGATTACTAGGTGCAGGCCCAGTGACTTACATTTTTTACCAAGTTCTCTAGGTGATTCTGATGCTGGGGGCCCAGGCTGCAGCTCAAATCTGACCAAGGACTTAAGGCATCCTTGCACCTCCAGTTTAAAACTTTCAGACCACAATATACCCACTAAAATCCATCTTAGACCTAACGCGCTGCTTCTGTCTTTGTGGAGGAGTATCAGTTAGGGATAATAAAGAAAAACCAACTGCCAGGTCCTTAGCCTAAATGACGGCTGGTGCTGTCAGCACGAAAGGAAACACCTGCCTTGTGTCACTCAAGGGGGAAAATCAGTATTAAACGTTATTTGTTTCAAAAACAGGAAGAAAACGTTTGAGGGATATTTACAATTTTTTTTTAGTTGGCTACTAAATATTTACAAAATAATACAGCCCCAAATCTGGAATCTACAACTTTCTAAAGAAATGTAGGGCTTATGCATAAGTCTCTGTGAGCTGAAACTATTAAATCCAAGAAACTGACATGCAGCAACAGGTTCAAGCGAAACAAACGGTTGAGAAGTATTTACAAAATAACAGGGCACGAAAATGACAGCGCAACAATGTCAACCACCCGACAACACAAAGTCGTGGTTGCTTTACTGTCATTATGTACTTTTTAAAAATATATATATTTTATTGATTTTTTTACAGAGAGGAAGAGAGAGGGACAGAGAGTTAGAAATATCCATGAGAGAGAGAGACATCGATCAGCTGCCTCTTGCACACTCCCCACTGGGGAATGTGCCCGCAATCAAGGTACGTGCCCGGAATCGAACCCGGGACCTCCCAGTCCGCAGGCCTACGCTCTATCCACCGAGCCAAAGCGGTTTCGGCCATTATGTACTTTTATTAATATAGAAGCGGAGGAGAGAACGTTAATGAGCATGTTCACTTGGGTTTGATGAGGCACCCATACATAACCCATGGCACTTTGCATAAAGCCTTTTGCTGAATGCTCCGTGAGGGATGTAAATGAAGGAAGTGACACCCCAAAAGATTCACAGCTAAGGAGCCAGGTCTGAGCAAAACTGGCCGCCTGGACTGATTATTCTGATGAGGATTTCCGCTCGGTCCTCTCTCCAACCCATACACCTGGGTGGGTTTCCACAGGCGTCATCTTCGTTTTATCCAGCCCACGGACGGCCTGCGCTTCCCGCTCCATCCGCCCGCCCTACTTCCCTGCGGAGCGGGGCGGACAGGGTGCGGGGAGCGGGACGGAGGGGGTGCGGGGAGCGGGACGGACGGGGTGCGGGGAGCGGGACGGAGGGGGTGCGGGGAGCGGGACGGACGGGGTGCGGGGAGCGGGACGGACGGGGTGCGGGGAGCGGGACGGAGGGGGTGCGGGGAGCGGGGCGGAGGGGGTGCGGGGAGCGGGGCGGAGGGGGTGCGGGGAGCGGGACGGAGGGGGTGTGGGGAGCGGGACGGACGGGGTGCGGGGAGCGGGACGGACGGGGTGCGGGGAGCGGGACGGACGGGGTGCGGGGAGCGGGACGGACGGGGTGCGGGGAGCGGGACGGAGGGGGTGCGGGGAGCGGGGCGGAGGGGGTGCGGGGAGCGGGGCGGAGGGGGTGCGGGGAGCGGGACGGAGGGGGTGTGGGGAGCGGGACGGACGGGGTGCGGGGAGCGGGACGGACGGGGTGCGGGGAGCGGGACGGACGGGGTGCCGGGAGCGGGACGGACGGGGTGCGGGGAGCGGGACGGACGGGGTGCGGGGAGCGGGACGGACGGGGTGCGCCTGGCCGCGGCCTGAGCCTCGGAGCGCTGCCCTCTCCCGGCCGGGGTGCCGCGCGGCGGAGCAGACCCCTGGCTCCCGCCGCAGCCCTCCCGGGAGGACGAACCCAGGCTGCGGCGGGCGCTCCAGGCCCGGCCTACGCAGGGCTTCCGACGGCCATGGGAAGCACGTCCTACAGCGGTCCTGCACCGGCAAGTCCCCGCCGCCACCTGCATCCCAGGGGCCAGGGGGCCGCGGACCTGAGGAAAAGCGGCCGCAGCCTTTACCTCCTCCAGCTCAGGCCCGGCCACTTCCGGCCTCTCGGGGTCGCCCATCGCGCAGACTCCGCCAGAGCGACGGCAGCTTCAGGCCACCTCCAGCAGGGGCTGGACCCAGGTGGCCCGCGGGGCTGCGGAGCCCGGCCTTCCCCGGCGGCGGAGACCCTCCCACGCCGGTCGGCCCCGCCTCGCTCCCCGGCACCGCCTGCCCCACAGAGGGACTCACCCTGCGCAGGACTGGTCCGGCCTTCCCAGCCTCAAGGACACGCCCACTCCGGATGTCGCCGCCCCCTCTACGGCCCAATGAGGGCTCTCCCTGTGTCTGCCGGCCCCGCCTTCCCTGCCGCAGGGCCACGCCCACTCCGGAAGTCCCCGCCCCCTCCACGGCCCCGCCTCCCGCCTGCCCAATGAGGGCTCTCCCTCTGTCTGCCGGCCCCGCCTTCCATGCCGCAGGGTCCCGCCTCCCGCCTGCGGGCGAAAGCGGTCACCTAGAGGCACTCGGCCCGCGGCTTCCGGCCACGCCCTCCATGGCGGCAGGGGCTCTCCTGCCCGGGTGCCGGAGGTGCCCGCCACGCCGGGCCACCTCTCCCAGCAGCTCTCGCCGCCGTTGCTTCAGGAACACGGTTTGTCGCGCTCTTCGGCCTGTCCCGAGAGACTGTGCCAGGTGGTGGTTAGGGGGAAGCCACGCTCTTGGTGGAAGAAAGAAAAAAAGAGAAGTAGGAACAGCCACTCTGTTGTCTTGGAGCTCCCGAAAGAAGAGACGTGGTGGAGGGGAAAGTGTGCGTGTGCAGGGGTAGGTGGAGCTCCCAGTCATGTTGAGTGAAGCCACTGCATTGCCAGGCCGTCTCTGTGCGGCAGCGACAGCGAAGTCCCTCCTGTGGCAGCTGAAGAAACAAAGGATCCACCCGGAAGGTGCTCAGGTGGAGAGAAACTAACACCTGTTTCTTTAAGGGGCCCATCTAAAGGAATCTACGACAGAAAGGGAAAATTGTTTGAGCTAACAATCAAAAATGAGGTGACAGATGGGCGTTGGTAGCCTGAGGCTGAAAAAGTGAGCCTTGAACAACGTGCACCAGCTTGGGGAATGAATGGCTGTGTGAAGCAGGATAAATAGGATCGTAATTCCCTAAGCAATGACAGAGATGAAGGCCTTTTTTCATTTTTTTTTTTTTTTATTGGTTAAGGTACCTTTTGGAGCGCACCGGGGATGGGGGCTGGTTGCCCAGGATGCCAGGGGCTAGAGGCTGAATCAATCACCAATGGCCACGTGACTATCAATCATGCCTAGGTCATGAAGAAGCCTCCATAAAACCCCAAAAGGACCGGGTTTGGTGAACACGGGGAGATCGGGAAGTGGCGCGCTTGGAGAGAACAGAGAAGCCCGCATCCTTTCCCTGTGCGTACAGCTCATCTGGCTGTTCCTCACGTAGGTCCTCTTATAATAAACCGGTGACCTAGTAAACAAAACGTTTCCCCCGAGTTCTGTGAGCCACTCTGGCAAATTACTCAAATCCAAGGAAGGAGTCCCGGGACCTGGGCCTGCAGCTGGCAGGTGGAGGGGCGTCTTGTGAGACTGAGCCCTAGACCTGTGGAAGCAGATGCTGCCTCCGGGTCCTGGGTCAGAGTGGAGTTGAATCTTGATGCTGTGCAGATATCGGAATTGGGCGATCAGAAACTTCAATGACCAATTCACTTGCTTATAATCAGACCTCCCACAAAAGTGTATAGCCCAATGTTTAAGAATGCAAGCTCCAGATACCTGGAGATATTTCACACTTATGAGCTGTGTAACCTTAAAAAAGTTGTTTACCCTGTGTCTGTTTTCCTGATAGACAGGCTTTATCTCATAGGCTAAAATGAAATATAATACATGTGTACATAAGTACTACCATGTTTCCCCGAAAATAAGACATCCTCTGAAAATAAGACTAGTGCATAGAAAGATAAGACATCCCCTGAAAATAAGACCTAGCGCAACTTGATATTCATATGACTTTGGGAGAAAAAAATTAATATAAGACACTGTCTTATTTTCGGGGAAACAGGGTAATACTAATAATTAAAAGAAATTTCAGGATACAATCATAGCAGTCCAATATATATTTTTTTAAGAAGTAAGATAGTTTCCTTTTATTTAATCTATGATATCTTGACATGTACATTTCTACATTAATCAAATGTTTACAGAATCTGTATATGCATGCCTACTTAATATATTGAAAATATTTTCAATTACTGCTCAGGCAGTTTTTGAAAGCACTTTAACCAGTCCTTTATCAGGAGAAAGAACCTAATTCAGGACAAGGTGGTTAACAGAAGCATTTTTAGATAGGTTATAAGTTGTAGCCATTTGGCTCTTGAGAGTTTGCAAACAGGGGCATTTATATTTGGGGGTAAAAAATAGAAAAAAGAAAAAAAATTAATGCTCTTTGGGCAGTGTTTCATAGTCACCTGGAATGCTGTTTAAGAATAAAGGTTTCTGACTTCCAATTAATACTTACTGAACAAGAACGTGACTAAGATCTGCATTAACAAGATCCACAAGAGAATCTTAGGCCTACAGTCACGTGAGAACAACTGCCTCAAGGGAAGACCTCCCTTGAATTTGAGTTTAGACCTAGAAACTGCTGACAACTTTAAACACACAAAATATCTATAGGAGAGAAATGTTTAGGTGCAAATACTAAGCAGTGAAATCATACTCTTAAAAGCCCTCTTGTCTGTCCCAGTAAGCCATTATGCTGAAGTCTTGATATTCAGATGACTTAGGGAGGAAAATTAAAAGTAGTAACACTCTGAAAATCCTCAGTAAAGTTCATTCTTGGTCTTCTCTTCCTAAATTTGTTTTCAATTCTATTAGATTTAATCACTAAGCAAGACCAAAAGAGAACTTTATTTTACATGACTTTATTTTACATTGAAAATCATTTTATGCTTTACTTTAAAAAAAAAAAAATCAGTTTTTTAATATTCCTAAAAGCATTTTAACCAAAATCTTGATTTAGGAAGACTTAAGACATTTTGCATTATTTTAAATATTTCCTCAATTATTAAAATAAGTTCACAATTAGGGTTTCAAGTGTCCTAATCATATCTGTTTTGCTCTCATTTCATACTTTATCAATCCTGTAATGTGCATACAGAAGTGAAGGTGATATATTATCTATTTCAGACATATCAATAACCAGCTCTTAATCTAACTACTATTTCACTTACTCAGAAATAGCATTTAGACATAAAAACCAATGTTACTTTGTAAAATAACCTTTGGTTAATTTACACAAATCTAACAGCATGTTGCATAAGTTTTGAGTAATACGAGTTTCAGTATCATTTTAGTTTTTAATATATGTTAGCAAGGCTGAGAACATCATGTAGTTCATTCTTCTGAAGGAAGTTATATAATCAAAGTGTAGTGCCTTTGAACATGAAAAAATCCCGAAGGCCAGGAGTCCTATGAAGGAACTGAAGTCCTATGAAGACTCTCTGCTCATTTTCAGTAGGTAGAGTGACTAGTTTGTCACTTTATTTGAAGATTTTGTGAAGAAAACCGTTGTCCATATCGTGCCATTGAATGAAGCTACCACAAGAATTTAGATATTGGTCCGAGGCTATAAGTACCTGTCACATAGGTGAGTTAATTTCCTTGCCAAGTAAGGGTCCCAGCTTCACTCCCCAAATTATAAAAAGAAAAGGTGGCCTGGCCAGTGCCATTCAGGATTCCTGCTAACTGTAAAATGTGGACTGATTTTTCTTGTTTCTTATAGTCCATGTGTATATAAACTTTCAGTTCTTCAAATCAAGAGTTTTTTTGCACATAACCATGTCGGTGTATTACCCTTAGTTTAAAAATGTACAACTAGATAAATAAAAACTATTGTTTCTTCAATATTACTTGACATTTCTTCTGTAATTTATTTAAAAAAGTAAATGTAACAAGATACTTAAAAAAGGTTTTAGATACAAAAGTAGTTAAGCTGCTCACGAACATTTAAAATCACCAAAATGTATCTTCAGTAATCATGATCTTATAAAACATTTTACAGTTATCAGAAAGTGCCCAGGCTGAGTTCACATAACTAAATGCCTTAGTACAGATGTCTAGTTAGGACTGAAGTGCAGTAACCTCCTGACTGATTGCTCACTGAAGAAGGATACAAAGGGGAAAAGGTGACTGTGGTCAAGTATTATGCATTGGCCCCATCATATGTACAAAAAGTGCCCTCACTCAAATGAACAATTACATGCAAAATATTAGTGATTTCATTTAATATCCTACAGTTCAATGCAGCCAAAATAAACCGCAATAAGTGGTTTTTATAGGTACGGTAAAAGTGATTTTACCTTTAAGATCTGAATGTCCAGAACTTTTTACACCATCCATATACATGATACACAATTGCAGCCAACCACAAATTCAATACCATAAAAAAGTTAAAATGAAAACACAGAACATACTTAATTTTTTATTTTGAAATTCCCTATTCCCTCTATACAAGAACCTTTGCTGAAACACTTTCACAAAGGCAGCAGTGAATTTTCAGAACATTTTACATTTTTTCCCCCTCAGCAAAAAGATAAATCACAGTGTAAATTGTTGTTCTGCTGTCATCTTTGGCTGGGTTAGACCCAGAAGTTGTTAACTAGCAAATCATAGTCAGATGTTGCTAGTGCTCCTCAGTCCTTTATGCTACAAACTCAGCAAGGAATGTTTGTATTTATCTCTTTAAGGTACTTCCAGGGGGTGTGACAGCATTGACTTCCATAAACTTTTATAGACAAATGGAAAAAAATCTACAAAATTCGCTAGTAATATTACACAGCAGTTACACACTTTTTATGCTCTACACAAAACCAAAATTCTTGGTCTTAATGGCGAGTAGCAATTTCTGTTTGAGAATCTGTTTAGAGGAATAGAGTGGGACGTAAAGTCGAGAAATGCAAGTATTTGCAGTAGGAAGATGTTGATCATCTGGTGGTCTTATTGTGATTGAGGGCATAGGCTGAAATCCTTCCTCACTGGCTGGTAATGATGGGCTTGATGTCCAAAAGTAAACCTAAACAGGAATATATAATTATAGTTTTGGTTTTTAGCAGATTAACATTCAACTCTTAATTCTGGCAATATACTCACAAAGACCCATTTTTGTATTAAAATCTACAAAAGGGTATTATACTATTTTGAACTGAGTTTTTTATTTTTTGTACTGAAAAGGGAAGGTTCAGGGTCAGAAGGGAAAAAAGTGTCAGATATGTAGAAAAGACACTGTTTCAGTCTCTCATCTGTAACATGAGGCTGTTGGACCAAATGTTCTCTAAGGGTCTTTCCAGGGGCTAAATTGCTAGGCATACCTCATAATGGAAAAATGCAGTTCTTCTCCCACCCACCACCACCACCACCACTGCCAAAGGCTCAAAATTCGCACAGATTTTTTAAAAGTTTTTTTTTTTTTTTTGGGGGGGGGGGGGCGGTGGTGTAGGGAATAGGAGGAGTAATGGGGGAAAATAAGGACACATATTTAACACCTTAACGACTAAAGAAATTTAAAAAAAAAGTTATTTTGCATTTTATCTACTAGCAAAACCCAGGATTTTCAGTGACAAAATAACTTTATAAAAGTAATTAATGAGAACATCTACTGTACATGAAAATCCATGCAAAAAGCCATATAACATTACGTTTTACTACACATCTATTTTGTGTGACATAAAATAAATGTTAACTTCTACTTTACCTTTTTACTTAAATATAATCTTTATTTTTATTAATACATTCCATTTGTCATTGACCTATACATATATACATACAATAAATAGTGCCAATCTCTAAGATAAAGCTTTTTAAATCTAATACATTTATAGTATACAGCTAAACAAACAAATATATCCAGAATTCCAGAGGAAGCCTAAATGAACTAACTTGCAATAATTCCTGAAGCAAACAGTTTTATAAGAAATCCAGAAACTCTAGAAACCCTGTAATTTGCAGGACTAATAATTCAAGGGAGAATGGTTTGAGAAACCCTGTTATATTCTTACATCCTTCAGCATTTCTCCTCAGACATATCAGGATAAAACCAACAATAAGTGAAGGGAAAGGGAAGAGAGGAAGAGACACCTTGATATACTGCTTGCGCCCTAGAAATAGGTTTTATATAGGCGTTTAAAGAGTGAAGCTCATTTCTCTTCCACGGAAAGTAGAAACGGCATTGAGATTTAACTTGATCTAACTGGTCAGAGGATGTACTGGTTTAAAAGCAGCAGGAAATTAAAACTAGGGAATGGATAAGAATTCATATAAGATAGCCAATCATTTCTATTTCTGTTTCTGATAAACTTTACAAAACTAATATGTTGCTTGATACAGGGAAACAAGGTTCCCAAATCCAAAGACTGGCTCTGAGTGATATAACCCTAACAAGCTATGTAGGTGCTCTTGAGAGCATCAAGGACAGATACGGTGTTAGCACTGGTAGGGACTTTAGGGCCCACAAGATTGGGAAAGTCTAATTATATGGAACCAATTACATAGAATTTACCAGCTAGGGAATAATTACCAGGACTGCTAAGCCAAGAACAGAACCTGGTGACAGCCAGGACTACTGAACAAACAGAAACACTAGTAAAGAAATATTGGAAGGCTGGGATGCGAGGGTGGGCACATGTAAAGATTAAGGAATACTAAAAGTACAAGTAACCATTTCCCCCTCTCAAATAAAATTCGGGGCTATACTAGACATGTGATCATTTTTATACATTCCATGAATAGTCTAGTCTAGATTACTGAACACTAGGGCTGGTCCAGTGGAGATTTTTCTTTCAAGATGAATGGACAGGTTGATTTGGTTATGGATATATTCCAGGTTAGACTGACTTTAGGATCAACTTTTCACTTTTCCAAAATTAAAACAAAAGGCTATCATATATAGTACTTTAAATTTTTACATTTTGTTCTACAAATTCTATGAACTTAACTTACAAGATCTTGTCGTTCTGTCATGCTCATCTTCTCTACTATTGACCAGAACCAACGCTTGAACTGTAAGAGCTTCTCGGCATTTTCTCCTAAGAATGAAGAATATAAATTCAATATACTGTATCAGTAGTTATAGAGTGTTTATTATAAAAATGTACATATTAAAATGTTATATAGGTCTAATTCCTAATATAGAAAATTAGGACCATTTGGATACTATAAGACCTCTATCTATATCTTACTGTCAATGGTAACTCAAGATGACCAAGATAAAAAAACCATCAATCTCAAAATTGATAATCACATGATTTTAATTCCATCTGATAAGTCATGATTATTCCCATGTTCTTAATTCAGTGCTTCTCAAATTTTAATGAGTTTTACATCACTTGGGGATCTTTGTAAACATGGATTCTCATTCACTACGTCTAGAGGGAAGTCTGTGGGGGGAAAACAAAAATTCTACATTTCTAGAAAGTTTCAGATGATGCTGATCTAAGGATCATACTTTGAGTATTTTTAAATATATTCTTTCCCCTCCTCGGTTTTTGACTTGTAAATGAGACAAATTCTTACCTGAGAAATACTGAACACTATATTAAAAAATAGCACAAATGATTACACAATGACTTATATATTGCCAAGCATGAAGGAAAAACAAGAAAATTTATTCAAACTTAACTTACTATAATTTGGTTGAAGCTGTTTGCAAAGTATAAAAAATAAAGGAGGAAAACTTGGTACCTTAAATGTATGCAATAATCTTGAACTATAGGTATAATCCTGTCATAATGAATTTCTTGGAACTTCCAGTGTTTTATTGTGTAGTCACAGCTAAAAAGTCTATTCCTAGACTATAGGACTTTGAAAAAAAGAGTTGCAGCAAATCAAGCACTAAAGGTAAATGTTATTCCAGGAGGATCATCACCATCTCTCTTTTTCCTTTCTAGATACTCCATGTGTTTATGTGCTGCTATTATCTTTGTGTGTTGTTTTTTTCTTAAAAGTATATAAAATCCTTTTCACCCAACCGAGATCGGTTTGGCTCAATGGATAGAGCGTCGGCTTGGGGACTGAAGGACCCGGGTTTGATTCCGGTCAAGGGCATGTACCTTGGTTGCGGGCATATCCCTAGTAGGGGGTGTGCAAGAGGCAGCTGATCGATGACTCTCTCTCATCGATGTTTCTAACTCTCTATCTCTCTCCCTTCCTCTCTGTACAAAATCAATAAAATATATATATATATTTTAAATCCTTTTCACCCAGTTGTTCACCACAAGGAATTTTTACTTTTTTACTAACCTTACATTCTTTAAAATCTAGGAAAATTAAGCAATAAAAAATAACCTAACACTAAGTCATCATCATTCAATCATGTTTAAAAATATATATAAAAAACTTTAAAGCATCAGTAATACAACATTTCTAAAGCCTTTGTAAATGTATCTAAAAACTAGAAATTCAGAAAATGCTGACTGACCAAGCTATGTAGCTTATTCCTTAAATAAACATTTAAAAAATTTCATACCTGATTCATCATTGAAAGAGGTAAAACTGATCAGCATCTGCACATTAACTTCACCACAGCCATTTACCAAAAGCCTAAAATCTTCTGCTGTTAAATCTTCTAATGAGTTTTTTGGAAGCACATCCAGTAGACCTTTCCTCATTGCCTAGAGAATTCAGAAATCATCTTTTTATTACTATTGGTACTTTTCCATGTAGCCTTTATTGTTAAGTCCCAATATTTAGTTTAGCAGCCCCTCTCTAAAATATTAGTTCTCATTTTAAACCAGAGAAAAAAACATTAGGTTCTATATTTTTAATTTCTTAATAATAATAGATTCAAAAGAGAAAATGGCTTCAGGAATGGGCTTCATTTCAAAAGTGAAGTAGTATTATATACCAGTCATTAACTGAAGTAATTGTTTAAACCGTATTAATAGCAAACAGGGTAGTCACTGAATAATAAGAATAGCTTCAATTTGTCAAACATGCTATCCTGTCAACATCCTAAGGTTGGTATGATAATGACAAAACAAACTTCTCCAACACAAGCCCAAAATCTAGAAGCTTACTGAGAAATTACCATGTGCCAAAAATTGTTCTAAGCACCTTATATGTATTAATTCACTCAACCTGATCCTCATCTAATGTTACCCAGCCACAGGGGCTGCAGCCATGATCCCATGATCTGAATGAACCCTGCCTGTATGAATCCAGAGCCTGCACAGTTATTCCCAGCCCAAGCATCAGAAACACTTGACACTACCAGACATAAATCTACATAAACAGACATTTTAGTACAGAAGGGGAGTTAATGTGGCAAGCTTGATGTTGCTCTTAGAAGGGCCTGGGTGGCCCTTGGCTGGCACTAGGAACTTAACTTGGTTTTTCGAATATTCCCTACATTACTAACTGATGTGGCTGTTCAGTGTCTGGGGCAATGAGCCCTGCTGTACAGCTTGCCTACGCTCTTTGAGCAAATAGGGTGATTTATGTTGAACATGTGCTTTTCTCTGGGAGTCTGATTTCCAGTAATCCTGGCTGGTTGTGCAAGCAGGAATATGCTTCAGGACTGGCCTCCAATTAAAAACCTTTGGCTGGCTCTTAAGCAAGCTCCCCTAAGCACAAGCACTGCACACATACTGCTGTTAACTCACTGCTGGAGGAAGAACAGTGCTCTCTGAGATAACCCAGGTCCTCTGAGAATTTTGAAACCCTGCACTTGATGCTTCTATGCTATGCCTGATGCATTTTTTTCCTCTTTTGCTATAATACACCATAACTATCAACACAACTGCCTCTGAGTCCTAGGAACCCAACTAATAAGTCAGCAAAAGTATGGATAGTCATAAGACCCCAAAACAGTAGTCATTTCAGTCCCATAAACATCCTTTCCAAACTTTTGGCCATCAAATTAACTTTCTGATGATTACATGGTTTTTTCATTGTAGTTTCACCCAAAGAAAGTAAAAGGTCTGAATTCAAGTGCAATTTACATTATAAATTCACTTTGGTTTAAAATTTTTGACCATTTATAGACAGTTGAATATACTCTGAACTAGTTTACCACACAGGATCACACAGAGCCTCATCAGATCAAGCAACACTTTGTTAGTAAGCACTTACGTGTAATGGCTGTTCTGCAACTACCAACATTCTGTGCTCTGCATATTTCCGCACATATTCATACACGTTTTGGGGAGTCACTGGTATATTTACACCATTAGGGATAAGTTCAACCTGTGAAAAATTCAGCAATGCAATTTAAAAGCCATTTTGTCAAAATAGTAATAAGTTAACAGTTATTGTGGTAATCTGGAACATGGGTCACTTCCCAGGATCCAACTCCGGCTCCCACCCTGTAGAAAATATAGTGAAGGCCTTCTATAAGCAGACTGAGACCTTGGGAACCTGGCCAGCAACTCAGGCTAAGAAAGGCCAGAGAGAAACTGCTTCTAGAAGTTAGCCTGAAAAAGGAGACATATGTACTACTATTTGTAATACTTTAAACAATAAAATAAAATTTTAAAAAATGCCTATCCCCCCCCCCCCCCCCCCCACACACACACACACAAACACACAAAAACAACAACAAAAAAACTGGTATATTAACACAATGGAATACTATATATATAAAAGTTAGCCTAGACTGTGATCAGCTAGTGTTTTAACCTCATGCATATCTCCCTGCATGCATGGTTTTTCTCTGCTTCTATATGCTATAAAACCTTGTGCTGGGAAAGTCTGAGTGATGCTCAAATGAACTCAGCAGCTGCACCAGAAGCACTTAACTCCAATAAACCCATGTCTTCCACAGACAGTCCTCCAGGTTATTTCTCTGGAATCCATGAACGATAGCTGTTTTCTGGGACCTACCTCAGCACTTTGCATAACACAATTCATAAAGCAATTTCCTACATTTTTTAGTCTAAAGACAATTGTGTATCTGACAAGTATCTAAAGATACAAACAAGTAAGTGCCCAAAAAACCCTTCTGCCTCTCAAATCTTTGTCTGCTAATTTGTGTCTTTTCTCTGTCCCCCCTCACCCCACCTCCCTCTCTCTCGGCTCCTATCTACCTAGGTTGTTTCTATATAAAACAAGCACAACAGACCAACCAAATGCTCTTGCCAGAATCAGAAAACTATATAATTGCTTTACCTGTCCTCCACCCTCTTCTTTACACAGGTCAATTGCAAATGCCAAATCCATTGCTGAAAAAACAGCATCAGCATCTGAACTCTGGGAAGCGAGGATAAGTTGCCGCAAACTCTCATACATTACAGGGTCAAAAAAAGCAAAATCATGCCAGTTGACCTAAGAAAGTAATCATAAAAAAAAAGTTTTGCTTTATTTATTAGTAACTTAAAATGTATGATAAAGAATAATTTGAAGATATATATTGAGTGGCCAGATTATGATGATCTTTGAACATATAATAGTCTGGCCACTCAGTGTATTTGTATCTCAGATGGGTACCAAAAGTATTCTAGACTTTTGCTGGAGATCAACCACCTATTTGCCCTGAGCTTTCTATCAGCCAGTGCAAAGGGGAAAACTGATCAGGTGCACAATTTGTAGTATCTTTGATATCAAATAAATGTGGTACTCAAGAGAAGTACACTGAGTGGCCAGATTATTATGCGTTCAGAGATCATAGTAATCTGGCCACTCAGTGTACTGATAAAGAATAATTTCCCAATAAATATCTAATAATTGATTTAAAGGGGTAAAGTTTAATAAATTTTTGGTTCTGATAATACATTTTAATTTTTAAAACAACTACAATTTATTTTTGAAGCAACTTAAGGTCAACAGTATAATTTTTTAAGTTCTAAAAATACATATTTGCAAAACTAACACTAATTTTTAAACAATGATTATGCTGAGCAACTGATCCTAAACAAAATATGAATCCTAATCTTGACAATAACTTTAAAATATAGATTAATTACAGATATAAATCTGATGCTCAAATGAACTCAGTAACTTGCTAAAGATCATGTCATTGGCTTTACTTTGATTCCATGATCTTTTCCATTAACATCATTAAGGCTAGACATACCAACTGAGCATATGTTGCTGAACTTTTATTTCAGTGATTCCTTGCACAAGAACATTTTAGGTAGGACACTTTTAAGAATTCAATAGGGTCAGAGGGTTTTGTGTTTTGTTTTGTTTTTAAGAATATATATGATATTGCTATATTAACAGACACAATAGTGGGCTTGATTAAAAATATTTTTAAATGATTTATAATGGCTATAATGCTTTAAAATTTAATATCAAATTAATGCCATAAACAGTATGCTATTATATTATTATTTTATAAAAGAAAAATTTTACAATTATAAGAGCAATTTGGTTCATTAAAACACTTACTTTTCTACCAAGCAACACTTTAATCACATGCCTATTTAATGTGATAGGACATAGTTCATTCTGTAACAGACACAGTCCAAGAATCCTAAAAATAAAACCAGGAAATATTTGAATTCACAAATAATTCTAAAACATGTATAACCTCTCACATACAGAGATAATAACCATACAGTATTTTGAAAAAAAGTTTTCTATAGCCCAATTTCTAATCAGTATGACTTAGAATATATACACATTTAAAAACTAATGTATTTTTCAAAGTCTAACTGAAATTTTTTGAAAATTCAAATATAAGATGGGAGGTATTTTACCTGCCAATATTTCTGAAACAATTCAACCTTGCTTCTGTGTTTTTGCCAGGTCTCGGAGTATAAAATCCTCTTTTTCCAGGTTGGTAAAACAAAGGTGCATTGTCATCACCATCATCCGTATCATCTAGATCCATATCTACTACACTTCGACTAGAGCCATGACGCTTTCGGTTTTCCTAGTAACAGAGCATCAGAGATTAAATGCCAAGGTTAATTTTAAAAACAAAGCATATGAGCTTAAAATCACTCAAAGTCAAGTCAGGTAGGTAGAGCAACACTAGTTTTTCTCTTCTCTGTTCATATAAATAAAAGCATTTTAATGAAACTCTGCTAGTTTCTTGCACCTTAATTCCTTAAGTATATTTTTTCACTGAATCTAGAAGTCTAGAATAATTCTTAAAGCACTTTAAGGATGATGTTCCATTTCATTCTCTTCCAACCTTCCCAGTTTTTGACGAGAAATCCAGTCTTTCAGATCATCATTTCCCTCTATGTAAGGCACTGGTTTTTGGCTGTTTTATTTTTACAAAAAGCAGTTTTATTATAATGTGTCTGGACATATTTCTATTAGTTTATCCTGTTTATAGTTCACTGACCTTCTTGAATTTATACATCTGCCTTGGATCAAATTTGGGAAGTTTCAGCTATTATTTCTTCAAATATTTTTTCTGTAGCAAGCTTTTCCCCTTATTTTCTGGATATCCTATTGACATGAATGTTTGATCTTTCTGGTCCCTGAAATAGTTCCATTTAAAATCTCTATTTTCAACATGGATGATTTCTAACTCTCTTCAAGTTGACTGGCAACTTTTCTCTGTCTTCATTCTGCTACTCACCTATCCAGTGAAGTATTTTATTTTAGACATTGTACTTTAATTCTAATATCGAATATTTTCTTCCATTCTCTTATAGTTTCTATTTCTGTTTAGAACCTCTATTTTTGTCATTCCGTAGTGTTTACTGCTTTACTTCAGAGAAAGAACTTAAGATGTAGTCTTTGATAATTCCAACAAGTGGGTCATTTCTAAATTAACATCCACTGGGAGAATTGGTCAGTCTTTCCTGGGTCTTTGATGTTGGGTAATTTTGGAGTCTTTACCAGATTCTGAGTATTAAATTGTGAAAGTTGGGATGTTATTAAAATGACACAGAGAATGTTGATATTTTGGCAATCAACCTGGTTAGCTTCAGATCACAAGTGTCACCTTCTGTGTGCAGTGGTTCCAATACCAATTAAGTTTCCAAACTTTTCATTTTAGTGTTTAGGGCCTGCTCTGCATATTCACCATTTGATGTAGTCTGGGACTTGGACAATGGTTTATACACTGTAGGTTAGTTCTCAAAGCCTTTGTTCTATCTTCTAGCTAAGACAGAATAGCAACGATCAGCTTTACTTCCCTCCTTAAAAAACAATGGCATACCAACTGCTTTTTCAACTTTTGATTTCCTGCTCTAATCTGTTTGCTACCTTTTACTTTTCAGGATCCTCAGGCAGTTCCATTTTGTATTTGTCTAGTTTTTAGATTTAAGCAGTGAAAGAGATAAGAATATACTGGGTTTGCTCCATCTTGGCTGATAATGAAGTCCTTTGTAGCTTAAGAATAAAACCTAACTGCTATACTACATCATATTTTGTCTGCATCTTTTACATTCACTGCTTCTTTGAAGAATAAGCTCTAGGCTTTCATATTACCTCTCCTCTGCTATTAATTCATGACATCTCTAAATTACAGCTTAATTCAGGCTGTGATTAAATGGAGGCAGCCAGTGAATGTCATAACTAGTATATTGAACCCTAATTAAACCAATCTCATTACTTGATTGTGTGCATGACACCTGTCTTTGTAATTTTTCTCTATTATAATCAAGCACTTTACTTATAAAGACATAGTTCCTTCATAAATATGGCTTTCCTCCCCTCCTGTAATTCAAGTTACAAGTGCTTAATTAATAGCACATATACAAAATATCACTTACCTGTACCTTTTCTGAGGAGTCTAATAATCCAAGATCCAGGATACTATCAGCTCCATTTTCCCTAAAAACAAACAAAATGCCTTTCACATTCCAGATAACTGACATTTATAGAATTTAGTGTAGAGAAAACGTGAATTTAAATTTATAAGAATTTATAAATACATTTAAGTTTTGAAGTAAATAAAAAGCATTAGATGTTCCAAGCATATTTCAAGATAACGAACTAAAGGCTAAGAGAAAATAAATGTGGTCTTCATAGGGGTGCTAAAGGTTAGCTTGGGGAAGAATTATAAAGAACAGAAAAATGTTCATAAAGCAATCACAATTAGAAATCATTTTTTTAGTGTATTATTCTAGAATACTAGTAACTAGCATTACTAGTATATAGGTGAAGAAAGCAGTCAATATTATATATTCTTTGCATTCTATAGAAAACACTACTGTATTAGCAAACCTTGCATATATTTACAAAACTTTTTCTCATCAAAAATGTATAATCCTCTCAACATTTTCTGTAATGGGCTGAGCTCTATAAGTGTGCTGATACCTCCAAAGACAGGAAAGAGGAATAAAGAAATAGTGCATAAAATCTAGAAAAGAAAAGTATTAACAGCAAAGAAAATAAATTTCTAACAATAGCTTTTGGCTTGGACCATTCAAAGTCTGAAATAAGGGAAGCGGATGTTTAGTTTCAGAGATTAGCCTACCTGCTTTCCATCGTTAGTACTATATCTAAACTAAGTTTCTCATTCGAAATCATGACTAAGAAGAAAAAAAAAATACATTTTCATCTAAAGAAAGTAACATCTCAAAACCTCAAACTGGATATTAGGGTAGTCCCAGAATAGAAGGCACAATATAAATATGACATATTTTCCTAATGTCACTTGTCACCTTGGAAAAAGGGTAATTTAACAGTTAGAAATTTAATTTTTTTTATTAAAACAAATAAATTGCACAATGGAAAGCAAAAGCTTGCCATGCATTGAGATAAATCAGGAGGCCTAAAAGAAATTTCATTCTATGGCAAGAACTCAAGTACTATACCCCAATTTCTTGAGGTATTTAGTTTCTGTAATGAGGACTATATCCTGATGGGAGAATATGAGATGTATTTCTTATAACTTTTAAATATCTCGTACTTAAGGGAATGCTAAAACTCTACTTTCTATAAATGTGAAACTCAGCTCTCTCAATCATGGATTTTAAGCCATCTCTTGAGAAGCCACTTAAAGTCTTATTCTTTATAGTATAAATTCTAAGCTATGGTGGCATCCACATCCTAATAATAAAGCAGCTGATATGTAAACTGAAATGCCTTCCCAGCTGTACACATTACCGTCCATGTGCAATAATGAGTTCCATGGCTTCATCCACTCTTGCTCTCAGAGAATCTTCACTTGCTAGAAGGAGAAGCAACTGAGCTGGGGACAATTCCAACAACATGCCAGTGATTTTACTTGCAAAAGCCTGCAAAGGATGAACAAATGTTAATGGCCCTATTCTCTAAATTTCTTGTCTTAATTCAGCAATCTTGCCAGCCCCAAAAATAAAAAGGAAAATAAGAAATTTAGATAACAATTCAAAAACTTTTGATCCAATACGGTTTTTTATTAAACTAGAAGCTTAATTATAGAGAACTTTGGTAGGGACTGTATAGTCCATACACTAGCAGCCTTGTTAAAGCTATTTTAATATTTATATGGTAAGCCTTTTTTTAATACCCTTGATATTCATGAGTTAACATACTAATAATTTCCCTGTTTTTATTTCCTATAAGAAACGTTTCTTTCATTTAAAGGTAGAAAAAGAGAGAGTGTGGAGAAGTGAAGGAGGAAGAGAGAGAAAAAGATGCCAATATATAAGGCTAAGGATTTATTGACAAAAATATAATTGGGTTTCTGTTTTATTATTCTTTTGCTATAACTAGTAATATAGTTATGTAAAAGAAAAAAATCACAACCAGTTTGTTTTATATTATGAAAGAAATCTGAGAAAACATTCAAAATAAAAATCTTGTAATATTTATCAGCAGAAAGGTACAGTATTTGCAATGTGTTCTAACTACAGATTAAATAACAGATAAAAAGTCTGCTTTCAAATGTAACAATGTGTGCTAATATGTTTTTTGAAACAGATAATTCTTTTTAAAAAAATATATTTTATTGATCTTTTACAGAGAGGAAGAGAGAGGGATAGAGAGTTAGAAACATCGATGAGATAGAATCATCGATCAGCTGCCTCTTGCACATCCCCCACTGGGGATGTACCCGCAACCAAGGTCCATGCCCTTGCCTAGAATCGAACCTGGGACCTTTCAGTCCGCAGACCGATGCTCTATCCACTGAGCCAAACCGGTTTCGGCTGAAAAAGATAATTCTTCCAGGAAGCATGTTCCTTCCTAAGGTTTAATCTTACTACAGTCTTCAAGCACATGATTTGCCAGGAGCTGACAATTTTTTAAAATACCAGCTTTAATTTAAGTAAGTGGCAGCTGACTTCACTGTACATACTGGTTGCATTGCTTGGACACGAGGATAAAGTCTTTCTCCAAGCGCCTGACGATGTGCTGGCAGAGGATCAGGATCATCACTAGGATTCCCTTCAGAGGCTGGTCTGAAGGGTCTAGTGTCGATGGAAAGCTGTCTTCTAAAGTCTCTGAAAGAAGAACAAAGCTATTATGATTTTATTTCCTTTGCCTGTAAAATTAAAATATCAGCACAACAGGAAATGAAAGTAGAAAACCAGAGCTTAACAGGTTGTTCCAATTATGGCACACCGTGGTGGTAGTATACCTAACACTAGATGATGATTGGGAAACAAAGATAATTTAATTTTTTTCACTTAGAAATCTATAAATTCACAATACATAGTTCAATTTGATTCTAAGAGAAGAGACCTTAAAATACCAGAATCAAGAGCCCACCTATAATTCCTGGAGATAGTAGTCAAAAGTAAAATGCCAATCATCCTACCAGGAGAAAAACTGAAAGGTTTAAATAACATAATTACTACAATTATAACTTTAAAACAAACTTCAGAAAGAATGCTATGAAATTTCAAAAATTAAGTACTTGAGAAGGATAAATAAAAACGAATATAATTTCAACTGCCCTGAGTTTTTAAAGAACATTTTTAAAATGTTGAGATTATTTTAGTTATTATGTATGTATCCAAATATTAACTTTAATTTTCTAAAAAAAAATAGTCCACAATTAAAATTCTTTTATTTACAAACCTGCCTTCAATTCTTCCAAAAAGGTAGAATTCAACAAAAGATACAAAATTATCTCACCTATCCCGATCTCTCCGAGAACCTGCTCGCAAGCCACTACTTCTCCTCATTTCCCTCTCTCTCTCCCTTTCCCGATCCCGCTCTCCTCTGTTCCTTAATCTTTGCATTAAACCTGGAAGGAAATATGAAATACACTTTGTTTAGATAAATGTAATTTCAACTATTTTGAAGTCAATGTGAGGACATGACCTAACATAGTAAGAAAGACATAACAGCTTTAGAGCATCACTCTCCCTATGGTCTTAAGGGTTGGGGTGATCGTGCAGAATGTATCTAGTATATATTAGGTGTTCAGTATGTGTTTAATGAATTTTTCCTCTTTTGTCACATCAAAGCTGTGAAATAATATGTAGCAACTGGGCTATGTTAGTTTTACCATAAATAATGCTGACATTTCTTTCAGAATTAGAATCATATTTGAACATCTTCCCTATTATTTGTATTTGATTTTATCTATTATAGGCCATCCAGAACATTAACTGTTATTATTTTTAAAACTATAAATATAAGCCTGAGTATGGTTTCTAAAGAATATGCAGAAGTTATTTTTGAATTATTACGACTCCCCAGGTTTCTCATTTACCTTTGCCAATTTCTTATTAAAAGATTACTAGAGGCCTAATGCACGAATTGTGTGTAAGAGGCTTGGCCCTGGCGGCCCCAGCTTCATCCAGAAGGTTGTCTAGAGGATGTCCAGAAGGTTTTCGGCTGTCCGATCTAATTAGCATATTATACTTTCATTATTATGAATAGAAAGTCAAATGGTAAAACTAATGATGAAAGGCTGGGGTACGCTCCCCATCTTTTCATCCTCAGTCCTCTCTAGAGCTCATTCAGCCTCTACAGTGGTGGTTTAGAGAATACCAAAAAAATGCATCTACAGCCTAGGTGAAATACAGGATTTTCTTAGTAACTCCCTCTTCCCCTCAATTATTATATCCTCCCACCTACAGAACTGATAATATTCTGTCCCCTATTCATGAATGACCAATTATCACCTACTCAAGCCTTTTGCAATTTTGACTTTTTTATTTGCTAATTGGAATCTTGAAATTTAGGCAAAAGTTCTAATCCCCAAGTGCTGCTATTCAAAGGAGGTAAAAGAACTTACACCAAAATGTTAGTAGAAATCTCACTACCACAATACAAACAGTGAGGTTAATGACACAGGTCAACCAATCTACATTTGGTTGCCAAGCTCCATTATCTTACTGGGAGCCAGCAGCAACTCTATAAAGCATTCGTTCAATAGCTCTGCTCTGGGGGTCATGATTTCTTCTCAAGTATCTGTACTAATTAAACAGAGGCTGAACTTGTATATTACCATGGATCTTACAACCTACCACCCCTAAACCTGTAACAACTAAAATGAGAAGTTATAATGTTCATCAACATTAAGGAAAATATATGTGACAAAAGGGCAAACTGCTAAACTGTCAATTAGAATAGTGTAAATAAGATTAAATCATTAATCTAGAATGAAAGTATATAAAAATGTAAATGTATATTGAAGTTCTCTCACTATAAATACGTGTAACTATAATTATCACTGTTTCAATCAAATAAGAAAAGATTTTTATGTTATTTGCTATCTGTCAAGTACTTACTTGTATGAGTGCCTTTGTTGGCATTTTGGATACAATCTAGATTTGGCAATTTTTCATTTGACAAAAACGCTTGTGCAATGGCTGTATAAAAACTTCGTGCTACACCACTGCCCTCTCCTGGCTCGTCCTTAAATGTGACTTTCACTCTGTGCACAGCCATAGGTGTGGTGGCACATCTTCGCCCAAAGTGATTGTTCAGCTGCCTCATGGTCTGCTGAATAAGAAGATCTCGATCCCGATCCACCTACAAAAACATATCAAAAAGTAATAAATTCAGTGCTGAAAACCATCCTAAAAATTTTCAATGTAACATCTGAACATCTAATTTTAGCTTTTTCTTGATAATTTAAATCAGCAGTCGCCAATTGATGGTCTGTAAGGTCCAAAAGGTTGGCAACCGCTGATTTAAATAATTAACAAAAGTAATTTAAGTCCTCAGAACGTATACATTCCAAATAAACACATTCAAAAAGTATACAAGAGTATCTTGTATTCAATCAGGATAATGGAATTTAACTCAATTCTAACATTTTCTTAAAAGGTCTACTAGAAACAGCAATTCATTCAATTTTGGAATGCACTAGAATAAACTGCAAGTAGATCTGAAGTGTGAAAAGAAATTTAAAAATAGCAAATACTAAGAGAAAATATAGAACACCACACACAAAGTTAAAGGAAACGACAACTAGGGAAAATTTTTGCACTTTCTAATACAAAGATACATATATTCATGAGTTGTATGCATTATCGCCTAAAGACAATGTGATTCTAAAAAACCAACAACTTAAACAGGAAAAAAATGGGCAAAATACATCAACAAAGAATTCACACAAAAAAGAAATATCCTTAAATATATGAGACAATGTCTAACTTTATTTGTAAGAGAAACACAAATTGAAACTATACTATAATGCCACTTCTTAATCTGTTAGATTGGTAAAGCCTAAAAATTTGACAAAATGCTGGCAAAACTATTCTTGTATTGATGTTGAAAGTATAAAAATATACAACCTTTATGCAGGGTGTTTGCCAATTCTTGGCAGAATTATGCATACACAAGCCCTTTGACCCATATTTAGATTCAATGTCTAGGAATCTCTCAACCTAGGTAAAATATAAGATACACTAGCCCACAAGAGATACACCAGAGGCTTACTCATCACGCTAGTTACTGTAACAGCAAAAAGACTTGAAACAAATCAAAATGCCTATCAATAGACTGACTTGGAAAAAAATCAGATACAATCACACAATGTCCTAGCAGTACACTAGGACTAAATAGCTGTAATAGGAAGGCAGAATATCTCTACATGCAATTAAGGCTTTATCTCTGGTAAAAGAAAGATGGAGTAAAATGTATAGCATGGTTGGGGTGGGAAATGGGAGAGAGAAAGGTAATGAATACACATGCACGAGTATAAATTTTTAAAGAGAAGAGGGAAATAAACTTTAAAACCTGAAGGGCGGGGGGCATGTAAAAGAGATAAAAATAGGAATGGAAACTAGATTTCTCTAAATACATACATCTTCTTTGTAGAGTTGTCCTTGCAACATTGCAAATATTTTACATTCAATATGAAAAATAAAAAAATAAAAGGAGAAAGCAATCCCTAAAAGCTGAAAGCAAAATAAAACAAACGGCCCCAATTATATGGAGATGGTAGCAAAACCACACAAAGATAAATTATTTCAAATAAGTTGAAAACAAAGTAATTTGACTGTACATCTCCAACTGGATATGCTCTAAGGACAAAAATCTGCAAATACATCTTAAGCTATTTTCAATAGTCACTTCGTGGTAGTGTTGACATTGTGCTTTTGAGACTGATATGTGTATGCTATAAGGTAAAAGCAAATGAGTGAAATTATCAGTGTTAATGAGAATTTGGATATTCAATTTAAAAGATAAGGCAATAAAGACTAAGAGGTGAAAATAAACAAAAATACCTTGTGGTCCCTAATCTTAAATTTGATTGAGATTATCAGGATGAACATAATTTTCTTCTTCTTCTTCTGTTTGCTTTTTTTGTTAAAAAGCATTTCCCAACTCTCTCCATTCAAAAGGCCTAGAATCAATGACCACCCTAGGAGGCAGCGTGCCCAGAAATTGTAATCTCGAAATACAATTTCTTACCAGAAGGAACAAGGACTTCTTGAAGAAATGGCTAACTTAAGTAAGATCTGTGATGGGGTATATACAAGATGAGACATACCAAAAAGTAAGGAAGTTATCAAAGATGATTCATGTCAAAAGGACTCAAGAGCCAAAAAGGAATCAGACTCCCACTAGTTAAAGAAAAGACAATTTGAGCATCAATTGGAATAATATCCTCAATGAAATAAGCCCATCAGAAACATTTAAATTCATGTGTTCTTAATGATACTGAAAGAGAGAGAGAGAGAGAGAGAGAGAGAGAGAGAGAGAGAGAGAGAGGGAGAGAGAGAGAGAGAGAAACTGAAACAAAAAACTCACTGATCATCATTAGAGGATGCTAGGAAGCTAACTGCCAGAGACAGCCACTATTTCTAAATGTGGTAATTACCATTTATTTTCTTTAAATTTTGATTTATACAGCACATATCCCTAAGCAAGATTAATCTTTGTTTTTAAACTTAATATAAATGGCATACTATATGTATAGCATAAGAAATTCTAAATACCTTTACCTCTAGTGATAAATCTCTTGACTGCTGATTTCTCAGCTTTTCCATTTCTCTACGGAATTTTGATTCTTTTACCTCAAAACCTCCCAATTCAGTTAGGATCTTAAAAAAAAAAAAAAAAAAATGCATGACAGAATTATTATCTGAAGTACATTCTTAGAGACAAAATAGAATGTAAAGTGCTGAAAATACATACTGATCCAGGCTCCGCTCCCACATCTTCCATGAACACCCTGCCGAACAGTTCTAAGGAAAGGCGCCAGCGTCCTAGCAGCATGTCGTGGGAAATAACCATCCCCATGAAGCTACACTGTGGCCTGTAGGAAGTTTAAGGGGAGAAGGGGGGAGTAATTTAGCCAACTCTAAAAATTCCCTGACTTTTGGCCAATGGCAATAATTTACTTAGTCTTTTAATATTCTGAGGCTTTAAGTATTTTAAACCACATCTTCTCTAATGAAGAACTTTCTATAGCTACTTCTTCACAGAACATCTCATTTTTACTCAATTTTTCCTGCTGTCTTTTAAGTAAGGATACATCCGTAGGCTACCTCCTTATTTTCAACTTTCATTTTACCTCTTCTCTTTCAAAATACAATGTCTATCCCCATCTAGGTGATTCCCATAACCTAATTCAACACTTTCACAATGGACCAGAATTTCTACTGTTAAATATAACACACTCCAATGACACTCAACTCAACTCAGCATGGTAAACTGATTACGGCTCTGCTCCAGTGACACTGCCTCCAGACTTCTTTCAGCAGTCACATGTGCTTCCTTACTGCACCACCATGAAACAGATTTCAACTTTTCTTCCCCGAGTTCCTCCAGTGACCAAAATAAGGCCTTTATGAGCATCTCCTTCCTTTCCATGATTTCCTTTCCAATCGCCCCCCACCCCAAAGGCATAAGCAATAATCTACGTCAGCCTTTTTTATTTTTTAAACCACTAACCAGAACTAATAACAAATTTCTAACTTGTCTCCCTACCTATAATTCTTCTATCAATCCACCGGCTTCTATACATTCTAATCACCTCGGCTCAAGACATACTGTTTCTAGGAAACTTGGGCCATCTAGTCCGTAATTCTTCCTTGCCTTTTATGGTTGTTAGGTCATGTATTTATATATAGTATCCTAAAATATATAGTTTCCTAAACTAGTTTAATACCTCCTAAGCAAAAATATTATCTGATATTAATATTATGTAAGCAAAAAACTCAGAGCATATATATATATAGCAATAATCTATAAATCATTTGGTGATTAGCCATATTGAGCCACAGTGCATATTGGCAAATTTTTATTGGGAAAGCAAAGAGCCTATCTCTTGCAAGAGAGTGTCCAACTGTGGACCTGGTGAAGAACTTCAAGTATGCGTGAGAACCACAAATGTAGAAACCTTTCTAATTATTCACATGTGCCCCCTTAACTGAGCTGTTGGAAATAAGTCTACAACTGGTCATTTGACATGGATATATAATAAAAGCATAATATGCTAATTAGACTGGACAGCTGAATAACCTTCCAGAAGTCCTTCTGGAGCTGCGAGGGCCATCGGGCCTCTACTATATATTCTTTAACTTAGTACTAAACATTAAAAACCAGTCTGAGAATCTCCTCTAAGTGAGAAAATTATAATGCCCACCATTGACACAGTCACAAAAGGACAAAAATCCATAAAACTAAAGTTCAGTATTTAAATATCTACTTATAACCTACGAAAACACAAACATCTAAAATAACATTTAATTATACTATTACACTGAAATAAAACTAAAACTTCTAAATAGAAATTCTTACAATTATATCATAGCCATAAAAGTACATAATACAACAGAAAAATTATTTCGCTTAGCAAATACCTGAAAGATGTAAGAGGTGGCCCTTCACTTTCAGTCAGTCCTATTTCTGCCAGCAAACTGCTTTTCAGCTGTGCAGCAAGATCATGAGCAGATGGCCCTGGTTTTGTACTCTCAGCTTCTTCTGGCACCACATTCTGTTCTTCCCCTTCCTTTTTTTGCCGATTTTGCATGTTCATTACATTTTTCAAGTTGGCAGCATAAGACATTTTAGTTGGAAGAACCTATGAATTTTTATATTTAAAAGTTGCACATTAAAAAAACTAACTAGGTTTTGTTTTCAATTGCTAACTAGTACTCCATAGCAATCACATGCAAGTTATAGAATTCCTTTCTGGCACTTCACCTATAAAGATGGCAGCTATTTCTTGTCTGTCTGACTCTTCTCACTGATCCCCAAGTCCAGTGCATCTACCACAGCAGCCCCAAGAACTTTTAAAAGAATCTGTTCTGTCTGTGGTTATTAAGTCTCATGCATCTTCAGTATTTTTATCATTTATTTAATAAAATATTCTATTCAACTAAATTTCTTTGATGCCTGCTCTTAAACATGTTATTATTTTTTCATTGGACATACAGTACAGAATAATTTTAGGCTCTCAAACCAGACTTTTATCTAAAATCTAGATCTTTCACTTAACCAGCTGTATAACAACAGACATTATCACATGAAATTTATGTAATCTCTCCAAGCCTGAATTTATTACCCATAAAATCAAGATAATCTACCCAACATGGCTATAAGGATTGAGACAGTGCTTAGAAGATAGAATTATTTAACAAATTATTAATATTACCTTATTTATTCACATTCTAAGTTCAAAAAAAAATGTCAAGCTAATTATTATACATGCTCATATATAGAGAGAGTATGTATTTATATATGTCATATAAATTTAAATTTTTAGGAACATTACAACAATAAACTGTAAAATAGGAAGAACTAGTTTATTGATGAAATAACCTGACATAGCACAATTTAGTCTCAAAGCTGGCTAATGAAACAGTTGCAATTCCTGTTGTTAACACAAAACAGGAATTTCTGATACTTCTATTACTTGAGGAAATACAATATTCTGAATTAATGCATTTCCAAAAATCGAAAAATGCTTATTTACAAATATTGTATTGCAAAGATTTTTACTATCTTACCTCAAGGCAGTTTCTATCCACTGTAACCTCCATTAAGCATTTCCCACTACTGGCAGATGAAGAATAAAGACCTTGACTTGGTCGACCAAAAAGATCCTCCTTTCTAGCATTTGGCTGCAATTTTAACAGAAATATTCTAGTTACTCTGTACATTTGAAAAAACTAAAGTCAATTTAAAAAAGAAAATGCTGAATACCAGTTAATTTAAATCACCTGCAACAAGTGTGGTTGATCAGCCAAGGGGATGGCTTCAGCAAGAGGCACTTCAAATGGATTTGGGGGTATACACCCAAGGAATGTCATGGAATCTGAGCGTCGGAAAAATGGATGATTTTGGCCAGTTTCTGCAGGAAGAGAGTCATCATCCTTATCATTCAAAGTAGCACCTAAACATAAAGAAACGAAATGTATGGTCTTTAGAAAAATTATTTAATCACTGGGGAAGGGTAAAAGAATCTGTTCAATCCAAAATTCCCATTACCTCTATAAATTCTAATGGCACTCAAAAATAATATAGTATTTTTAAGTGATAATTTAAGTTTTTAGCAGTTTAAAAGGGTAATAATGGTAAATTTTATTATGTATATTTTAAAAAATAATTAGCAGTAACAAATATTGCCCCATTTTTAAAAAAATATATTTTATTGATTTTTTTTTTTACAGAGAGGAAGAGAGAGGGTTAGAGAGTTAGAAACATCAATGAGAGAGAATCATCGATCAGCTGCCTACTGGGGATGTGCCCGCAACCAAGGTACATGCCCTTGACCGGAATCGAACCTTTCAGTCCGTAGGCCAATGCTCTATCCACTGGGCCAAACTGGTTTCGGCTATTGCCCCATTTTGTATTATATGGAAGTTTCCCATATCCTTCTCTTTATCTCTTTATAGAGTCAAACCTAAATAGAGGTAGATTCCTAAGCATATTCATGACCTGGGCTCACATGACTCCAAAAAGAGATGGTCAGGAGCTGAAATTTGAGCATTTGCTTACTTGTAAGTTCTGCTTCCTCTATAAGAAGACAGAGAAATTCTCTGGGCACTCATGAATCCCAATAGGAAGTCAGCGCAACAACTCCCCTTAATTAAACTTTGAGAGGGGCTTCCTGTGTGCTCTGAAAACAACAGGAAGCAATGGCTGGGCACTAAAAAACTACCAGTTAGCTCAGTTGTCTTTTCCTAGGTTGAGTGAAAGTGCTAGCTGATAATAAGGGTCAAGTGGACTAAATGACCCCATTAAAAAAAAAATTTTTTTTAAATTCCACTTGAATAGCTGAAAAATACAAATAAACTGAAGAAAATCCCCCAAATTCCTTAAATTTGGAATACTTTCTTTTTATTACATTAACCGTTACAGGTTTTTACATTTGGGAGTCATAATTAGTATTTCTCATCTTCTTTACTAATTCTATTTCCATCAATATTAACAAAGGTTCTGTCAAGATTTTAATGCAATGCCTACACACTTTACTTAAGAGTAAAAATAAAACTAAGAAATGTACAGGATAGATGCATAGATTATGCAGGAAAAATACTGATTATTGAAAAGTTCATAACATTTCTTTAATAATTCTTATTTATGAAGAAAATAGTGCAAGGTTTTATAAGGAAAAATGGACCGAAAAGGCAAGAAGATAGAGGAGAAGAGAGAAATCCCCACCCAGACAGAAAATAATGAAGTTAAAAAGCTTAAAGAAAAACTACTGAGGCAGCTATTTCTTGCAGATTAGATTTTCTGTACACTAACTTTGATTGGTGTCATCATCATTTTCGTGTTCTGAATCTTCATTATCAATACCCAGTTCCAAGAGTTCTCGCGTCCTTTAAAAAGACAAATGAGTTGTTTTACATGAAATTTTTGTGTAATATGAACAGAAACTAAGATGTTGGGAATTATAAGCAAAAAACAATGAAAAGGGTTGTTAAGGATCTAAACAATTTCAAACATTTTGACAAAGTCTCAGACTCTGGGAATGGTAGACTGACCACCATGTGTGCCACAATTACAAAATAGATTTTAATAGAAGTAAAAAGCTAATCACACCAAGAAACAGAGAGGAAGTAGTTATACAAACTCTAATATATGATCAGTCAGACCAAACTATCTCAAATATAAGGTTGGGTATACTGAAGTCCACTTTCCCACGTGAAATATTCCTGCACTATTTCTCTTTTGCAAAGCTGTTCCCCTTACTCCAAATATTGGACAATATACTAATGAATACTACACTGAGCAAGTATTTCTTAAACCAATCTCAGGGCAAATATGGATACCTTTTGCGTTCCAATTGAGGTGTATCCAATGTTGTCTGCTGATTCATCGCTTTAATCCAATATATAAGGGCCTGAAAAACATATGCTACATGCTTCAGTGAGCAAACATCCAAAACTGGAAGAACATCAGAATGCTCATCATTATGAGACCGCATTAGAGAAAGAGCATAATTTAGGAAATCCCCTCGAGCTGACATCATTCCTTGGCGAGCACTAAGCAATGTGGCACGGCTAGAAGAATAAAAAGAAATGAAAATGTTTACAAAAAGAACATAAACATTTACCACCATCATAAATATGCAAAATTAGGAACTGAAACAATCCATAAATAAAAACTACCCACTGGCTTAAACTATCCATTAAGCCCGTGGCTCTGCTTCAGAAATATAACCATTATGTATGATTTACAGTCCAGAAAAGAAATTCTAGCATTCTTGGGAATGGCAGAAGGAATGCCTTCCCTAAAGACAATGGTTCTCAAAGTTTAACATCCATGAAAATCACCTGGAGAACTTGTTAAAAAGGGTAGTTGGCCCCACCCTCAGAGTCTCAAGTCAGGTAGGGCCCCCAAATTTGCATTTTTAACAAGTTCTCAGGTGATACTGATGCTGCTGCTCTGGGGATCACATGTGAGAACCAATGACACCAAAAGCATAAGCAACTAAAGAAAACAGAGAAAGCATTGGACTTTCTCAAAAGTAAAACTTTTGTACTTCAAAGGACACCATCAAAAAAGTGAAAACAACCCACAGAATAGGACAAAATTTTTGCAAATACTGTTTCTGATTTAAAAAACCAACTAGTATTTAGAATATATAAAGAACTCAATTACTCCTTTACAACAAACTGAGATCTTATGTAAAAAACATTCTAGACTATAAGGGTCTGTTGAAACATATAAGCATAACTGAAGACTTTCATACCGTCTGCCCTCAAGGGTTCGTAAACTAGCCTCTTCCCGTGCGGTCATCCTCTCTCTCCGTGCTGAATTCTGAGAAGCGTGAAGAGGGTGATTTGGGTGTCCTGGGTCACCGGCAGATGCTAATGCAGAACCATAACGTAACTGAGCTTCAGTAGAATCCATAATACTGACCATCCAGTTCCAAGTGGGAATAAGCTTTTCTTCTACATAGTTCTATGAAGACCAAACTAAAATAGTTAAAACTGTAAAAACCAAACTAAAACAGTTAAAACTAACAAAATAAAGTTAAATTAAATACATAGCAGGTCCTTGAATAATGTCATTTTGTTGATGTGATTCTATAGGAACTTAACTCTTGTTTATATCCATTAGTGTTATGATAAAATTGGTTTCATTTTGCTTAAAGTCAAAGAACTTATAGGTAACCTATAGGGAGGACTTACTGTAGTAGTAGTATGTAAATATGTAAGTATTTGTAACCTTAATTCCCATTATACTGAAATTCTCATAATTGACAGCCAAAAAATATATTGGAACAAGTAACTCTTCCGAGGTTTCATACCTGTAAGTTCACTGCATCTTGGTAAGTCAATTTCACAGCGGCTGGAATCTGCGAGTATACTAGGTGATTATACTTAGGAATAAGGCCCATCAAGTCTGAGATTTGTCTGATGACAATGCTGTAAGCCCTGGCTAAGCTGCTTGCTGATGTTAAGTAGCTGCTGGCATTGCCAGCCTCCAGTGCAGCTGCTGCCGCTGCGGCACTCGTGCTGATGGTGCCGCTGCGGCGTAAGTTCGAAGGATCGATATAAATCAAACCTGCTGAACTCGCTGTAGGAAAGAAGGAAAGAACAATAAGCCAATGCCAGTTGCTAACTGTGTTTCTTGAGCACTATCCATATTCTAAAAAGCTAAAAGATCAAATGTACTTGCAAATGTGGAAACAGCCAAAAACTTTTTTAAGCCACGCTAATTTAGGAATGATAAGGGAGACAAGAATTACTATAAACCAGAGGCAATTTTGCCACTGCCCCCCACAAAAGGGGGGACATTTGGCAACAAACATTTTTGGTTGTCACACAAGAGTGAGGGATTGCTAATGGCATTTAGTGAGTAGCTAAAAGCACAGATTATGTTTAACATCATGCAATGCACAATTACAAAAATAAGCAATTATTTAGCCATGGTACAAAGATTGAGAAACCATGGTAAAAGCATATAGAAATATTTTTTACATTTGACCTCAGCAAAACATTAGAAAACTATTATGAAACTATTTGTTTTCTGAGGAACATGTGGAACTTCAAAAAAAAACATGCAGCCAACACTGTAGGAATGTCAGTTTTCAGACTCACCTGCCGGCGTGGAGGTGCTGGAAGGGGCCGTGCTGGCTGCCCGCTGATGCTGGGTGTTGCGGACAGCCCACTGCATGGACCGGGGAGCTTGGGCAGCGCCGTTGGCGTGGGAGCTGTTCGTGGTTCTCTCCAAAGGCTCATCGAGCATAAAGGTCTCCTGCTCTATGTCGTCACTCTGACTACTGCTGCTATCGGAATCACTCGAGTCATTTGACTGCGAGTCATCTTCAGAAAAGAAGGCAGGAACACTGCTTGCACCTAAATTTTTAATTTTTAAAAGCAAAACCATTGTGAGTTTGTTGACATTTAAAACTACAGAGTACCCCCTCATTCAGGAAAATATATGAATTAAATAGAATGTCAGGCTGTATTCAACAATCCACAAAACACATCATTAAAATAGTTTAATTAGAAAAAAAATCTTTTAAGTGAACCTTAAAATTAATCCATTATTTAAAAGAGCAAAAAAGTTACTAAAATAGTACCTTCTTTACTAATCTTATAGGGAAAGAAGATGTTATAAAAAGATTGTCACCCTTGTGCATAGTAAACAGAATACAGTTTAAGCAATTCATGCTGAATACAGAGTCTTAGTGTAAGTGAGAGTTGCACCATACCTGCTTCTGAGCCAGCAGTTGCTGCAGTGACAACACTTCTGCGCCCACTGGCATTATCTTGGTTGCTATGGTTGCTTTCACTGTCACTTTCTGTTTCAGCTGCTGCTAGTAAGTCCAGCTCCATGTCACTCCCTAGCAAATACATTTAAATAATAAGAAAAAAGTACAAACTCCCTGTGGGTCCAGACTGGGTCTAAGTCAGAATATCATAAGGGAGGGAACTAAGAAAGTAAAAGGGGGAAAGAAGAGGCAAAGGGAAGGGATAGATGCACTACAGTGAGCATAACGTCCTGCATGCAGGGAAAGGATGCCTAGGTGAACTGCGGCATTAAGTGGATTATCACACAGCAATTCAGGTCTGCCCTGCAGAGTCTTATGTAAAAAGTGTTGAGCAGACTGCAGCAGGGAGAAGAGATCTGGGCTAGGCCCACTGCTTCCTTCTCATTTATGGGGAAGGAAGTTAAAAATGTTTATTCTTTATGTAAAACAGTAGATACACATATCAAAACATACAAAATGAGAAATTTTAAATATGTGCCATTTATTGTATATTAGTTATATTGCAATAAAGCTAGTTCCAAAAAAAAAGTATATTTTATGACTACTGATAAAAATGGTTAAGATTGGGGGGGGGGGGGGTCAATGGTAAAATATGTACACAGATAATAATTTAATTTAAAAAAAAGCAAAAAAATAAAAATAAATAAATACCCCCCAAGCAAAAAAAAAAAAAAAAAAAAAAGGTTAAGATGACTATGTAGCAAAAAGGCCAAAATGATTATTTTCAAGTTAAAAATAAAGTCACAAAAATGTCATATACACTATCTAAAGGACACGAATGGGAATAGGGCAGTACAGGGTAGGAATGAAAGTAAAATACAAACTGTTATTATAGGCCATGTTTTCCTTTTCTCTAATCTCCAAATGTCTCATAATATAGTTATGATTATTTTAATTTCTAAAAGCCTCATTTGAAAAAAGTGACTTAAACCAAAAGGTAGAGAGGAAGAAGATAATTATGTTATAAATATAGACATATATATGCATACATGTATTCACATGTATGTGCATGCATAAGTATATTTATATGCACATTAGTAATATATGTGTATCTATGCATATATGTATGTACATCGTGGGGCAAAAGTAGGTTAATAGTTGTAAGCACATGAAACAGAATTTATTCTTGTATTATTATTAATTATTGTATTATTTTCCATACAAACAACTGTTTGTATCTACACACACACACCACCTCCTAACAGTTGAAACATGTTATAGAATCCCCTGGCAGAAAATATGGTGAACAATTTGCTAAACATCAAATGGGCTTTTTCTCTGTATTAAAATCTCTCTTTAAGGTACCTTATTTACTCATACTGAAAAATTTCTCAAATAACGTGCATACCGTCCTCATCATGCTCATCATGTTGGCCCTCAGCCTCAGCATTTTCTTCCCCATGTTCTTCCTGTTCATCATGATGATCCTCTTCTCCAGCCACACCTTCTACCACCTCAACCTAAATCCAGAACTTACTTGTAGACCATCAAAGCATATAACGAACCTACTTCTCTACCAATGTTGCTCCTCCACAGCCATTAGTCAACGAAAACACAAGGCTGGGAACTGAACTCTTCATTTGCTAGTGACAATTTGCTACCAAAAATTATGTTGACCTATCTCAATGTTTATAATTATTGCCCATCTATAGAACCTCAAAATTAGAACTATAACAATGTATAGTTTTTTAACTTTTGCAATTATAAACTTTACCCCCAAAATATGTAGTTTTCTCTCTACTTCAAATACATTGCACAAAACTACTACAACTTCTTAACATTAAGAATACCTTTTCTATTAATCCTTAAGTTAAAACAAGTTATGTTTCCAATTTCCTATTACCCAGTAAATCAAGCACTATTAAAATATTTTTAAGATGTATAACCACAAATGAAAACAAAAATCCAAATGCATTGAACAACAGTAAGCTAACTTCTAATGACTACTTTCCCCTCCTCCCCTCCCAAATAAGCCTCCTGTCCACCCCAATTAAAACTACCTCTTCCACATCTGCTGAGACAATGTCATCCTGTTCTTCATCTCTGCCCCGAACAGGCTGAGACTGGCTAATGCGCCTCTGCTGTGGGTTCCGGAGGATGTAGGACGACTGAGACTGGCTGGAGCTGTAAGGAAGCGGAGGTCAGAGTACACTGCAGCCACACCTCGGACATAATGTTACTCCGTGTGATTCACTTGCTAGAATGCTATTTTAAATTGGGCCTGAAAATTCTTAGAAACCAGTAATAACTCATCTAGTCTCTCAGAAAATATAAACCCCAATTTTATCATAAAGAATAACTTATAAATCTCAGAATTGTGGTCTTCTTTAAAGATGTGTTTTCACTGATTTCAGAGAGAGAAAGGGAAATAGAAACATCAGTAAGAGAATCATCAATCAGTCCACTCCCACACGCCCCCTACTGGGATCAAACTTGCATCTTGGCAATGTGCCTTGAATGGAATCAAACTATGACCTCCTGGTTCATAGGTCAACACTCAACCACTGAGCAACACTGGCCAGGCTCAGAATTGTTGTTACTTTACTTTTCATGAGTCCCTACACTGAAATATTTTAAAGGGAAGTTTTCCCTTTTCTGTTGCTTTCCACACCAGCAATTCTTAATTTCCAAAGGCTTCAAGAAGCATTCATCCATTAACGAAAGTGTGCTTACTTTAAATAATTCACTCTTTGAGAGACCTAACATTACTACTTTGCATCAACTTATTAACCTTTGACTTGCTGGGTGTATATGAGGGAACACATCAATTCAAAAGTGTGATGTTAAAATAGAATCACAATGAAAGGTGGGTGACAAAATAATGTTACTTTCCTAAAAATCAAATTGAGAAACAGCCAAGAAAGGACAGAAGCCTCCATTATTTAAAAATAAATAAAAATGGGGAAAGCAGAGAGTGCAGCTTAAAATGCAGGTAGGGGCTAAATTACCCTGTGACCTACCTATTATCCTTTATTTACAGACTAGAGGCCCAATGCAGGAAATTCGTGCAAGAGCAGGCCCTCCTTTCCCCAGCTGCCAGCACCGCTCCCCTCCAGCCGCCAACAGGCACCCAAGACCCAGGCTTCCCTCACAGCCCTGGCGTCCTCAGGAAGGACATCTGGTCTAATTATTAGCATATTATGCTTTTATTACTATAGATTTTAAATCTCATCACTTCAGCTGCTTTGCAAAACAACATCAAACCAGTTACACATGAAAAATTATCAACTGAGACACAGCCTTCAAGAAACATGTCTCTTGGACTGGAATGGTTAAAGGAGCCACAGTTTTCACAGAGACAGCCTGGGGTCTGAGCAAAATAGGAAGTTACATCAGAGAAATCCTCTCTTCTATCATATACATGAGCCAAACATAAATCAAGAAAGGACAACAGATTTCAAGAGACTTATCCTCTATCAGCAAGGTGGAGACAGGAAGAACGTCTTTTCAGGTACTTCTACCTACAAGCCTGCACTCAGGAGAGTTTGGAGCTGCAATTTGCCCTTTGGGGGAGGGTGGGCTTCAGTGTCAGTCAATCCAATACTTCAACACTATCAGTAAGCACCAAGTAGCAATTTCTCTCTCTACTCTGCCTAATGTAACAGCAAAGGAAAACACCTGTCTAGATTTTTAAATATTTTTAAACATCAATAGCTGTTTAACCTGTAACCTCTCTGAGCCTCGGTTTCCTCCCTTTTAAAACTGGAGTGATATATCGCTTCTCGGCCTTTTGGCTAAGATCAAGTGTAAAACTGGAGTGATAGTGGTGCCTAACTGTTATTGGGTACCACTACACAGGTAATACATCTATAATGCCTAGGAAAGTTCCTAGTTCATACTAAACGTTCAGTAACAATTATTATATGAGGCACAGAGACAGAGTAGAGACAAATGAATGAATAAAAACATTAAGAGTTTGAAAGAGGTGGGAGGAAGCAACAGAAAAGCAAAACAATTGAACTTAAGAATTTATACTCAATGTAGTGGTAAACACCAACTACCATCTAACCCACGAGAAATCCCAGAGACTGGTCAAGTGTATAGGTTTTATTTAAGACATGCTCAGAACCTTGGTCAGCAGACAGCCTATGCGAAGGAGTGATTGTACTGTATTATAATGAAGGACTTCTATATTATAAAGTAATATAGTTAATATGGCTGTTGTAGAGAATATTTTAAAATTCTGTCATTCTGATTCTTATTTATATAACTTGTGCTCCCTAGACCCAGCCTTTGGACACAGAGAATGTTATCTTTTCATTCTTTAACTTGGCCTTCCAACAGGCTATACTTAAAGATAAGAAAAAAACAGAAAGTAACTATGTTTAGAGAAGTCTTAAATAATGTTTCTTATCAGGCTACTGTAATGACCCATAAAAATAGTGCCATTCCGCAAAAACTGGGTTGGCTCAGTGGATAGAGTGTCGGTCTGCGAACTGAAAGGTCCCAGATTCAATTCCCGTCAAGGGCATGTATATTGGTTGCAGGCACATCCCCAGTAGGGGGTGTGCAAGAGACAGCTGGTCTATGTTTCTAGCTCTCTATACCTCTCCCTTCTGTAGAAAATCAATAAAATATATATATTTTTAAAAATAGTGCCTTTCCAAACCAAAACGAAAACCCACAGCTATATGTCTATTAGACAAGGAAGTAAGTATAATTTTTATACTTATGTTCCAAACAAATTAAAATCTTCACCATTTGATATACAAAAGATCATGTACACCATCTGAATGCTTGTGCAAAGGTTTTCGTAAGTTAAATGTGACATTTCCAGAGAAAGAATTAATCAGAATTCACCTGCTAGACTGATCAGATGATGGTCGTGGTGGTAGTGGTTCCACTGAAAATAATTCCTCACTGCCTTGCATGGCATCTATGCTGGTACTAGCCAGAGTAAAAGGTGCAGTTGGGCGAGCAATTCCCATTCTGACAGGAACAATCAGTGACTCTGCTACATTGCACAATTCTTCCACCGCATAAGGCAGCAGGGCCTGGAATACACGCTTGCATTTTCCAATTGGCTGCGGGATAAAGTTGCTAGAGCAAAAAGGAAAATATAGGAATCTTTTATGAATCTTTTCATATACATTTCAGTTTCACAAAAAGTTTGTGCAAAATAATGCAAATGTCAAAATTAAAAGGGATGCCTCACTTTTTCTTCTTGGATGAAGCCATTTCCACACTAAGAATAACAAAAACTCTTGCCACTGAGCGCAAAAACCTCATTGTCACAGCAATGGCTTCTTCCCGGCGTCCAGGTGTGTACTTGTTTTGGAGTTCTTTCACTAGCGTGCCCAGGAGAGTATCCAGAAGCTTTAAAAAATTATATCCACTCCATTAGTGTGGAGACATCGCAAAAGATATTTAGACTTTCGTTAAGTAAAAAGTTCCAACCCTTTTTCAATGTTTACATTTTATAATAAAAATCTCCAAATAAATGTAACCAAAACATTTACAAAGTCAGTGATTAGTTTATTAGACATGCTGATCAGTACTTGGCCTATAAGTCTCAGATATCTGACTTCTTGTGTTCAGTCTCTCAGTCCTATGGATAGCAATTAATATTTAGAAGAACAATACCAATTATGTCAGGTCAGAGGATGAATATATTTCATTCGCTATAGAGTATTTATTGAAGCAGCTAAGTAGAGTTAACTATTTGTATTAATAAGTTTATAATCCCATCCCTATTACTTGATTATTATTACTTTCTAGTCTCATTTCCATGCATGGTCTACCATATAAGTATCAATTATAGAGGACACCCAATTTCATGTTATTTTCTGTGTTTTTTTTTTAATGTTATTTAACCCTTATTTTTATTTTTAATTCAAATATTTTTTTTTTCAATGTTTTTAAAAATCTATTTTTACTGATTTGAGAGAGAACATTGATGAGAGAGAAACACCCATCACCTGCCTCCTGCACGACCCCCTACTGGAGATTGAGCCCACAACCTTGGCATGTGCCCTGACTGAATCTAACCAGTGACCTCTTGGTACATGGAACAACTGAGCCATATTGGCCTGAAAAAATGACCCTTATTTGTAAATTACTACATTACATTCAGTAGTGGTTTAACTCCAAGTTGATTCATTCATCCATAGAGAGGATCCATAAAGTATTTTGTTTTTTAATTTTATATTATGACACTTTTTCTTTCTCCTATCATAAATCATTACCTTACTAGAGACCCAGTGCACAGATTCATGCACATTGAAAGTAAATTAAAAGGTGGCCAGGAGGGTGAGGCTGGGCGAGAAGGGCCAGACAAGCCTGGAGAGAACCTCCCACGCTCCCTCCCCAGCTGGCCACACCTGAGGTGGCGCCAGGACTGGAAGGGCATCTGCTGAGTGAGCAAGGTCCCTCTGTCAGGTGGGATCCCTCAGCCTGGCCTGTGGGGATCGGGCTGAAGCTGGCAGTCTGACAGCCCCCGAGAGGGCCTGGAGTACCAGAGCGCACTCTGCAACATTGCTGTTGCTCATGAGCTCCTGTGTCTGCCCTCTGATGGTCATTTTGCATCATAGCTACCAGCCAGCTGGCCAGTAGATCAGTCACTTAGGCTTTTACATATATAAATAACAAGTTCTGACAGCAATGTTTTTATGGCTCTTGACATTTCTAAGCTGTTTTCCTAAAGAGAGCCAAATACAATGCCACTCATCAGTGTAAGTGTGTCTTTACCATTACCTCACACTGGTTTTTATAGTTTATATCCTTTTTTAATTTCACAGCAAAAAGGATACTTAAAACATTTGCACCAAGTTACTATTCATTTGAACACTACTCCAATCATTTTTACACTGTTGTATTTTTAACACCTTTTAGGAATTTACTTAGAATGAAAGGAGCTTCTGCTGTTAACTGAGACATTTAAATCACCCAAAAATTCCATTCCCCTTAATGTACTGTTTAATTAGAGCTTAATAGTACTTAAGAATTTCGGCTAGTAAAATTATGGGAAGCTAAGTAAGAAAAACAGCCTTCTCATGTGCTTTAAATAAACATTCGAAGGACTGACTTGGACTTACCAAGATATCTGCTGTACACTTGACTATAAGGCAATGAGTAAAACAGTCCAGTCGAATCGTGCCGCTTTGCTGATTGAGGTACACTTGCTCTTCTGGCAAAAGGTGGCCTATTCTACTGCTGGCACTGAGACTGAATGGGGAAGGAAAGAGAAGGCACTGTAACTGCCTACACTAACACGGGAAGCAGATAAATCTAAAAACAATTTAATGAATACATACGGATCTTTATTCTCCTGTGACCCAAACATAATCATAGATTTTAAAGCGTTCCAGTCCTGTAGAACACGTTCCAATGCAAGTTGGGCAAATCTTGGGGGCTCTAAGTCGTGATCAGGCATATCTGAATCTAAAAAGAAGTAATGGGTAAGACAAAAAAAAAAAAAAAAAAAATTTTCCACTTTTCATATGTGGATGTTTTCCATGACTAAAATTTACTCACCTTCGGGGTTGGCTGTTTTTCGGTTACGATCCTCCCTGATCCGAGGCGGTCTGTACTGGCAATGCTCTACTGTCTGCCTTGCAACTGTTTGCACTAAAAACAATAGCAGGTGCTCTCCCCTACAAAACAGAACACTGTTGTGAGGGGGACTGTGTGTGTGTGGGGAGGAGGGAGAGGGGGCAGCTGGGGATGGCACTCAAGTGTGCAGTGCTTTTTCAACCTAATTTATGTCCTAAAAATCCCACTTGCCTGCTGTTTGGCAGGGTGACCAGATTAGTAGCAGTGAGCAGGCGATAAAGTAGATCAAGACGAGCAGATTTCTGTCCAGCAATTAGAGTTTTGCATTTACATTTCTCCCAGCAATCACAATAGGCTGTCGGTGATGTCCGTTTGAGTCTAGAAAGCATTTATACACAAGTATAAAAATTGAAAATTTAAAAGACACAAGCATTATATTGAAATTATGGAGGCATTGAACCAAACAGAACTCATTAATTTTTGAATGCAAAGAGCAATTGTTAAAATATATGTAACAAGAATTACACAAAACTCTTATGAGAAGAGGTATCTCAAAAATGACTCAGTATAATCAGTTCCTCTGGAATGTGTTCCCTATCTCCCCACAGCCCCAGGTGAGTTTAAGTGATCTTCCTATGAGTGTCAACCCTGTGAGGACAGGGACTAACTGTGTCCACCACTACCCAAACTTCTGGCACAACGAGAGCACAATGAATACAAATGATAAATTTTAGATGCTTAAAATAAGGTAAACAAACAGCCAAAATTCTTTGCATAAAAATCTTAAGTATTAATATAATATCTATAAAATTTTCCACTTGTGCTATATATCTGCTTATTTTAAAGCAGAATAAATAGGTGGTTTTTACAAACCAGTCTCTCTTACCTATAACACCTAGCCATCTGCACCAGTTACACGCATGTTCCTATGAGGCTCTAAGGCACTTGAATACTATTGCTTCTCAGATCTGTGAAAACTAACAAACTAGGCATGGCAACTCGACTGCTGAATTGAAAGATTACCACCTTTAGTTTAACACCCACTTTGATTCTCTTAAATGTGATTTCTTGCTATAAGGGATCTAAGATTGGAGAATATAGTCAAAATCACCCTATCACTACATCTCAAAAGATTAATTAGATCCTAGTCACATGTATGACCACATATTCCTTTGCATATTAGCCTCCTTTTCTTTAAAGAACAAACATTTCAAAGTACACTTTAAACCATGAGCCACATCCTAATACATAAACTGGCTTAAAGAGGACTAGATGATAAAACCTCACACCTTCTGAACTATGCAACAAAACATGACTTGGCACAGATCATTTTAATGCAGCAATAGGAATGTAAGCGGTTTGCAGTGTCAGAGTAAACCAGACTGTACTCACTTGCAATCATGGCCTTTATGGCAAACCCTGGCACATTCTGTACAGCAGCAGAGTGACTCCAACAAGCCACACGTTCGACACTCAAAAATATCCTAAAATTAAAAGGTATACTTCAATAAAATGCACAATCATACATATATATGTGTACTATATATTATATATATATAAAATTGTTTCTGATATATTCGAAAACATTTCAATGATGGTAGCAGAGCAATAAAAATGGAAACAAAGTAATAGATATTATAGTGAATATACATTTTATAATATTGGACAAATGTAAATCATATAATCATATTCTACCAGTGGACAAAAATAATTTATACCATCCCAAAAAGAGAATTATAGCTATAAAGTCTACATCAAGAGTAAAGGATCAGATTATACTACCCACTGAAGATTTCTCATTTTCATGATATCCCATAACTAAGTTAATCAACTTCTCTTCTTCATTTATTTAGGAATTAAATAAAAATTAATTTTCTTGAGAGATTTTGTAACTCAGAGTAACAGGAAATATCAGACTTGCAATAGGAAAAAAAGAAAACCTGAAGATAGTGTAAACGTAGGAAAATGTAAAATAACTTGCCTGGTTAATGTGCTCTGCTCCAGTCCATGTAAAACTGCAGGTATCATTACAACATAAGACATATAAAGGAGAATCATCAGGGTTGGTGCCTGATGGGCAAACCATTCCCATAAAAACATCTTCCTCTTTTTCACTTGAAGATACTTCAGCTACAAAGATTAAAGAAAGGACTTAATCACAGCCATCTGCTACTTTCCTCAAATGGAAAAGGTCTAACATTTACATAGTATAAATAAGAAACTACATATTAAAAAAAAAAACAAACACCTGGTATACAAAGTCAACATGCAAGGAAAACCAGTCAATTCTGTGCAAAGTGTAGGTAACTATGTCATAACCACATTAGAGGACAATATAAATGCACCACACATTAGCCATCACCCAACTTAGTCCTTAGCTCTGAGTTATGCAATTAAGAATCAAGTTCAACCTATTTATCAAAGTATAGACAATCATATCAAGTATTTATAGCCAGTATTTTAAAGAGGATAACTACTTCATTCTTTTAAAGGCTAGATGACAGGAACTGATATTCCTTAATGCTTTCTATTAAGTATTCCAAGTCAGAAGAATAATAAGATATCTGACCTCTAACTTCTATAATATGTTATCACTAACACCATTTTAACCACTGACAGATTCTATCAATAATTCACCTTTATTTTCTAAAGATAGGTTATTACATTATATATTATGGAAACTTTTTGAAATTTAAGAAGTCTATACCAGCTGCTTTTTGATGGAAAGTTAGAATATATAACTCACTTGAAAAAAATGTAAACATGAATTTTACACACAAACACTAACATATACATGCACAAAATAATTATCTTGATAATTTCTAATCAATCACATCATTTCCATATATAGAAATCAGATTTGAATAAATGCGTACAGAAGATAATCTATTCAAATTTAAAAATATGCAGCTCATTTAGACTTGAAATAAATTACCTTTTGCAATTTTCTGGGCTGTTTCTAAGATGGTAATTGCAGCTGGGTAAGCTCGGCCACTTACAGCTGACATAAATGGAGTCATTCCCCTTGCATCCCTAAAATGAGAAAAATTAAACATAAAAATATTAATTTTCAATTACTTTCCTTCTGATTACTATAAAAGACATGTTCATGATGCAACAACTAATTATGTCTTGTTAAGTAATGTCCCACCACTCGAAGAATTTTCTGATCTCATATCATCTCATTTAAGAAAGAAAGCCGCTGTGTCTAAACCGTGCTTGCCTTTCTTAGCATCTGACACCATTGACCAGCAAGGGCTCTGGAGTCACACCAACTCTTTTTAAACGGGGAAATAGGAATAAGGCTCTATCTCATGAGATTGTGATGAGGATTACATAAATTACTTAAAAAGCTTTTAGTACAATGCTTGCCAAATAATATGTACTCAATAGGCACTAGCTATTATTACGTATTTTCTCTTACACACATGCCTTCACTATTCTTTATTGAATTTCTACTCCCTCCTGGAATTTCCAAAATCCCAACCTCAGACATTTATGCCGCCTCCTCTCATCTCCCACAGCAGCTGCCACTTCTCTGAGGTTACTGCAGTCCTAGCACCAACACCGGCTTACTTGATAAATCTAGTTAGGGTTTCCCAGTGACCCCTCCCATTCAACGTACAACCGCTATAGTCATCTTTCTCCAAGACTTGCTCTCGACCTGACTGCTCTGACAGCCAACAATACCACTGTCACTAGTAACTAAGACAAAACTTGGATTCTTTATGAAAATTTCCTTCTAAATCAATTATTTACCGTTGCTTCTCATCTTTCCCATCTTTAACAAATCAGTGGATTTCAATACACAAATGAAGGCTGTAAGTAGGCATACACAATATAGCTTCAATTTCACTCTCTGCTCTTGCCTAATTTTTTAACATTTTTTAATACCACATTCATATTACTATTTTTATAACCCCACTTTGATATTGTCACAGTCTAACCAAAGCCATTATTCCAGAGGATTCAAACCCAAAGAATAGACCAAAGTGGTTGCTTTAACCTAACTTTTCAGATTCACTGGCTACTATTCTCTTTTGACTGTCCATCTTCAATTAGGCGAGTTACTGTCTTAAAATATTTATACTTCTCCATTTTAATGTTGTCGCTCCCTCTCCTCCCTACTCATTCCTCATGGTTCTATTCAAACTTATTCTTCATAAAGCTTCCTACAACAAGAACACGTCTCCCTTCTGTTTATTCCAAAATACATGTGTCCTTCCTATCCCAAATTAATGTCTCAGTTCTGGAAGCAAGAGAAGAACCAAGATTGAAATTCCTGCTGTGCCACTCACTAGTTTTATAGCCTTGGGCAAGTTCAAAAACCTCAGATAGTCTGGATTTTCAAATGTACGATGGGAATGATACCACCTACTTCCAACGGTTATTTCTAGAATTAGGAGTTAATGCAAGTAGAGTTTGGCACAGGTGAAAACTAGTTTTTATAAAAATATTTATTGTTATGAGCTTGTAAAGATAGTCATGTTGAAAGCAGGATATGATCTATGATCTATTAATGGTTAATGAGCATTTACCACAGAATACTTATCAAAAACTCTGCATAATCTCATGATGATGCATTCTGCAAGCCAAAAAAATTTCCAAAGAAACCATCAGAATCATCATGCAGTTTTAAATACAGATTCCAGGCCTCATCCCAGACCTACTGAGTCATACTTCTAGTGTAGAGCTTGGGGGAAGAATCTATATAATATTTGAAGTTTTCAAAGCGACAGTGATAGAACTAATTTACGGATTCCCAATGAGAATAAAACACTATGATCTTTTTAACATATATACACTCAAATCAAGACAACATAAAGTCACTTTATATTCATTTAGTGACACTGAATTTTATGGTGAAAACCTCTTTTACTGAAGAGAGCACAGTAACAGGGATACAACGTTGGATTCTATGAAGTAATAAACTTTTTTTTTTTTAAATATATATTTTATTGATTTTTTACAGAGAGGAAGGGAGAGAAAGAGAGAGACAGCTAGAAACGTTGATGAGAAAGAAACATCAACCCGCTGCCTCTTGCACATAAGGGATGTGCCCACAATCAATGTACATGCCCTTGACCGGAATCGAACCTGGGACCTTTCAGTCCGCAGACCGATGCTCTACCACTGAGCCAAATCAGTTAGGACATGAAGTATTAAACTTCTTACTTGGCAGAAAGGAGTTCTCGTAGATAGGGCTGCAGAACAACACTGTCACATAACAATTTCAATATAAAATGAGCATTGGCCTTTCGATCCTTGGATTCTACTACAGATGGCTCCGTGGAAGGACCTGTAATTAAGTAGACCCATTTGTTAATAAAACAATAATAAAAAAAAGACCAAGTGAAAGAATATTATGGAATAACATACCAACTATCAAAATATTCTCATATTAGAAATAAATTAATAACCTCGTTAAAGAGAATTTAAACACACTAACACATTTTACAAATCTCAACTGATGAAAGATGTACATCCACACCACAATTTCACCGACACATGGAAGATAATTCAGAGAATTAGATGCTTTTCGAGCCAAGGAAAGCCTTCTATAAAAGTGTGGATCTATAACACCCATTTCTGAAGTGTGTTCCTCCAAATGTCTAAGCAAACGCAGCAGCACAGATGCTCACCTGGAATGGTGGAGGTGCTTGGTCCTTGAGCGGTGCCAGTGGCTGCTGTGGTAAGAGATCCCACAGCAGGGGCCAGGATAAAATCAATGTCACCATCTTTCAGTAAACAGAATAGCAGGATGCATATCATTATAGGCAACATAGCCCTAACTTGTTCTCTTAACTGGATTTAAGGCTCTTCTGTACAAGCCAATGACAAATCAGACAGAGGTTTAAGTATAAACTTATTTTCCTAACTATAAAAGAAGGAATCCACTAGATAATCTACCGATTTATCCAGATGTATTGCTAGGTAGCTTCTTACCAGTATGAAAATATTTCAATAAGAGGAATACCTGGTAAGATTTTCTGAAATTATAATTTTTAAATTACAAACCCCTTATCAAACCTTTATAACTAAATCAGTTACAATACACATTACACTACTTTTAAATATTTTAGATTTACCAATAACCCATTTAAAAAGCTCAATTTCTCTTCTTTCATAACCCTGTCTTTTTGTTAAAAACAAAATAAAATAACAGGTCTTACCAGGATCCATCGCAGGAGGATCAGGAACCCAGCTAGGAGGGGCTATTGGGGGAGAAACTGGATCCTGATGGTCACTGGATGAAGCTCCAGCTTCATGTCTACCCAAACCAGCCGCTCTCAGTGAACGTCGCATCATCTCCCGTAACCTCAAACTAGAACATGGACAAAATCAAAACTCACTACCATGACTACATGTAATGAAAAGGTACACAGAACTTCTCATCTGAGATCAAAGTTTGTTCTACAAGCAAATGCTCCAGGCAAAGGCAGTGAAGTACAAATGCTAATTCTGGAACCACAGAATAAGTCAACGAGGGACAGAAATGAAACTGGGTGGTCCTAGTCTACAGTTTAGCATTAAAACCACTAACTTAAGCAGAGGGAACAAAAGTTGCCATCAAGATCAGAAAATAATCTTTCATACAGTTAAGACAAATGAGCAGCTGAATATTAAAACAAAAAAATTTTCTGTCCCATTTATAATTAGTAAGAATTAAGTTTATAATATAATTACTAATAATTAGTAAGAATAATAGACATCAGAGAACAGGCTGATAAGCATAAAACTAGTACAGACTGATTTAACCCACTAAATCCCTTGTTCTGTGATCTCAAAAGCAATATTAATTCACAAAGTAATTTTACAACGAAGAACAATTTAGGTTTATTTTTTACACACACAAGTTTTCTTTTTAACAGTACAGTTTGCATCACAATGAAATTAACGAATGAAACTGGAGCTTTAAAATGTGTTGTTAGATTAACGTCTGGGCATGATTATTTTTCCTACAAAAAAAAAAATACTGCACAGATGTGCACATCACTAAAAAGAAATATCATAAACACAGATCTCGTTAGGGGAACTGGTAACTGCCTACCTATAAAAAATCTGAACCTCTGAATAAAAGCTTACAAAGACTACAAAATTAATACATTAATAACTAACAGCAATTAAGAGAGAGCACATAAGGCAAATCAGACACGATTTTAGAGCTTCTGAACAGAGTAAAAATTCAATTTTAAGGGCCAGGAAATGCAAGGGATTTCGTTCTCCCTTGCAGATTTAATCCCAAACATTGCTGATGTAAAAGACCTAACACCTTACCAGGTGAGCATTATTATGTCTATAAATAAGTGATTTAGAAGATTCTTATTAATGTTTGAATCTCTAATTATGATGATTTAATCCATAGTAGATATGTTTTTCCACAGCAATACATTTTCAATTTTTTAAGTAAATTTATATTTAGAGCATTTATGAAAATTTCTTTTAGAGACTATTTTCAGGAACATGTCTATTTTACAAGGCTTTTGCATGATGATGTACCTTGGGGAACAGAAACATTTTTGGAAGTAAATTTTAGTGTCTCAAATAGTATCTTAATTATTACAACATTCACTATTTAAAAATACCTAAATTATTTTATGCTATCAATACCTTCTCTCTCTCCCAATTTATAAATCTGAGTTGAAGAGTTTTTATAAAATGGAGGGGAGTAGGTTGCAGTGATTATTTCAGGTGAAGTCACATTCATGTCCAAAGACATCATCACCCAGAGAGAATGCAAGCTTACTCACCGGGAACAGCACGCACCGGGTGACTGTCCACGGTATGATGCTCCTATGCAATTTCAATTAAGCTCAACATAGATACTTAGTATCCTAAAGTGCCTTACTAAAAACATACACAGAGAATCAGCAATAATTGGGAAGCACTACAAATAACCTGAAAATGAATGCATGTTTTGGGCTTAATGAGAAAAAGACTTACACCAGACCAGGGTCACAAACTCAAGGCTTCCTGGGCCCAGAAGATAAAATAAGTCGAGGAAAGGGCAGGCAGGTGTAAGAAGGAAGGAACAATGACAAACTAGAGGTGTACACACTCATCTAAAAGCATTCAAATCTTAAAGAAAAAAAAATTAACATTGCACAGGCCAAAGAAAACATGTGGGCTAATCTCCAACCTCTAATTTAGAGTAGATTAGGAATAAATGAAGATAAATGGAGACCACAGTCTCATCTTGAACTCTCAAACTCCCAATTGTGTTGTTTGATGTAGTCAATTCAGAATTAAATGAGGGGACCATTCCTTGTCATTTAAAAAAGTTGTCCTTAACCTCTTTTCTTCATTAGGTCTTGGGAACATTTTTAAGTACAATGCCCAGCTCCTCATATAGATTCTTTAAAAACAAAAACAAAAACAAAAAAAAGAAAATTATTCTTCAAGATGTTGTACACAATTCATGGAGATTCACCTGTATCCCCAGTGGCTGAGGACAATACTGAGGAGATACCACCTTGGCTGCTAAGATTCAGAGTTTTGACATTTCTTCGTATAGGCTTGCCTGGAAGTCATCGTATTTTCTGACAATATGGAAGAATTCAAGGATGATGTAATTTCCTCTTTGTAAGCACGTAATATCCATGCTACAGAAGCCTGAGAATCCAGTCATGTTCAAACATACCACTGTGACAAAAAAGCGAAGGTCATGTGTCTTCCAGATTAACAATCTCTAGAGCACATACACCTGCAATCAGATGCATCAATCAAGCCTTCCACTAACTCTGCCCTTTGCACTCAGGAACTAGTAGTGACACAACAAAACTTCTGAGTCAAATCATCATCTGAAGGCATTTAACAGTACTCCAGTCAACATTGAAACTGCATCAGTGTTGAGCTTAGAGCTCATGAATCCCAGCCTGCATACTCATCAAGGGGCATCGCCTAGAAAATCCATTGTAGGCTAGAGGAAGGTTTCACTTCAATGAAGCAGTCTGTGGACTTCCTATGCCCGGCGTGGATAATAAGACTCCTGTGCTTTCATCTGTTCAATCGGCAGCCCTGAGTTTGAACTGTGTAAGAGCACTGCAGTGAAATCTTCGGCAAATGCCTCAAAGGAGCTTACTCTGCAAATTATTTCTGTGAGCAACACATCACCCACTCTTGAAGCTCCTTTTAGTCTTTGCCTTCAAAAATAATCCTTATATGAAAAAAAAAAAAAAAAAAAAAAAAGATGGCAGCACTGGCACTGTACCACCCATATCAGAATCCAACTTGATTTGCACCTGTATATTCCCTGAGGAAATGAAAGACCTGAAATAATTCAGACACTAATTTCTTCATGAAGAATTTTAAATTGCTCTCCATTTTAAACCAAATACTTTGTCTTAGTGTAATCCTAAACAAATAAGCTGGTCATCATTTCCATTTTGTATAGTCTACATAATGTTATGTACTGTTTTAAGTTATAATTTGGTCACCCAAAAATAGGTGTTTTGTTTTTTGTTTTTTAATAAGTCTCACTTTGGGATATTTTTGAACCTGGGAAGCTATCAAGTTGGTACCAATATTAAAAGAATCATTTCTAAAGGGAAAGTTGAATATGGAACAGAAGATAGGCAGAGACTTCATTCTGAATAGACTTTACAACTATCACATTAGCACAGTTAGCAGTGCTTCCATTAATGATCTGTCAAGTATCTAATTTTGGCTGTCATGTCTAATATGTGTACTTTTTCTTCAGAAAAACAACTATATCCTGAATTCTTTATATTTGTCCTATTCAAACACCTAGTAATTGTCAATATGTAACAAAGGTTTGTCCATCTCACAACTCAGAAAGCCAGAAAGTTTATAACACCAAATGTTCATAATATACACCAGCCTTTCACTTCTTTCCAGATCATTAAGACATCTGAGAAATTGACCTAAATGAGCAATCTGAAAACAAAAGATTGAGGTTCTTTCAATTACTGTTCTTAGTTGTTCTCCAACTAAATAAAATAACTTCCTAGAAAACAAAAATGATAAATTTAAAACACATTAAAAGAATCAAGTTTGAACTACTTGTCTAAATTATCTCAACATTTTGAAGCATTCTAGGTCCTACTGTTCTACACTTAAGTTCTAAGTAGGTATTATCAGATATTATTCCCAGGGTGCTGCTGGGAGGAACAGAAATAAAACAAAAGGACCTACCAATGATGCATATAATAGGCAAGAGATACATTTATTTCTGTACTGGGATTATGTTTCCACCAATTAAACTTTCCTGGTAAAAATCACATTACCTTCGGCTACTAGATGATCCAGCCCGGTTACCCGGGCCATTACTTGAAACGACTGATATTGCATTTGCAATGGCTTCTACTGCAGAAAGCCTTTCAGCAAAAGTATTTCTTTCAGAGCGCTCTGCTTCTAAAACATAAAAGAAAAAATTAAGATCAACTTAAACTTCAAACATAACTAAGAGATTAAGTCGGCAAAATGCAGCTCAAGAACCACATGCGGCTTGCCGCTCTGTTGACTAATGAGTTTGCCGACGAGTGGTATAGGCCATTAAATGCTAACTGCTATGTATTCTCGAGTATGCTCTAATCCACGTACCAGAGATAATTAATAACTTAAGTTTCCTCTCTAGAGCAATAAGCAATTAAGATATATTGAACTGCCGAAGCCGGTTTGGCTCAGTGGATAGTCAGTCTGTGGACTGAAGGGTCCCAAGTTCCATTCTGGTCAAGGGCATGTACATTGGTTGCAGGCACATCCCCGGTAGGAGGTGTGCAGGAGGCAGCTGGTCAATGTTTCTCTCTCATCGACGTTCTAGCTCGCTCTCTCTCTCCCTTCCTCTCTGTAAAAAATCAATAAAATATATTTTTTTAAAAAAAAGATATATTGAACTTCAACCTTTAATTTTTTAATCTGCCTTACTTTTCAAACCCCAAAGGTCAAGAATACTGTTATTCATAAGTAGAATGAAATAGCTTTCACTACTAAGGAAAAAAAAGACCCCTGTATCAGTACCTCAATCTTAGTTTATACACTATGTATTCAAACCACTCTTCAAAAATGTGGCTACTAGAAGATTGTTGGCAGAATTCAAAATAAGGAAAAACATGAATTACACAGTTGCACTTTAGGTTTTCAGTTTTTCCCTTCATTCATCAATTAAAAACATTAAGGAAAAAATAAACTTATTTGCTTTTCCAAAAACAACTAACAAATTATTAGTTCATTTCCCCCCTACATTCTGAAATTTGAGATAAAGGTTGTTGCCTTAATGTAATAACTTGCCTTCACGTAGTCATCTGCAATTATAAAACCTGTAAATCTCATAAGTATTACATATACAGTCTGTATATCATAGAGAATAGAACTCAAAACAAAAACACATTTGATTAAAATTTTATTTGCTTATGTCACATATTCAATCCTAACAAAACACAAATTTGTACCTTCTAAGAATGTCAAAACTCTTAGATTTCATGAAGAAAAATAAAAGTACCATAAAGTTTTATAGTTATTTTTCTTTCCTTTAATAGTTGTTATATTCTAATATTCCTTTTAGACTTAAATATAGGTTTTAATCTCACCCTCTTCTTCTTTAGTTTCCTTATTGCTGGTTGGAAAGCAAACTGATACACAAGCGTGCAAAATATTACGATTTCCGTCACATCTGTGGCTGATGAATGTCTGCAGCATCTGTAGATTCTGCTCTAAAACAACTGCTTGCTCAAGATTCATAAGGTATTGTCGGCAGGCCTCGTAATCACAGCGTAGGATGTGCTGCATTAAGGTTTGTTTCTGTGCTCAGACAAATTAGGAAAATATCTTCAATAAGTTTGAATAACATTACACAGGTCAAAAATTTCTCATGGCCAACAAAATATAATCAGCTCTGCAAATAAGTATGATGTAGCCTGGCAAAAGGAGCTGAACCTAAGATTACACTTTAAATTACATAAAGTATACAACTGACAGGAATGGAAAAAGGTGGGTAAATTTTCTGTAAAAGAAAGAAAGAAAAGAAAGAAAGGAAAGAAAGGAAAGAAAGGAAAGAAAGGAAAGAAAGGAAAGAAAGGAAAGAAAGGAAAGAAAGGAAAGAAAGGAAAGAAAGGAAAGAAAGGAAAGAAAGGAAAGAAAGGAAAGAAAGGAAAGAAAGGAAAGAAAGGAAAGAAAGGAAAGAAAGGAAAGAAAGGAAAGAAAGGAAAGAAAGGAAAGAAAGGAAAGAAAGGAAAGAAAGGAAAGAAAGGAAAGAAAGGAAGAAAGAAAGAAAGAAAGAAAGAAAGAAAGAAAAGAAAAGAAAAGAAAAGAAAAGAAAAGAAAAGAAAAGAAAAGAAAAGAAAAGAAAAGAAAAGAAAAGAAAAGAAAAGAAAAGAACAATAAATATTTTCAGCTTTTGCAAGTACCTCAACTCTGTGGCTACAGTGGGGAACCAGCCATATAAAATGTACAACTGAAAGGCAGCAGCTAGATTTGGCCTGTAGGCCACATTTTGCCAACCCCTGGTTTATGTCATGTAAACCAGCGGCTGCCAACTGATGTAAATGGTACAGAACTATTAGGACCTTAATTAGTACTGTTAATCAATTAAGCAAAGGGTATACATTTTATTTCGAGTCTAGTCATACCCTCTTAAAGGTTGTATCACACTATGGTATATGAAAACCAAAACCTTCAACTCCCCAGAAATTATGACACATGCAGTCCCCCAGACGTGACAACAAATGTCCTTCATCGTCAAAGACATGGCAGTACTGATAAAGCATCTATAATAATAAAAGCGTAATATGATGATTAAACTGGATAGCCGAACGACCTTCCAGATGAAGTTGGGGCTGTGAGGGCTGAGCCCCTTGCATGAATTTCATGCATGAGGCCTCTAGTAGAACTTAACAACTATCAGAGACAGCATGCTATAGACTCAATATTTGTGTCCCTTCAAAACTTCAAATGCTGAAACCTATTCCCCAGTGCAATGGTATTTGGAGATGAGATCTTTGGGAAGTGATTAGGTCATCAATTTGGAGCCTCAAGAATGGGATTAATGCACTTTAAAAAGGCTGAAGACCTAGCCAGCCTGGCTCAGTGATTAAGAATCAACCTATGAACCAGGAGGTTGCACTTCAATCCCCAATCTGCGCACATGCCCAGATTGTGGGGTCAGTCCCCAGTGTGGGGAATGTAGGAGGCAGTGGTCATTGATTCTCTCCCAACATTGATGTCTCTCTTATCTCTGAATACATACATATATATATATATATATATATATATATATATATATATATATATATTAAAAGCTAAAGAAAGCAGAGTTCCAGAGTTCTCCCCTTCTACCATATGAGGGTAAACCAGGCCCTCACCAGACACCAGATCTGCCCACGCCTTGATTTTAGACTTCCAGCCTCCAGAAATGTGACAAATAAAATTCTGCTGTTTATAAGCCACTCAAGTCTACAACAGCCTAAACAAAGCCACAGCATGAACATATCAAAAAGTTGAAATGGGCTTCTTTCAGAATGTGAAACTATATTTATGAAAATATTTAATGGAATGAAAATAAAGCATCAGGTTTGGAAAACAAGTACTATTGTTCATTTTAACTAGAATTACAAATTACTGCCGAAACCGGTTTGGCTCAGTGGATAGACTGCAGACTGAAGGGTCCCGGGTTCGATTCCAGTTAGGGGCATGTGCCTTGGTTCCGGGCATATCCCCGGTGGGGAATGTGCAGGAGGCAGCTGATTGATGTTTCTCTCTCATCGATGTTTCTAACTCTATCCCTCTCTCTCCCTCTCTGTAAAAAATCAATAAAATGTATTTTTTTTTTTAATTATTACTGGAAGAAAGCAGGTGGGAAAAGAGTGCGGAAGTACAAAGGAGAGAAGAAAGATGCATTTTAACAACTTGCTACCTCCCAACCCCAAACAGCCTAAATCCATCCTTTCCCCCAACCTCATGGGGAGGAGAATTCAGGATGGAGCACACAAGAAAATATAGCCAAAATCTATAAAAAATAAACAAAACCAACCTCCTGCTATCACATCCCACCCCCTGAACCTGCTTCATCACTACAGTCTACCATCTCCATGAATGGCAATTTCCTTTTTCTAAAAATTTTCACTATTTAACTTGCTTTCTCTATTTAACACCATCTACTTAGCCATAAGCAAATCTTCTTGGTTCTATCTGAAAACATATCTAATCATCTAAAATCTAATCACTTCTGACTCACAGCTGCCTCTGGAGCCAAGCCACCATCACCTCCCACCTAGACTATTAGAACAGCCTCCTACTGGCCTTCCTGTGTCCCGTCCTCCTAGTACTCCAGCCTGTCAGCAGTGATCCTCTCTAAGTCCAATCAGGTCAATCTCTGCTCACATTTCCCCAATAAATTCCAAAGGTGTTACCTACCTATCTAACAAATACCGCAACAGCAGCGTGTTCCAAACAGATCTCCTCCTCCTCCCTTTCTTCCTCCTGTTTCCTCTCCACACCAACCACACCCAACTCAGAAGCTGTACAACCAACTCCTACCTTTAATTTACTGCTGGCATCCAGTTATCAACTTTATACTTTCTCCTTCCTCAATCTCTCTCCAATCTATCCCCTCTTCCTCATTTTCAATAATCCAAGCTTTGTTTTTCACTGGATAACTGTATTGGCCTGTTTATCCGGCCTCTGAACTTCTCCATTCGCTACTAAATCTTCCTTATGAAAAGCCAGCTTAAATTCCTTCTCCAAGCTTTCAGGGGAACTCTGATATCCCTTAGGTTAGCAACAAGACTCCCTACCACCTTCCTCTAGATTTATCAATGCCACTCACGAATTATGAGACCTACCTTCTGGTTTCATCAAAAGAATGCACATGCCCTGGCCGGTGTTACAAAGTGATTAGAAAGGGTCTTGGGTCCAATTCCCTGTCAAGGGCATGTACCTGGGTTACACATCTGATCCAAGTCCTCAATTAGGGCATGTGTGGGAGGCAACCAATGTGTGTGTCTCTCTCTCCCTCCCTTCTTTCCACTCTCTCTAAAAATGAAACAAAAAAAAAAAAAAAAAAAAAGCAACAACCAGCAAAAGAGATTGTATACATTCTCCCATACCTGAGACAACTTCCACCTTCACCTTGGGTCTAGAGGACCCCTCCCTGATTATTCGGAGTTTCATGTAGACATAGCCTCAGAGAAGCCTTCTCTACAATCACAGTCGAATTTATAATGGCCCTCAGACTGTGCAGGCCATTCTCAACACTTAAATTGCATGTAATCACTAAGTTACTCATCTCTCTTGTCCTGACTATTAGCTCGAATAGGGAGGAAAAATGAATGATTTTTCAAGACTGTTTCCCTGGACTTCAGTATCTTCTGAATTCAAATATAAGGTAGTTTCCAAAGTCACATTACCTCTACAGCCATGATGATAATAGCAGCTTTCTTTTTGATTGTTGAATTGGCAGGAAGATTTATTAAAGAATGAACACCCATGCCAAGACTACTAATGGGTGGAAGATCAAGCCAATCAGGATCCCTTATTCCTCCCATGCAATCTTTGGCCATTGGGTAAATAGTACCATTTCCATCTCGAAGAATAATAGGAGATTCCTATGACAGAGAGAAATAAAAGATGGTTACCAATCAAACTGAACCACTGATTTTTTCCAATAGGTATATTTGTTTAATAGAAAACTAGAGCCAGATTCCAAGCTTCACATAAATAACAAGCAAACTAGAGCCAGATTCCAAGCTTCACGTTAAGAACATATGAAAGTCAGTGCGACATGTCACTTTTCAAAAGCAAAATTAAGCCTCTGTACCTGTCCAGCGGTGAAAATGGCTACATTCTTCTCATTCTGACCAAGGAAAGCAATGCTGCTTGTCGGGAAATTGTTTTCCTGCTCTGCTTTTCCTGTCGCAAGATCAAAGATACAGTACCGTACCCAATTTCCCGTCTTCAGAACAGCATGCACACCTTTAAAACAGATAAATATAAAAATATTATTACATGTCTATAGTAAGTACTACCAAATGTTGACCTTTCTGCCCATACTTGTAAGCCAATTCCAACAGATACATTTTATTCCATAGTATTATTACGCCCAGGGAACATAATCTGTCAACTGCCCCAAATCACTTGATTCTGCTCATTTGCTGCACACAAGTGTTAAGGGGATACAGAATATGCCAGCTGAAAAACTTGTCGAATCTTTACCTTTGGAATCCACATTCACTGCTAGTATTTCTGTTTTTTCAGGTATACACAGCTTTTTAGGAGTCCTTTGGAAACAGTCGGGAACTTTTGGTGTTCCACCAGTTTTGACAACCTGCATGACACAAAAAGAATTTCACTCTCAAATTTGTAACATCCTCCAGGAGTCAGTCCCAATATTCACCCGCTGAGTGAGTCCCTCCACACTTACCTGCAGTTCATCGATTCTAAGTAACCTACAGTCCTGCAGGAGAGAAGAAGGGTCCGCATCTGAGCCAGAGCTGCTCTGACAGTTTGTACTGCTGGATGTGCCAGGAAATTTTACAGCAACATAGGCACCGTCCACTTTTAGCACCTAGAAATAGAGGTAAATATGCTACATTAATAACTTATATGAAATCAATACGCAAATGGTATTCATTAAATTAACATTGAGGCATTTAATTCCTTATATTTCTTCAGTAATCACCAAGTTGTAAAATTAACCTGAACAAACTCATCAAAACTTGGTATCTATTAGCAAGGCTTATTTTCTAGAGAAAAACTAAAGTACATAGCCTGTGGATGTTTGGCAATCAACTGAAAAAATAAGTATAATCTACAAAATCCTCCCTCATTCCTCTTTATTAGTTTATAGTTCGCTGTGCAATGATGGCAATGCTCTGCACCTGCGCTGTCCTATCTAAAGCTATTAAGCACTTGAAATGGAGTTGATGTGACCGAGTAGCAGGCTTGAATGTTTTTTAATTTTACTAAAATTAATTAGCCAAATACACAGCAAGTGGCTGCCATCCTGGACAGCACAGGTAGACATTCAATGCACAGCAAGGCACGCACAAGACTTGAAACTAGAATACCTCAGTCCCACCTCTACTACTTACTGCTTTTGATTTTGAGTCAGTGCGACATTCTCAGAAGAAAAACCTGCCCGTAAACCATAGTTCTATTTTGACAATTAAATGAAAGAGTATGAAAAGGGTCTTTGTAAATTGCCGAGTGTGGTGGGTGTATCTATTCTTTCCTCTAAGAACATCTTATTTCAGAAATTAATGGGCAATAAGAAAGACCTTTACTTTGCAGATATTCTACAACTACAGATCCATTTTGGTTTTAACTATATGCAAAGAGAAAGGGGAAATTAATGGCACTCCAGCTGATAGCCTTTACTAACTTGTTCCCAAGAGGGCAAGACACGCTCCAGTAAGAAGAGAAGTGAAAGGTGACTTAGAATAATATTTTTAAATGTTATGGAAAACTAGTGGCCTGGTACATGAAATTCATGCAGAGAGGGGGTGGTTCCCTCAGCCCAGCCTGCACCTTCTCCAACTGGGTACCCCTTGCGGGACGTCTGACTGCCAGTGTAGGCCTAATAAAACAGGCAGTTAGACATCCCTTTTGCAATCTAACCGCTCACCTGCCTACTACCTGAACTCCTCTAACTGTCCTCCTTTGCCGGCCTGATCTTGCCCCCAAATGCCCTCCTCTGCTGGCCAATCTGGTTCTAATTGGTTAGTTTTTATGCCAGTCAGTGTCAAAAGCTCCACCTCCTAGACAGCTATTGGCTCCTCACAGTTGACCCAGATTTGGTTCTGATCGGTCAGTTTCTATGCCAGTCAGTGTATCTGGACCCATCAACAGGGCTTGAACAGAAAGGCAGGGCTGACCAGCAGCCCTGGTGGAGGCTTGGAGATAAATGAACGTGGGGCTACTGGCCAGGCTCAGAGGAAAGAGAGAGGCAAGTGCTGGTCAAAAGCTGCCTCAGTCACTACAGATCAATCTGTACTTTTCTCCTCAGGTCTCCTTCCAGGCCTGATTCAAGCCCCCTCAGTAGTCACTGCTTGGTCACTGGACCTGCAGCCATAATAGTCACTGCTGGGTTGCCATGGGAACCCAGAGCTGACTTCCAGATGGTCAGCCTTTGGTTGTGATTGGTCTTTATTATAGAGATGATCTCCATTAGAACCATCTAATAGTTCCAAAGAGTGGACTACATAAAAAGATAATCTAATTTTGCAACTTTTTTGCACATCTAAAATTCCAAAATAAAATTTCTTTAAAAATCTGTGGGAAACCGGGTATTGTCTTCACTAGCAGAGAGGTGTGGACAAGGAGCCCGGAATGCTGGTGACCCTTGAGCCCTGGCAAAGCTATGCACCCACTGCTTAGTTGGGACAATAATAGCTGAAGCAACTTCCCCACTAGACAGTCATGTAAATCCTTACTCAAAGACAGTCTGTCAGTTACTGGAAATTGCCTGCCTAAGGGCTATAGGTGTATCCCAAATTGAATAAAAAAGGATGGCAAGGCCTGAGCCCAAGTGTAGTCCTCCTAGGCTCCTGCCTGGCCCCCCAATTTCCAAATTATTACTTCTTGTCTTGTCTCTTAATTTGCATGCGGGCCCTTCTCCAGATTCCAAGCCCTAAGGCATGCGGGACATGGGTTATTCACAAAAATCAAATAGCATAAATGCGCAAGGAGAGGCATAATAATCATCTATCTGGCATCTTATTAAGAGACAGGACTTAAAAGAGGTCATTGAAGGTGAGAAATAAAACAGCTTTAAATAAAAGAGCTGATGAACACTCACCAACCATAAACTCTTGGAAAACCAATAGCATTACAGTTCTGTTAGTAACTAGTTCTTAGATATTCTGAACACACCTTGCCAACAGGAACATTCTTAACATCTTCCACAAAAACGACTTCCCGAAGAGACCACTGCTCTTCGTTCACCTTCTCCTCCTCTTTGGGGGCGGGGGTGGACCGTCGTCGTTCTTAGACAACAACAAAAGGGTAAGTACCAAAAAGAAAATGTAAAAGAGACTTTATAGATTTCACCTAATATAAATAGATCATTTGTAAAAGGATACATAATTGAGGTAACACAGCAGTCCACCTGGGACCTGTTGACCAACAGGTACCTCACTAACACTTACTGTATGGCATTGACGCACTGCTGGCGATGGAGGATGCGTCACTACACGTGGATGCCGGAGATGGTGGGGGGCCCATTTCTGTTTTCACTGGTTCCTGCTTGCTTTCAGGCCTGAGATTAGAAATAAGATTCTCCTTATAATAGGAATGTGAAGTATTAGGCAGTTGTCAAATGGTTATTTTTAAGACTCAAGTTTATTCTTATGTAAGGGAATAAAGTATTAAAAATCTGTACAAAATGATGTAATTTTAGTACTCAAGTTACTGAAGAGGGTACACAGTGCCTACTTCAAATTTTTAGTATTGTTTTAAAATAGAGAAGAAAAATATACCATATAACGCTATCAACAACTTGGAACAATGCTTCAAATAAGTATTATCGAGGAATAACAATGAAAACTACACTTGGCTTATCAACATAGTTTTATGAAAAGAGGGGAGAAAGTTGACCTAATACAATAAGGCTGAACATGTTGTTACCACTACGTAACACTACAGACACACTCTAACAACAAAACAAAGACAACAAAAGAGAACCATACATACTATCATTCTGGCAATTAATCAAGAACTATAATATAGGGAAATTAATACCAAGCAGCAAACAGTAAATTTTACCAATTCTTTTTCAAACTCCTGAGCATTTTTCTGAGTCACTATACACCTCTGTCTCCCTTGACTATCCTCTTCATATACAGTGCAAACTAGAAGTGCTGCAAAATCAAGATTAGTTAGGGTATAGTACTTACTTAGCTTCGGTAGTTTTGCTAGCTTTGTCCATACTTTTCAAGCTCTCGGGAGATCTAAGTTGAAATCTACAGCTATCATTCATATTCCAAACGGACTCCATTAAGACACCAACTTTAGGAATCCCAGCATTAATTGAAAATGCAACTGCTCCAGCGTGGTAAAGAGGATTATTTCTCAAGCATACCTGGCAAACAAAAGAAAAATCACCATCAAGGCGACATACTAGAAGTTATTTCAAAAGTGTGTAAAAATACAACATGTGAAAGTATATTGCTTCCTCAGTTTTCCAAATACAATTTTACACAATCAGGAGGCTGATAAAGCACTGACTTCAAGGTCTCCATTAAAAACACTTATTCCCCAAAACAAGGAGCAAGAATAATTGTAGCACATTTGCTAAAAATTAAAATTTCAGGCAGCAAATATTGACATTCTGCCATAAGGAAACAACAGAAAGAGAAGAAACTAACAAGGTAATTTAAAAAGTGAAATGTGAACAAACAATTGCACATTTTGTCTGTTTCTTGTAATTTGAATGATTCTCTTTAATTCGTGACCCTATAGACTCTATCACTTCATAGCTATTGATGTTTGTTTCCCATGGAAAACTGTTGTTTTTTACAGCCAGAAGCTTCCGGGGATAATGTAAGAGTGCACAGACATTATAAGCATTTAGGGGAGTTCAATCTATAGAACAATCTATTTAACAATAATAGAATAATCTATAGTTCAATTTAAGAACAATCTATACATTTTCACTGCCAGAGAACATCCTGAAACCAATAACCTGCAAGGTGGCACTGTCACACACACTAATGCTAGCACCAAAAAAAGATATAACTATCATTTCTCTAATAGTACAATCTTACCGATGTTCTGTTCAATTATCCAATAACTAATGATTATGTTGTACTTGACAGTGGCATATATGAAGATCCTATTTTTTGGTGATTTATATTTAAAGTGACACAGAAGAAGCTAAACATTTGATAAATATGAGAAGTGGAAACAATGGCATAGAGTCACAGTACTATCAAAGAACAGTTATATGTCGCCAAGTAGTTCTATGATCTCTAATGATTGGTTCTTAATAGCTAGCTTCTTGAAAAAGGTAAGTCCTGCTTTGCTGTGACTTAAAGGGAAGTTTCATCCACAAATTTCCAGAGAAGAGTATAAAAAGTTTAAAGCCTGAAGGCTGTAATTGAAGAAGAAATGTGGCGAGACATATTAGAAGTTATGTATGAAAGCCTTCTAAAAAAAGTAAATGCACCTTAAAGCCAGGAGTTACATATCCAGGGTCCAGCATCTAACAAGATATACAGTGAAAATACAAGCCCACCTCAGAGGTATTGTGGGTTCTGTTCCAAAGCACTGCAATAACATTAATATCACAATAAAGCTAATCTCACAATTTTTTTTGTTTCTAGTGCATATAAAAGTTGTCTATACTATAATATAATCTATTAGGTATGCAATATCATTATATCTAAAAAAAATTATGTACCTTAAGTTAAAAATATTTTATGGCTGAAATGCTAACCATCATCTGAGCCTGTTGGAAAAAAGATGCTGATAAGATGGCTTGATGCAGAGTTGCCATAAACATTCAATTTGTAAAAAACACAATATCTGCAAAGCACAATAAAAGGAGGTATGCCTGTACATTTCTCTCAACAATTATGATCTGTGAGTGCAGGTGCAGTTAAAAACCCTAAGTGATCAATAATTTTTTCTGATGTTAACACATGAACACTCGTTCTGTGGCTGTGACTGTCTTAAACCTCCATTTTTTTTTTTGTAGGTTCAAAACAGAAACTTAGTTCTATACCAAATATGTTAACATGTTGCTATCTTTCAGCAATTTAGTGCCATACTATTTTGTTTAGCTTTTATTCAGTATATCTCTAAAGTATTTGTTCAGCCCTCCCTGTCCATAGTAATGTTATCCTACATGGTAATAAGGCAATTGTGAGTCCAGAGAACAAGGAACTTGGAGAACATCAGCGAGCAGTGTTTGAACTAACTAGAAGAAGGGGAGCTCCAAGAAGAGAAAGAGCTGTCCAAATCAACTGACATAAACACTGAAGGCTGTACAGTCATAGTCAAAACAGTGCGTAATTGCTGAAAACTTCCTAGTTGGAAGGCCCAAAAAGGATCAGAACAAGACAACCATGAGTAAGACAAAAAATAGCCACAAACAAAAAGAATAGCTCCATTTCAGCTGTTTTAGAGAAAAGTTAACAGTGAAAATGATGACAACTTTTAAGACTCAGAGGATATAAATAATACGGTAGAGAGAATAAAACTGAATTGAAAATGTCAGATGAGGAAATTTGTTCCACATTATGTAATAGAATCCACTGTTTGTCTAAGTGTTAGGGAATATAAAGTCCTTAAACATTCACTACAGTACTTATTATAATGAATATAAATGCCAAGTTTTAACCTGAAGTTAAACTTCTATGAAAGTCTAACGAATCATGTTAACACTAGCACTCAAACTCTTTCCTATTAAACATCACTGAGAACCTAAAAATCTTTCATGTGGGTCATATAGTTGGTTTTTAATATGTAAATAATTAAAACTGAGAAAATTTTAAATATTCACTTAACAGTAATAAATCCCGGGTTAATATAAACCATTTTTATGAGGGGGGGGGAAAACCAAAAACCTACATTTTCAAAGAATCAGCAAGAAAAACGGCATTGTTTGCATGTTTGCAAGTCTCTTAATGTCTGATTTAATAGAAAACAGCAGGAATCCCATGTCTGCTTCTGCTGTGATATGACTTTGAGTAAATATGGGAATACAGTTCAACCTCACACAGGTATGCAAGTGGAGAAAGATGGATCCTACAGACTCCTGGAAAGGTTGCGGTATTAGGAAAAGCACCTTCCATAAGATATCTGCAGGAGTCTTAAACCATCTGAGTCAAGAAACAGAAACTGGTGGAACCCTGGGTAATCTGACGAAGCCTCCAGCCTCCACTGATAATGTCCCCAGAGAGCAGCATGTTTTGAAGGCTTGATCATTAAGAATCACCTGGAATGTGTGTTAAACAGTACTTCCTTCTTGGGCCCCATCACCAAACTGAAGGAAAATTTCCAGTAAGAGGCTCCAGACTTGGCACCTAAGTACCAAATGACTGTGAAAAACAGACAAGTGTGGGAACCCTGACCCATGGGGAAACCTCCTGACATTGGAGCAGACTCTGTATGTTACTCGACTACTGAAAAAAGAATGATGTGCCACATACATGCTACTGGAACCTGGCCCTTTAAATGACATTCAGTTTAGAGGGGAATTACTTACAGGGTAGAAAGTGATTTTGAAGAGAAATAACGTCCCTTAGGACAGGATTAATTCTAATCCCTTACCTGGGTGCCAACAGTGATGTTAGGCATTGAAGAAATACCAGCACTAGATTTGGGCTTTTTATTTTTTGCTCTAGCTTTCTCTAACATTTTCTTCCTTTGACTGAAAGGGACTACACCCCTGGAAAGACAAAGCATGAATTGGTCAAAAAAGGACCCCAAAAAACCATTAAACAAATCTGAAATTATACATATTATTTAGGCATTCATATTCCTTCTCCAATATTTTTGCTTCAAAATATTAACATGTTCAACTCATTCTTAAGTGTAACTTGTTCATAGGTTTAATACATAACTGGATCCATTTTTATTAAAATCTTCATTAGAATTTACCAAAAATTCATCAGTTGATATTATATTATATTCTTATATATTATTTCTGCCAATGCAAACTTACTAATACCTTAAAACATGAGAGAATACATTTAAAAGTTTCTTTGAATAGTGAAAGGGTAACTAAGGTATACAATATTCATAAATTGAAATACTTTTAATAACCCTTAAACTTACATTTTAAGTAACACTGTTGAATTAGAAAGTACCCTATAACCTATGCTTTCAATTATGTAAAATAAGTACACATTTATGTATAGGAAAGAATGACTGAAATACCACTAAATGTTAACAGTAGTTGTATCTTTGAGGTGTAGGATTGTAGGTGATTTTTGTTACTGCGTTATATTTTTATAAAGTTTCTAATGCACTGAGTATGCATTGTTTTCATAAGCTTCTCTTTTAAGGTATTTTTAATGTTACTTTGCTGCGAAGTGAAACTTCCCTCTCTAAAAGCACTATCTTTTGCTGACCTTCTCATGTTGGTATTCCACTACCCAAAGCACCTATTTATGCACATAAAGCATTAGCTCATTCGCCGAGTCCCCCTCCCGGTGATACTCACCACCAGTATAAATTGTTCTCTAGCTGGGCACAGGTATAGAGGGCACAGCAATGTAAGGAGACTATCCGTTCACCTTGAAGTTCAGAGTAAGTCTGTGCAGTGTGCTCTAATTTAGAAGCCACAGAACTTAGAGTTTCATCTACCCATGTAGCAACCTAAAGAATAAAATAGTAAAGGTTTAAATAAAAACAAGTAACCTTTTCAAAAGAACTGTGGTTAAAACTTTAAACTCTATAGGCTGGAATTCTAAATTTTCAGTTTTGAGCTAAATGCTAAAAAAAAATTAAAACACGTAATTCAGAAAAGGTTCTTAGTAAGACTTAAAAAGTAAACTACTTTCTTCGTACAAATAAGTCAAAGTCTAAAGCCATGTAAGGTATTAATTAAAAGTAAACACTTGCTCCAACCATTTTAAAAATAATTTAATGTCTCTTTTAAAGCCAAACTGATAATCTGAGGCATAATATTCATACTTTCTCAATCTATAATATAATCTCAAGTACAATGCTTTTATATCTCTTTTTGTCAGCATATACCTTGAATATTTTTTCCTTCCCTTAAAATAGGAAGCTACCTCTAGAGTTAAATTATAATACAGAGATAAACACACAACAAAAAAGACTATACTGGATTACTCCTCTGAGGCTGAAACACTTTGTATGTGTGATCTACTTAGAAAGACAAAAGGAAAAGGGAGAAGACAATCAAGAAAATGAGCATAAAATGTTCATCAATCAATGCAAAGTGTTTCATACCTTGTTATTTTCTGTAGCTACAGTTGCTCTTATGCTATTTGCAGACAGGAGAACTATCTTTTCATTGGTTAGCCCCAAAAATGTTGCTCGTGGATGATGCAGTGAAGGATTCTTTGAAAGCATAAGAAAAATGATTACCATTTTGTATGTTGATATGCAGAGCTAGTCAATGAAAGATTTAATATAAATTACCTGTGCATTTCTGTAAGGCTCCAATTCACTCCACTTCCACTGATAAAGTTCTCCTTTACTGCTCACAGCCAAAAGCTCAGAATATAGAGCCCCAATACAGATGAATTTTGTCCCGTCCTATAAAGAAAAAAATATCACAATGCAATAAATGTAACAGTTGCCAAACCTAATGGTTTGGATACAGTATTACACAAAACCTGAATTATGTGAACACATAAACCACAGCTATGAAATTCTTCAGCACAGCCTGCAAGGCCCTCTGTATGGCCCCAGCTCCTTCCCTCCAGTCACACTGGCCTTCTTCCCGGAACCCACCCAGGTCCTTATTCTTGTCTTGTTTCTCATGTGACTCATTCCCTCTCCTCAATCAATCTGCTCAGATGAGACCTCTCTGACCACACAATCTATAAAACCACCATTCACATATTTTATCTCCTTACTCTGCCTTCTTTTTCCTTCATAGCATTTCACAATTTATATTATATTAACTCGTTTATGCTCTATCTCAATGGAATATAAGCCTTGAATTGTTTATACTGGATCTGCAGTTCTTAGAACAGTGCACGTAGACGGTGAAGCAGGGGAAGTTGAGTATTAAGCTTCCCTCTCTGCAGGCTTTTCCAAACTGCTAAAACAAATGTCGTGTTGGTTTTTTAAGGTAAAAGTTTGTTTAGTTTTAAGGTGATGTTCATGCAATGAGTTGGAATGCAATTAAATTATACAAAGCTTAGACAATAAGTATAAACAAACAATATCAATGATAATTTCTTTTTATTTGTTTATTCTCCACCAAGGATATTTTTCCACTGATTTTTAGAAAGAGTGAAAGAGAGAGGGAAAGACAGAGAGAAACATTGATGTGAGAGAAACAAATCGATTGGTTGCCTCCTGCACACACCCCGACTAGGACTCGAGCCAGGAAGGAGTCTGCAACTGTGAAGTACATGCCCTTGACCGGAATCGAACCTGGAACCCTTTGGTCCACAGTTGTGGCACTCTATCCACTGAGCCAAACTGGCTAGGGTCAATGATAATTTCTTAAACATAAGATCAATATGATCAGAGTCATGAAGCTACTCAGAAATCTCACCTCCAAACTTGGCAAAAACATATTTTAACTTGGACTTCTTGCTACTGGTCTATACACTACTTTCTTTGGAATTCTGGCTCAAAGGTATGCTAAACTAATGGTGTCTTTATGGTTTTCTGTCAAATTCCAACCTTATTTGGTCAGATGGGTTATAGTGCTCAGCTAAAAGCCTGTGAATTCTGCCAAGATTTTAAATGTAATAGTAACAGGTTATGACTCAGTTGTATAAAAAATACTGATTTTCACCTTCTAGTTTACCAGTAACCGTCAGCCCCACTTTCAAGGCACAGTGGGAGAGACCAAGTTTGAAATGCTCTAAGTTAGCAATTCCTCTCTTCCCTTCCTCAGGGGTATCTGAAAGTCATATTGACTCTCCAAGGCTGCTGCATCAAAGCTTAACATTTCCCACCACACTTCCTTCTCAACCCTTGGTTCAAAGAACGATTCAATCAGACCAAGTAGGTCCAACTGGGACCCAACACTTACTAAACACATGGCTTCAGGTAACTTAATGCCGTTTCTCTGAACCCATTTCTTCACCTCTAAAATGAATGTATTAATAACACATATGGAGATGGGGAGGGTAAAGACCAAGTAAAGTAACATATAAAGTACACAGCACAGGGCCCAACACAAGCAAGTGATCTGTCCAAGTCAACCATCATTACCTGCTCCCCTGACTTCATCTCCTACTCCCCCAGAAAGCACGAGCTTCCCGAGTATTCCCACTTCTAGGTTCATTTAATGAAAAAGCACCCCATCCCAGGAAAAAAGTGTCTTTCTCCCCTATTTAAAGATAACACACACACTGGATACAACCTCTCTTGTAACGCCAACCACCACCCATGCTGATCTCTCCTTCAATGCTACTCTCAGTAAAGTGAATGATCACTTGGCATGTTTCACGTTGTCAGCTTTGCCAACAGCCATAACAGCACCTACAACAGCTGTATCAATGCCCATGCATTTAATCAATCCACCTTCTCTTTAAACTTCTATTCAAACCATCATCAGTTCTGGAACCTCTTCTCTTTCCTATTTAGAGGTAACTACTTTCCATTGGTCTGACTTGGATCTTTTTTACTATTTTAAATTAGGTATTTAATAATAAAGTATAGCTAAGCTACATCTTGTTTCACATTTTGCTATTCCTCCTCTAGTCAATGTCTTAACAAACCAGGAAATATACTAAGTAAGGTCTGTGCAGTATCAGGATTTCATGATACTTAGTAACTATCTCTGAAAATAAGTTGTGCCTGAAAACATGGCTACCAGTAAAGGCAAATCACTGGCTAAATTTAACATTGGGTACAATGGCCAGAGGAAAGTTTGCTAAACTTGTACTATTCAAAATACTTTCATTAATCAAAAATACTAAATGATAAAGCAGCTTAGGCTAATATGCATGCGATGGCACTGCTAAAATGAGATTGTGAGACTGCTATGACTCCTTGCCAATATGCAGACACAGCTCTAATATGATCCAGGCAAGAGAAACAGGAAACACAATGTACCATACAAACAAAAAGAAAGCCCAGGGTTTATACCATCTTCTAGCATATGAAGTGAAAGTTAAAACTTTGGAAATTTCTAGTTTTATGGAAATAAGTAAATGAATTCAACTCAGGGAAAATCTGTTAGCTGCCAAGGAAACCAGAATAACCTTTTGCTTATAAAGAGACTGATTAAAATTCATGCTCCTTCTTGCATTCAAGTTTTCTACATGAGCTGAATACAGAAGAAAAATGAACTATGTCAAGATTCATAATAACTATGAAAAAATAGATAATATTATCCTTTAATATTTCCAATTCAACTTCAAAGAAAGAAAAGAAGTCCTTATCAGAAACTTCTTATCTGCTAGAGTTTAACCTTAAAATTCTTATCTTTTTTTATTTCTACTTATGAAAAATTCCTACCCTACTATTTCTGGAAATAAGAACAAACACCCCAAAAGAAGTGAAAACCTACAGGACCCTCTGAAGATGAATCACCCATCACTTAAGACAACGAAGCCCACACACCATCAACAGAGTGCATCACTAGCGGCAGTGGTGGACCCTTTTAGGTTCAAGTCACCTTAACAAATCCTGGCAGCTTTATAGAAGCCTGCACACTGTACTCCCGCTGCAGAGCAGAACTCCCCCAGTGCTTTCCTGTTCAGCCTGTTTGTCTCCCACGGCATGTAGAGCAGACGCTGCTGAATTCACTGCCATCCAGGGACAGCTAACTAGTCAGAGAAACACAGATCCTGATCTTGCCCTCACATGCATGCTTGTATCCACATGATCACAAACATGCCCTGCAAAAACGGGCATCCACATGACATTACAAAACAAATCTTATTAGAGATATACCATCAGTTACTGGTATAAATCACCAGAAAAAAAGTACTAAAACAGAAGGCTAATGTATTATCTGAAAAGACCATTCTGATTTCTCTGATTTACTTCATCAAGTAGAAAAAAAATTGCACCACTGAAACACAGCTCACTAATACTACTCATGTAATGCCAAATAAATTTCAACATGATATATATATATATATATATATATATATATATATATATATATATATATATATTTTTTTTTTTTTTTTTTTTTTTTTTCTCTTTTAATCCTCACCCCAGGGTATTTTTTCCATTGATACTTTGGAGAGAATGGAATAGAGAGAGGAAGGGAAGGAGAAAGAAAGAAACATCAATGTGAGAGAATCAATGATTGGTTATTTCCACGTGTGCAACCCAGGTAACATGTTCTTGAGCGGGAATTGAACCAAAGACCTTTTGGTGCTCAAGCCAATGCTCTAGGGCAGTGGTCGGCAAACTCATTAGACAACAGAGTGAAATATCAACAGTACATAGATTGAAATTTCTTTTGAGAGGCAATTTTTTTTTTAATTAAATTTTTTCTATCTTCAAGATAGACTCACCCAGGCCGTGGTATTTTGTGGAAGAGCCATACTCAAGGGGCCAAAGAGCTGCATGTGGCTCACCAGCCGCAGTTTGCCGGCCACAGTTCTAGATACTGAGAAACCTACTTATTTTTTAAATAAAACAAAAATATCACTGTGTGTGTGTGTGTGTGTGTGTGTGTGTGTGTGTGTGTGTGAGAGAGAGAGAGAGAGAGAGAGAGAGAGAGAGAGAAGTAATAGTACAAAAATCTAAAATAGAAACCTTTTTTTGGGGGGGTGGGGGCACGCAGGGGAGTGAAGGGGGGTAGAAAAGTGGTTATCAGGAATCTATTTAAATGGAAAGGCAGGGATTTTTTCCAAATACCTTATCTGGCCACCACTGCAAATCTTCTCCTAGAGACACTGGACTTTGAACAGGTGTATTTTTCTTATCCAAGTTTGGCTCTCCTTCCTTGCTGGTAGAGCCCCTTTCATTATCAAATGAGGCTCCGTCAAGCCACCTTCGTTCACGTAAACGTAAAACGGACTCACGTTCACGCAACAGCTCAGAGTCTCTCTCTAAGGGAAGAAGGAGAACTGGTATGCAATTGGGTCACACCAGTGGGATAAAAGTAAGCCACTCTCTAGTAAAGACCCTTCAGGATGCAACTAACAGCAGTTTATCTACTCACAAAAATTTAATGTAAATGTATTTCTAATAAGCCTGACATGCAACATTCAAAACATTAACTCTTTCAAGTGAAAGTATAAAAATTATAAAACTAGTATTTTTAAGAACTCTGTAGAGGCAGACTTTTCTGAATTGCAACTACATGTTTTTATAGCAGAATTCCTTTATTTTAAACTGCTACAGATTTTTTAAAAGGAATTTAAAATTTTGGGCTTTCATTAAAAATGTTTACCGTAACTTTTTACTTATTTATTAGAAATAAACATAAATTAGAATTTCAACATGTTAGATACATATATAAACCAAAAGTTTGTTAGAATGTCTTCTATTATTTAAAAAAAATATACAGGAAAAACCTTGAAATGATTAAATCTATTAATATTAACTAAAAAACTTTTCATAATCCAAGGCCTACTTTAGAGTAATTTATAGGCTGGATTTTTATAAATAAGTGTTATTTTAAGAAACTAGACAGGCTTTTTTTTTTTTTTTTTTTTTTTTTAAAGAATCTTTATAGAAAGAGTTCTTACAAAATGTTCCCCCTACAATTGGCTACAAATTCTCTATAACCAGTTTTTGCAGTTCCAAGTTTTTGATAAGAAAGATTAAAAACAAAATTAATTTGAGCCATACAAAATTGCCACCAATGCAAGTCAAAAATCAGCAAGTACCAGCAATTTCATATAGTTCAAACTAAAAGTAGTGCCTACTATGACACAGAATAACATATAGTCAAGGGAGACATTTACAAGAGGTTGTGTTAGGTACTGAATATTTTAAAACTCAATACTTGATACATTTAAGTATGCATTTAAAAAAAAATTTAAAAGCTATTATATAATAAATTTAGTATGTTTAAAAAAATCACAGGTTTGTTCTTTTAAAACTGGTTTTAAGTACTAGATATTTGCAACAAGAGCTTAATATGGCAACTTCAATTTATTAATGATTGATAAATTATATAGCTGATTGTTATTGAGTCAAGCCGTTTTACATTCTGGAAAGTAAAAACATTGACTTAACAAAATTAAAATGCAAACTAAATCTATACCAACATAGACAAAGTCTTCTATTTGTATGATGATTTCAAAATCACTTTCTAACCTCTATTATACCTTCTTAAAATAGCATTTTATTAAGCCAAACATTTCTATATTTATAAGAAGTTTTTTCACTCTTTCATTTAACCAGGATTTAAAATTAACAGAATAATCACTTTAATTTAATCAAATAAACTAAAGAGATTTGTTTTCTGAATGCTGCATGTCACTATAAAGTAGAATTCTGCTTTTAGTTCAGAATCCATAAACCTATTTAAAAATATACTAGTCGTAACCTTTGATGAGTATTCCACAATGTAGATATGATCATCTCTAAAGTATTGTGGCTCTTCAAAATAAAAAATAATTAGTTTTAATGCCAAAGCATAAGAAAAAAACTTAATAATTATTTCCTCTACTATAATATAAACAAATACAGCAAATTTTACCATTTGCTCTTCATACAGCCAGCCAATAGTCACAAAGAAAGAAATGCAAAATTACCTCGAGATGAGCCTAGCCTGGAAAGTGATGAGCGACGAAATGAAGGGTAACCGAAATAACTAATGTCTTCAGAAAACATGGCATCCGCATCAATAATGACACTTGGGTGGGCAGAATGAATGTCAGCATCAAGAAGGGACATAAGATCCTCTACAAAACAGAAGCAAATAAAAATGAAGCAGATATAGAGAAAACATCTGCAGATCATTGAAAGATCTCTGCAAATTAAAACAGATTGAAATTGAAAACTGATTGACATAACCTGAGAGAAAAAAAAGCAGTCACTACCTAGGAAATAAAGTGAACATTCTTAACAAATATTTTAAGAAACAATAACTGCATGTCTGCTTATTTGTGCTACCTACTAATAATCATAAGAAATAAGATTTCTATTTAAGCCGAAATCGGTTTGGCTCAGCGGTAGAGCGTCAGTCTGCAGACTGAAAGGTCCCAGGTTCGATTCCGGCCAAGGCATGTACATTGGTTGTGGGCACATCCCCGGTAGGGGGTGTGCAGGAGGCAGCTGGTCAATGTTTCTCTCTCATCGATGTTTCTGGCTCTCTATCTCTCTCCCTTCCTCTCTATAAGAAAATCAATAAAATATATTAAAAAAAAAAAAAAAAGATTTCTATTTAAATATTTGTGACATCACAGAGACAATACAGTCAAAATTTAAATGCAGTTAAGACATATTCAGTAATAAGGGCATCAAATAACAATTAGTCCAGAGTCATTTGTCAGCCAGTGATAAAGCCATGAACATATATCCATTTCTTTACTGGGACCAAATACACTGAGCAAAGATATTTCCCCATTTTTCCTTAAAAAAGAATTTGTAATTTAAAAAAAATTTTTTTAACCACTACAGTGCCCTAGCCAGTTTGCTCAGTGGTTAGAGCATTGGCCTGAGTACCGAGGGGTAGTGAGTTGATTCCAGCCAAGGGCACATACCTTTGTTGAAGTCTCCTCCCTGGTCCTGGTCAGGGTGAGTACAGAAATCAACTAATTGATGTATTTCTCTCACATCTCTCTCTGGCTCTCTCTCTGAGTCTCTCCCCTCCCCTTTCTCTGAAAATTAGTTGGAAATTATCTTCAGGTGAGGATTTTTTTAAAAAATACAAAAAAATACCATTAACGTGAGAAGTATCTACCACCACGTTGGAAATTAAAGTCAGAATATTCATTGTACTTTAAAATTCCATTCCAGTTTAAAAGCCACCTTTCCCTTCAGAGATGAGAAAACCATGATGGTGATCCACCAACCTCCAGGCAAGTAGGATTCGCTGGCTGTGTCATCCCCATCATCTCCATCTTCATCATCTCGGCTAAGTAAATTATTTACAGCAAGGTTTACATCTAGATTTGTTCGCTGAAGTTCCCGAATAATGACACTTCTGGATTTGCCTTGTAAAACAACTTGGGCCTGAAATGAAAAGAGTATTATTCTAATACCCCTTTGATTCAATTCTTTCTAGTACAGTATTTCACAACTCATGATATGAGTCATGACTATAACTCACTATATTCAGTTAAACCTCATCCTTATGTTAAGTGTTCTACAAGGGCCATACCTGTGAAATCAGCTCCTCGGGGATGACGGAAGCTGGAATAACTGGCTGGGGCTGACTGCCCAAAAGCCCAGACCCTCGATCCCGTCCTGTCCGAATCACTCGAGTCTGTCGACGGGAATCTCGCGCTCCAGCTGACGACCTACCAGAGGATCCTCCTCCACTTCCACCTACTCCAGAACTCCAGCGACTTCTAAAATTGGAGAATTTAGAGAATTATCATTTTATACACTCATTCTGAAAAGATCACTTCAGATCTCATTTTTCATTCTCTTAAGCTAAGATAAAGCTATCTGCCAAAGCTTGCCTTCAAAGCTTCAAAGGATAAGCTGACTCTCTTATTAGAGGCTAATGCAGCTGGTGACTTTAAGTCAAACCAAAATGTTCATTTACCATTCCAAAAGCGTGGGGCCATTAGGAAACAGGTTAAATGTTGTACAACTGAATTTATATGTCAATTATACCTCATTTTTTAATTAAAAAAGGCAAAAATAACTTTATTAAAGACTTTAAGATTTAGTTACATGAACTTCAAACTTCATTAAATTAATTCAGAAAAAACTGTAAGATTTGGATACCAAAAAGGAAAAAATCTTAAGTTTTTTAACCCAAGAATGAGTCACAAAACCAAAGATGGTACCACTGAAATGTTTAAGTAATAAAACTGGCATAATAAATGGCATTATAAACACATGTGAACACTTTACATTTTTAAAAGGTTAAGAACCTGGGTTAACTGTAACTAGGTTGTGTGAGTTATTTTTATTATGGTGGCTCATCATGAGCTACAATGAGCTCCTGTGTAGAGTTCAGGAGAGTTGCCTCATCCCATCACTGAATGATACTGAAGACGAGACAGGCACAGTGAAAGCACTCAAAGCACTGGCCCAGACCAATGAATGCCGGCATCCAGCCACAACGTACCCCAGGGTGTTGCCCGCCAGCCTGCCCAGAGTCTCGGAGCCTGAGAGAAACCATGGGGAGTCGCTTGTCCTACCGGGCCTTGAGGTTCTCCCTGCCCCCGAGTTGCTGTTCAACTTTGACCTGGGAAAAAAACAAGAGGTAGAACAATCACAGAACAGTCCCAAACTATCTGGGAACAAGCCTGGATTTCCAGGCCTCATTACCCTGGTACTTCCTATAGTAAAATACCAGCCTATGTATTCTCTAATTAATCCTACTAAAAACATACTTCACATCAAAGAGCAAATCTAACAACTTACAGCCCCATAACAATCTGGGGTTCTTTACTGGTTGAAACATTTTCAAAGTTTAACTACAGATGAATTATTCTTTTGATTTCTTAAAGTAATCATGCTTTCCTTAGAAGCAGTCAATTGAAATTCATCGTATATTGTCCAGCAACCTTTTCTGTATGCTATTACTTATAAAGACCAAAATTTAAAAGACCCTGTCATTTTTAATTTGGGTTATTTAATTTTAAAATATTACAAAGGAAAACGGAAAAAAAGAAAATATGACAAGTTATTTAGATCAAGGAGCAAATTTGACTTGGAACCTACCAAATACATGTCACTATTCTTGATCATCTACTCTGCTGTTACTTTACTGCTAGTACTTTTAGCTACAAATCACTGCAGTGCATAAAAATTAAAATCAAACTACAAAGTAACCATTTCACTCTATTAAGTGTCTCATTTTCTGCAATGCTTTTTTTTAGAACAGAGGGCTGCTAAAATCAAAACACAGGTTTAAAATAATACCTTGTAAGAGCTAAATATTAAATAGAAAGGACATATCTTTAGAAATATAGAAAAGACATACCCGTCATTATTATCAGGTTTCCCCAATTCCAGTCTGTCTGGCTGTACTGAAAAACCGATCCTGCAAACTCTACCATCCTAAAAGCAAAGAAAATAGAAGAAATTGCCAAAGTAAAAAAAATGTGAGTTAAAATTTGAATTTATTCAACAAACAGACTGATCATGTACCTACCACTGTCAATTCAGAAAACAATAAATAAACTTACTTCCGGAAAGTGCTAACACCTGAGTTGAGGAAATATGTTTTACATACATTATCAAGAAATATCTCATTCTAACAGAATCAGGGTACTGAAATGACTGGATATCAGGAACTTCTCTATTATGTTACTAATTAGTTTCAAGCTCTAGTAAATCATTTAAGCTTTATCTGGGCCAGAGATTTTACACAATAGGGAAATGGAACTGGTGATCTCTGAAATAACTCTTGCAAGAAACTGATGTTTTCCCTGGTTAAAAAGAAACCTAATGATGCACAGCAGTATTTTAACTGTTTATTTTCATTTCTCTATCTTAGAATAAACAATTTACCTCAAGAAGAAAGGCAGCATGATTTGGTCCCACCACACACTGTTTAATAGTAGCCTGTTCCAATACATTCAAAGGTGGATGGCTGGTGAATAAAAAAAAGTACATCAGTAAAATTACTTTGTAAATGGTAAATACATCTAGGGTTTTTTCCTTTAAAAACAAAACAAAACAAAACAAAAAAACCAAGCAAGCAAAGAAAAAAAGACTGGCAAAAACTGTTTTCAAAACTAATATTTACACATTTTAAATCAATAACTAAAGAATTAACAGTTGTATTCTTATAGTCATTATAATTCCAATTCCTTGGTATGGCAGATTTTTTTAAAGCCAGCATGAACAGAAACTGTAATTCAAATGAACCCAACTCACAAAAAGTTGAATTAGACGAAAATATTCCTAATAGATGCTTCCTAAATATGAGTTTATTTTCCTAATAAAGAAACATTCTTTTCAGGAAATTATTAATATTTTACAGCTCTTACCTGTTTAAATTATACTTGTTCAGTTTCTCTGAAACTTCCCGTAACCTTTAAAAACAAAACAAAATATGAATAAAGCACATGTACAGATCCTTTGTAAACAAAACAATTCTATTCCGATAGGTACTTATACCATTATTTTGGTGATTTTTAACAGTAGGACACATAATGCTTGCTCTATCAGGAAATAGTGACCAGAACGGCGAAATAACCAGAACAATCAGAATTGACCTGTGGCTATGACGCGCACGGAAGCAGCCAACCAATCTAATCCAGGCCCTGGTCGGCTCCCCAGCCCTGGCTGGCCTGGTGCCCGATCAGCCCCCAATCCCCAATCAGGAGTGGGATGGGATGGCTAACCGCCCATGGCCCTTACCCCCCACCAGCCCAGCCCAATGGGCCCCTATTTGGGCAGGCGGCCAGAACCCACCAGTGCACAAATTTGTGTACCAGACCTCTAGTATTTTTATATTATATTTACCCCCCCCCAAAAAAAAGTCACAATCCCGCAATCCTCTTCCCTTACCATCCCATTAGCAATTTCAATAATAATAATAATTTTAATAATAATAATATTGTTAATTCCATTTTACACATTTAGGAAGAAGCTGAGGCTTTTATAGTTTATATAACAATATGTCTCAGTAGAACTGGTCCTTGAATTAGCATCCAATGGAAAGCCAATTTTTAAATACTGTGCTATATATGCCAAGAAAGTCTTGAATAATGTACATGTATATCATGAAATAGAAAAACATGGGAAGCACAAATCTATTAAGAATTTAATGTAATGAGGCATAAAAAGCCCATAAGCCTAAGGGCACATCATTATGCCTTAAACAGTTATTGTCATACTCAATTTCATCTAAAAGGGCTTTATGATACAAAAATGGTACAAATTAAAACCTCAATGTCCATATCTATAAAATAAAGACACCACCTCCCATTTTTAAGAGTATTAAATATTCTTAGAAAAATCTCAGAGCTGCATTTAAAAATATTAATTCATATTACCCATTATATTGCTGCTTCTCTCAAACAGATCTGAATATACTATAATACCAATTTAAATACTTAAGCTACAGAATTTTATAAAGATGAAAACAAATGTAGAGATTTTAAGAGTTTTATTCCATGAAGTTAAAAAATATCTGAATGGTTTTCCCAAACTTTGTCTCAGAAATAATTATCTAAAAAATAAACTGACAATTTTAAAAAGGGGAAAAAAATAGGACAGTAAATCAATATAAAATTCCATAAACTTTGCTCTCTAAAAAGTGACAATACATGAAATCAAATTTCAATCACTTGTACTAACAGATCAAAATAGCCCTCGCCGGATAAGAGCGTCAGTTTGTGGACTCAAGGGTCCTGGATTCTATTCCGGTCATGGCACATGCCCAGGTTGTGGGCTCAATCCCTAGTAGGGGGCATGCAGGAGGCAGCTAATCAATGTTTCTCTGTCATCATTGATATTTCTATCCCTCTTTCCCTCCCTTCCTCTCTGATATCAATAAAAATACTCTTTAAAAAATTAAAATTAAAATAAATCAAACCTTACAGACAGTTTAGGATTAAAAAGCTACCACAAATCATATAATATATAGGCAATTCAGTTCATTATTTTAGTAAGAGATTCTAGGTGCAGCCAGTTGTCCCTCAACATTACTTTCTCCTGATAATTGTACACTCTTGTTCAATGCTGAAGTACATCTTTCAAACACTAAAATGTGTACAGTATCTGGCCAATATCAAATCATACACCTAAGCAAGAGTAACGTTCAAATGATGCCATAATTTCTTTCCCAAAAAGTAGATATTCACTGGTGACTATTCTCAATCCCAAAGAATAGCATCTGATCATGTGTGATATGGCCCCCAATAAAACACATTTTCCTTTCTATTTTCATTAACAAAAATTGTGTTATTGATCCTGGAATGTCAAAGGTTCCCTCATTTACAAGACACACTTGCGAAGACAAAAGAAAACATCCTAAGAGTAATGCCCTGTGGAACTCCTGATCTCTAAGAAGGCTGGATAAAAATCAGGGAGGGAAACTGAGAGGCTCCAAACTACAAGGCTCCCATTCTGAGCAACAGCAGCCGTTAGAAGACTCGGAACAGAGGCAGGAGCGCTGGCTCGCCTTGGCCCACGTTTACTGCAAGTAACTTACAAAACTTCACCCAACCGGAGCCAGAATATGAGAAAGGGCTAAGAAAGGTTGTACTTCCCCAAAACCATAGTAGTGACACTTTTAGAAGGTACGGACTGAATGGCTTACAACTGAACCCATTCGTTTCCATATCTTTTTTCTCAGCTCAATACCATCGCTAGAGTTTTCACAAGTATACAGTATGGCCGGGGAGAGGGGACAGAGGAGGAGAGGCTTGTCAAAGCGTCTTCAAAGCTGGACAACAACTGAAATTAAGAATGAACACTCCTTTCATGGTTCCAAATATCATTCCAGATAGATAATATTTATAAAACTAAAATTAAGCTTTGAGGACATAAAGATGCTAGAAAATGTTTAATAACACAAGAACTCAGAACTCAGCAAATTTCAGGATACTAAGGCGACAGAGAAAATGGTTACTGCCATCAATTAAGTTTTCTAATCTTAAAAATCATAGCGGACTTCTAAGCACAACTGAAATGTACCCCCATCTGTATTGAAATACCCACTAGGAAGCAGTTTGGGGATTACCCCAACTCATCTACTATAGCAGGCCTCATTTTAACCCATCAGGTCTCAGGTCCTCACCCATGTGAGGAAAGATGAATAGTCACCTCTGGTTCCTTTCAGTCCTGAAATTCTGATGAATGTATGAAAGCAAATGTCTCAGCGGAGATGGTATGTAAGTAATGGTTTTATGGAAGTAGCACTTATGAATTGTCATGTTCAATTTCATCGTACCCATCTGAAACTTTCATATACCAGTTGATTTTACATGGACACTTATTTAGAATGTTTCCCCAAATATTTATTTTTTATTTTCTTAAATTCAATACCAAAAGTTTATGTAAAATGCATCATCCTTCTAAATCTCAAGATAGTTATCATGACTAAACTGGCCACCTACATATTAATTTACATGAATCCCAGAAACCTTCAAGCAAAAAAAAGATGTTAACTGTAAGTGTGTGTTCAGTTCCCTTTTGCATTTCCTGAGCAGACATGCAAATCACAGAATCACTGTGACCAAATCACATTCATTTAAACTTACTAAATCCTGACTCTATCTACATAATTAATAGGCCCTTGTGTCTTCCCCAAAAACTTATGATGCTTAAAGTTATTAACTATATTTCCTCTCATAGCAACATTAACAAAAGATTTCCCCACTTTTAAAATAAAAGGAAAAGCATCCTACAGCTCAGCAAATTCCATTTCAGAATAAATCTTTGCATGTGGTTGTGACAGAAAACAATTTTAAGAGTAAAGTGTAACATTACAAAATAACCACATAACTCCACTTAATCTCATTCAGACATACAGGAAAGCCTTTGTGAGGTGGCTGTGACACACAGTGGATAGGTTAGCAATAAGCTTCTGGCAATCTTAGTACACATACACCGAAGATTTATTCGATATTCCAATATTATTATTTTTTAAGCACCAAGATAAGGTAACAGCAAACTGATGTTAATAGAGAAATAGGAAAGCAAAGTATAACTGCTCGCCAGAAGCTAACATTTCAGTGCTGCCCTTGAAATCCCCTATAACTTCAATCTCATTTCCCCCCAATTTAACATTACAATTTGAAAGACAACTCATCTTCTCACTGATGTTACTCAACCAGCAACAGCACTTAGACTCTTCCATTTTATAATTCTCCGCCGACCCCTCCCTGCCACCTCACACACCTGCATCTTCAGACACATCACCTCTAAACCAGGTGTATTTTTCTAGGTGAATTTCTAATTTAAAAAATAGATTTATCTAGATCCCTAAAAGGCTTCAATCCCACAGAAGAGAAAGATATTCCTGACATCCCCACCTTCTACAAGATGATAGCTGCCATATACCTGTAATTATAAGACAAGATACACCACCCATGTTTCATGTTTACCAGCAATCGCCTTAATGGTATGGCATAATCGGCCATTTTCTGTTTGTGACTTAAATATTAGGAGCTGCCTTGAGCCATGGGGCTGAGGATAGCAGAGAGGAGTATGGGAAGATCAGAGTGGCCTCAGTCCAAGCAAGAAGCACCAGAACATTGGGATGATTCCCTTCATCTCTGTGACTATGAAAGACTCATTGCATGTCTGAAATTTTACTTCAAAGCAGCCCATTTCAGATACATTTTTTGAAAGCCATTCTGTAGTGCTTCTATCTGAATTTGGAATTTCATGGAACAGTAAATGAAAGTGGGGATGGGTGGTAATGAGAGAAGTAATATAGCTATTTGACAACACACACACAGGCAAAGTATTACCATCTCATTTTCATACCAAAAATGTAAAAAGACTATAATCTTAGAATATAAATTAAGTTTAGTTATATTAAAAACTACCTGTTTTGCTTTTAGTTTTTCTCATGTCATAGCTAACTACAGAAAACTCCCAAATTTAACAATGAAGCAAGGAGTAAAATTATTGCAGTGGCCAAAACAGGAACTAAAATTGTTACTCAGAAACAAAAGATTTTAGGCTTCAAAAAGTAAAGAATATAATTATATTTCTCTGTATCATGTACAGGAGGGTATTCTTTAAAAATAAATGAAGCCCTGTCTAGTGTGGCTCAGTAGGTTGAACATTATCCCAGGTTAGGGCGCACGCTCACATACCGGGATTATAGCTCAGTCCCCAGTGAAGGATGTGCAGGAGGCAACCAACTCATGTTTTTCTCTCTCCACCTCCCCCCCCCCCCCTCCAGCCTTCCTCTTTCTCTCAAATCAATAAAAAACAAATTGGGGGGAAAAAGGTAAGTCAATCTTTGGATGCATATTTCCACCTCCCCAAACATTCTTTCCATGTTCTCCAGTCTCTGCTTCCAACCCTCATAATGTACTTTAATGATTCTCAAACTTTTTTTTTTTATCCC